GTACCCCTTTCTGGCGTGGAAGGCGCACGACAGCGTGCTCGCGTGGCGGGCGGTGTTGGGGGATAAGGCTGGGGACCCGAGGCCGTGGGCGGAGGCGGGCGTCTCGTTGTATGCTGCGCCGGGCAGGGCTTCGGTGGAGGAGTTAAGGGGACTGCCGAGGACGTATGTTGACGTGGGCGGGTTGGATCTGTTCCGGGACGAGTGTGTTGATTTCGTGAGGAGGCTTTGCGAGGCTGAGGTGGAGGTTGAGTTTCACTTGTGGCCTGGGTTGCCGCATGGGTTTGAGAGTGCGCCGGGGATTGGGTGGGTGAAGAGGGCCTTGGAGGCGAGGAATGACGCTTTGAGGAGGGGTTGATCGTGGTTTGCTCTAGAGAGTTGGGAGGGAGGGAGGACCGGGTAATGTAGGAAGGAGGTGGACGGCTTGGGCTAGTTGAGACTCACACCTACCTGACGCGTGTTATAGGTAAGATCAGGTCTTGAAAGCCTTGATCGTAAGCTAGATGCTTTCACGTGGTTTTCTTTTCTAGGTGTAGATGTAAATCCATCTTCTAGACCGAGGCCCGCGTTTCTACAACTTGCGAATCCGCCCAGTGGTACCCATGATCAGTATAACAGAAGACCACGCCGTCCATAGTTGCCTCGTGTATCGTACCGTATCATACCAGGAAGACTAAAAGGTGCTAGGCATACTCAAATGCTCCCTTATATTTTCTCCATTGTTGGTTTTCTTCCTCTGATAGCCTCCAAGGTCTTTGGAGATGATATGCATTGAATCTCTGTTGCATTACAGCAGCTATCTCGATCCACACCTTGAAGCGAATGGGAAAGAAGCTGGGAGCTAGTAGCTCTTGCTTCATTGAAGTCCAGGTAGGAGGATGAAGGACAAGAAGTGTCTTGGAATGAGTGCAATGCGCTCACATACATGATATAGTATTTCCTTCCTTCCGTACACTAATCACAATAATTCTATGCAAAAGCATATCAGTAGCCCTTAGAAAACAAGAGAGAAAGAGACAAAAGAGTCCACCTCGGTAGGCTACATCTCTTGGTGCTCATGCTCGGAATCGAACTCGAACTCGGAGTCTGTTGTCGAGTAGGCTATCGGGCGTGATATAATTGACTGCTGACCATAGACCACTCCCCCACCCAGTCAGTTCGACCTGACCCGCCGACCTAGACGGGCGCCTGCTGTGCTGGTGACATGGATGGAGTTGAAGGGGTATATATGGGCTTCTTCCTATGTGTATTGTGGGATTTGGGACGAGTATACGTTTCACGTGGCTGTTGTTCCTCGAAAGTGATGATTGGCTTCAAGTTGATATATATGCCCTGGTAGCGGCACAACCCAGTCCTGGAGGACTGTGACTTTCACTACTTATAAGGATATTCTCATCAATCAGGCCTTGACCCGGCAAAGCTTGCAGTCGCTTAACGTGTAGACCTTCAGCAAACGGCCTGGAGAACGAGCTCTCGAAGTTTTGGTTTAGGAAGCAAATACTATTTCCTATTGAAGCATGCTCATGAACCTGAAGAGCCCGCGAGCTCGTCGCCTCTTGCTACTTGGCTACGACTCGGCCGTACAGCACGAACTCGCAGTAAGGTGTCTTCTGTGAGCCATGCTGTCATCCGTGCCTAAATCTGCAAGCCAGCCCTTTACAATCCAGAGCTGGGGTATGCATTTGTAATGGGAGGTGCAACTCGTGTAGAAGCAGTACCTACTATTATGACAACTGTTTGTATGTATCTGAACTATGTTTTTCAGAAATCATATCGGCACTGTGAAAGAACGACATAGGGTGACTGCACATTGTCTCTTGTCGAACACTCAAGGTAGACTTGACGAGCAAAGTATTTTGAGACTCTCCAAAGACACTTCCGCGTTTGATGTTATGATTTGAGGGTTTTTCGCTAGAAGAGAGCGATGGATGGGTTCATTGGTGGTTTAACATGTTCCAAATGTCACCATGGATCTTGGAAGCTCTCACGCTTCGGAAGGTTACCAACTGAACGTGTTCAGAGCACTTCGAGTAATATACATGGCCTTGTCCATAGTTCGGAAGTTCAGATTCCTTTCAACTTTGTAGTGAATCTATTCCGCCTCTTTACATAGGACGAATACCTTCGTGCACCAGCGCCGGGTTGGTCGGCCTATTTGTACCAGGAGTCGGATGCGTGTGTAAGCGGACGGGACTTCTCAACCCTGCGACTCAACTTTCGCTACTCCGTAATAAGCCAAATAATTAGCCAATTGCCCCCAACACTATGTCTATGCTTTATGCTTACATGGCCTCTGATTAATGCCAAGAGAGGAGTCCTAATAAAGTAGCCATCAACTCGCCTTTAAATTATGGCGGTCTCAAGTCAGTTGACGTGATTTATTGAGAGTCTCGCACCAAACATCAGCCGAACAACTGCTGGTTCGTCCCAACTCGGAGCCAATTTCAGTCAAGGATCGGCAGTTCCCCGCAGTTCCCTTAGGCGGACCATTGACATTTGTCCAACGCGGCCATCCAAGAGGGAAGGTGCCTGGTCTGCCGGGGATCGATGCAACGGGCCAAGCCGCTAGGGTGCACGTGTGGTAGCCACTCGGAGACTCGGGCACAAGGGCCTAAGAGGAATAAACTCATGAACCCCGGCCTCGCTAGCAAAGAAGCATACTTTTGTGCTCAACTCCAAACGCTAGACGGAGGTTCTTTAATGTTCTTAACCGATGGAATCCTCCGAAAGGGGGCAGACAGATCCGGTGTTTGCAGGAGAGCGGCGAGGAAACCCTTGCGATTCGGTCCAGTCCAGCCGGGGCCATGCATAGTCTCAAGTAAAGTTGAGCTGACAAGCCCAAGACTTTCCAATGTCGTATCGGCACAACTACGCAGTAGATTGACTAACCCTTTAGTTCGTCTTGCAGGTATCCCGACTGGCGGAACAATAGCTTTTGCTTCTCTTGGGCGTCTTGGCAAGTATAAAAGATACGAACTTGGGAGTCTCGGCCGAGCGGAGTGGAACCTCGACTTCCACTGCCTCTGAAGCTCATTACCGGGCAAGGAGATGGTATTGTTGAGAGACATGAGACTTTGGATCCAGGTTCTCATAAGTAGAGCGTTGTTTGTCCCGGTTCACTATGGACATGGTCTTTGATACCTCAGCCTCTCTGTCTTTGCTCTGCCGTCTTGTTTTTACTTCTTAGGATACCTCTTAGTACACCGTACCATCAACATCATGAAGTTCACTTCTATTCTCGCCTCCTTGGCGCTGAGCGCCCTCACCTCCGCCGCGCCCGCCGCCTCTCCCGAGCCTGCCGAGCTCGCGGCCCGCGCCCCTACCCTCTACCTCTGCGGTGATAGCACCATGGCCAGGAGCAGCGACTCCCAGATGGACGGCTGGGGTCAATACGTCTCCAAGTACCTCAACATCGCCGTCGTCAACCGCGCCATCGGCGGCCGCTCATCCCGCTCCTTCTGGAACGAAGGCCGCTTCCAAAACGTCGCCAACGAGGTCAAGGCCGGCGACATCGTCGTCATCGAGTTCGGCCACAACGACGTCGGATCCCCGCGCTCGAACGACAACGGCCGCTCCGTCTGCCCCGGCGAGGGCACCGAGACGTGCGTCTCGGACACGACGGGCGAGACCGTCTACACCTACATCTTTTACGTCATCCAGGCCGCCAAGCTCATGACTGCCAAGGGCGCCACCGTCATCCTCAGCTCGCAGACGCCCAAGAACCAGTGGGCCACGGGCACCTGGGTCGGCACCCCGTCCCGCTTCGTCGCCATGCAGAAGAAGGCCGCCGCGACCATCAACGACGCGGCCGTCACCTTCGTCGACCACCACCAGGCCGTCAGCAACATGTACCTCAAGCTTGGATCGTCGGCCGTCAAGGCCCTGTACATCAAGGACAACACGCACACCAGCGCCGCTGGTGCCGACCTCAGCTCCCAGGCTTTCGTCCAGGCCATCTACCAGAAGATGAACGGCACGACCAGCCTTGCCGCCCACGTCAAGACGCCCATCAAGACCGTCTACTAGTTGGCATTTCGAGTCTCATATGCGATGATAAGAGAAGGTTCCGGTGGCGGAACCTGGGGTGCGGGGAGGTTAATGTCGTCTTCTTGTCGAGGAGCTTGGTCTCTGATGACTTGATGGCTCGAATTTCGCTGTACATATTTCAAATAAAACCATCCAAGGCTCTGTACATAGACAGAACAACACGTAAATAGTCAACAAGCCTTCGTATTTTTCAGATCCTTTGTAAAATGCCATGTCTGCTCGGCACTTTTGGGTTGTTGAAAGGCCTCGAACTCTTGCTTTCTTGCCCACAGGCTGTAACTCTTGCGGCTAATTACCTAAGCCAATTTCAAAGTGAGACCTTCAACGTACCTGTACTCTGTACCTAATGTGTCGATGTTGTGATTGAAATTATGAATGGAAGGAGCAAGCGGTCTTGACCGTAACTTCCACACGTAACCACGAGACGGAATGGCTAAGGTATAAAAACCCCCTCAACTCCATTCCTGTCACCAGCAAAGCAGGCGCCCTCTAGGTCGGGGTCAGGTCAAACTGTGGCGTGGGTGGTGGAACGGTTATGGTCAGCAATCATTTACGCCCACAGCCTACTCGACGACAGCCTACTAGTACCCGGATCCGAGTCCCAGCATTTGCACCAGAGATGTAGCCCCCAATTCAGCATCGGGGTTAAACTCTTTGATGTTCTTAAGACCAGATTATACATGTATGCAAGGCATCCATACTAGCATTGCTCGAACGTAGAATATTTATCATAGCTAAGGGCGATTCCAAACTTCGACTACGTCTTGGCGACGCACGTAACAACTTCTATCTCTAGGTATATCTTCATCTCTGTGCATGATTTCTTGAGTGATCTCAGTGGCGTAGAGTCTGTTCCATCAACATCGAACCGTATGTTCATTTCCCGAAAGGATGCTCGACCGGTCTGACCTATGACTCCATGACCATCAACTCTCTTTCTTGTCTTCTTTCCCGGAATGCCTCCCAAGGCATCATATTCAGAAGCTCTATGACTGGTTCCCGGATGTTTTGTCGCGAAGATGCCGGAGACTCGAGGCCGATGAAGTGGGCTATGGGTGTTCCGAGCACCCGTAGACACTATCTTAGCAAGGTTGATCTTGGCAAGGGTTGAGATCACCACGTCAAGGCCAAACGTTGTTCCACTCATTCAAAAGTTGCCCAATGTTATGGAGTGAGATTGCCCATAGTGGCTGTAACGATCGCAGTATCCAAATAGGACCGCTCGCAAATTTGATCCCACGATCAATCTTGGTACTCCCTATGCTTCGCCTCGCGAAACGGGGCAAACCTGACGTACAAGAACACACGATACATGATCATCGTCGACAGCATCCATACCGCCGTGAAGACTAACCACCAGAAGACATCGTGTGCATCGAGCCAAATCACCTGGTTGCGAAAAGACCAGGAAAAGTCGTAGTCCTCATAGTAGTCCCAGACCTCCTCAGGGATAACATCCCAGTGTACAGCGTAGGAGAATGATCCCATAACGATGGCAACCGCCATAATGAATCCCATCACGGTGCTGAGACAGATGAGAGTCATGATCGAAATGGCTTTGCGGGGAGTGTTCGTTTGTGACTCGTGGAAGATCAAATTCCAGGCACGATTGTCCATGAGAGGCCGCCGGGCGCCGTTTCCGCCGAAGGGATAAGACTCTGCGGTCGGGACATTGGGGGAAGCGTAGCTTGCCATTGTTTTATGTTGTGCGTGTTGCAAGTATTGTAGCTTTGATGGTGTTTCAATTTTCGGATTGGGCCGTGGTGATGAAGTGTGAATGACTAAGTCTCTATCGAGCATGCGATGGCACATAAGGAGGAAATTAAGTGAGTGAATCGACGTATCTCCGGAAGATCTATCACTAGGGCTAGATCAAAGTGGCTACGAACCAACCTTTATGGTTTGACCCTCCGTAAACTGCGCTATCTTCTCTTTAAGGTTGCAGGAAGCCTCGAACCTTCATCGAACGTTGCCAACGCCTTGCAAAACTCAAATGACTTCTACCTGAAATTAGTTCCATTAGCCACAGGCTCGTTCGCGAATTCATGAGCATAAGTCAACTCCCTTCTTTCAGGATACATAGGTTTTGCCGCTACATGTAGAGACCTTTCTGGTTTATTATCAAGTCTATCACGGAAACTAAATTCCTTGTATGTCCTGAAGAGAATTCAATGTTGTTCAGATCCATCTATGGGCACGAAGATAAGCCCATGGAGTCCTTGATATTGTTCCATTGTCCGGTGGCATACATACCTCTATTTACCTGAGTAGTCAAGGCTCTGTTTCTTATGCCACCAAATCAGTCCTCAGGTTGTCCAAGATTGAAAGTCCAAAACTGTTAAGTGTGTATGTATTTGTAAGCGCCGAGTGCTTGAAGAGATGAGGTTAAGTCGGTGGAGACCACGCCATCCGGCTTTAGTCTTCCCGATGTCGCTCAGCTCCACATAGGCGCCGGACAATTACCCGCCTCACCGTTTTTGTGTATCAACTTCCCGGCACAAGATCTCGGTTGGGAGGTTTTTGTGTCAACGCTAGCTTTGATTGGTTGGAAAACTTCACTCTGCAGATGTCGAGTTTGTCTTGAGAACAACTCGGCTACAGAAGTCTTGCGCCCTTACTTGACATTCGTTCTATCAGCCTAGTTAAAAGGCCGTCTAGAGGTCGTCTGAAGCGGGCAAAAGAGTTTTCTCATCACTCGCAACATCATTTCCCAGCGCCATCAGGATGCAACTCGCCGAGCGCCAGGAAGCCGACTCGCTTGAGCGTGCGCAACCTACGGAAAGTAAGTTTTCGACTTGCCGTTAATAGTCTCGTAGTGCGAAGGTACAAAATGCTGATCTTAGAACCTTGACAGCTCTGGACGTAGCACAGGATTCTCACAAGTACCCTGAGGGCGGCAAAGATGCATGGCTTGTTGTGGCTGGTGCATGGTGCGCCATGATACCATCCATGGGTCTTCTCAATACTCTTGCAGTTCTGCAGGCCTGGGTTTCACAGAATGAACTTCATGGGCTCCCGGAGTCGACAATAGGCTGGGCATTTAGCACTTACGCCTTCTTTCTCTACTTTTGCGGCGCTCAAGTTGGTATGAAACACATCTCAATCAAGGTAATGACTCAAGCTGATAATTCTTCAAGGCCCCATCTTTGACGCTCATGATGTGAGGTTCCTGGTAATCCCCGGATGCGTAGGATCTGTGGCGTCTATGATGTTGATGAGTCTCTGCAAAGGTAAGGGCTATCGTCTTCCCTCGTAAATGTTCAAAGTCTCAATGCTAAACCTTCAATTTGTGCCAGAGTTCTACCAGTTTTTGCTCACCTTTGGTGTCCTTGGCGGCGTGTCAGCTTCGCTTCTTTTCAATCCAAGCATCGCTGCAGTCGGGCACTGGTTCTCGGAACGCCGTGCTCTCGCTACAGGAATAGCCTGCACGGCTGGAGGCGTGGGCGGCGTTGTCTTTCCTCTCATCATCCTCTACATGGCTCCCAGGGTTGGTTTCCCGTGGGCCATCAGGACGGTTGGGTTTATCTGTGCTGCCGCGTCTGTTTTGGCATGCACGCTCTTGAAGAAGAGGCTTCCACCAAGCAAGACATCCAGGGGCGCAATCGACCTCAAGGCGCTGAAAGAGATGAAATTCGGTCTCGCCACATTGGCCGTATTCCTGATCGAGTTCGCAGTCTTCATCCCGTACACTTACATTTGCTTATACGCTATCCATGAGGGCATCGATCTCCAGAAGTCTCTCCTCCTAAGTGCTCTGCTCAACGCTGGGGCTATCCCAGGTCGTGCTTTACCGGGCTACGTCGCAGACCGATTTGGTCCCTTCAACGTCATGTGCGTCACTGCTTTGGTATGCTCGGCGTTCATCTTCGCACTCTGGTTGACAGCCCATGGTGGAGAAGCTGCTACGACTGCCTTTGCGGTCATGTTCGGATTCTGGTCCGGAGCTGCCATCAGCTTGACGCCAGTCTGCATTGGACAGGTGTGCAAAATAGAAGACTATGGAAAAAGGAGCGGCACGGCGTTCTTTGTCTGCAGTTTTGGTGCCCTTGTCGGTGTGCCCTTCGCTGGAGCTATTCTGCAATGGTCAGGTGGCACTTATGACGGCCTTATACTCTTCGCGGGTGGTCTATACATCTTGTCGTTCTGCGCTTTTGCCGTTGCAAGAGGCGTGGCCTGTGGGTGGAATCCCAAGACCTTGTTCTAGACTTGAGTAAGATTCAGTCCACTGTCTGGGGCCTTATATTGTCAGTGAGGACGAGACTTGTGGTCGCTATATGTTAGATATTTTGATCATGTTTGCATCTGCGAGAATGAAAGCCTTGTAACAAGCTTCGCTTAGTGACGATAGTGAATGGGAAGGCATGAGCGCATGTTCGAGGCTTTTGAACGGGGTTTTCCTCCAAGACAGCGATGAAATATCTCTTGGCTCAAGACTTGCTGCGCCCAAGATAGACTCAGAGAAATGAGGGAACTGGAGTTTGTGATTTTTAATGCCTTTGAGTATTAGATCCACGGATGAGTAGACGAGCAATATAGCGATGAACTGAGACTACATTGATGTGCGTGAAGATGAGCTGTTTGCTGTCAACTTGAATTCCTCGAAGGCAAAACCAGGTATAATAGGGGAATAGCAGACTGAGAGTTCAAGTAAGAGTGAAGCCCTGGCGTACTATGAAAAGCTGTGGAACCATAGCGCAGGTTTACAAATTGAATCCGATCGTTGTGTTGTTCTTCACTAGACTATTTGTCTGCTATCCCGCCGGCACAATTTTGGGAGATCAGCGCAACATGACTCAAGTTTAAGGTTGTTGTCGCGAAACTGAAGTCTTCTCTGAACGAAGAACCCGTAATGAGCCGTCTTGTCAAATATTAGGGGCTGAGTCCTTCGAAAAAGGCTATTGTTGGCGACACTAACCTGCTCGAGTCGTGACCTTGAAGCGCCGTTTCGGAAAAAGCGACGTCGGCAACCGAACCGAGCTGACCAAGCAAATTCCATTTACACCAAACGGCTATTAAGAACTTTAAGACCATAGCTTACCTTAAAATACACCACCTGACAGCGGCCGCCTCCACATCTTCCGATGAACTGGGCAATGCTCACCTTACAACTTCCTAGGCTAGGCCCACACAACTCACTTTAGAGAGATGCGGCAGTTAACATCGTTTGACGCTCATATTGCTTGCGCGCGGCTGTGTGGTCTTCCCTTGCCAATACCTGTCGCGCATTTGGAAGACTGACTCCATTCCAAGGCCCAAGGCCGGCAGGCAGCCTCCGCAAGGGGTTGTCGCAGACTAATCGGCGAGTCCTTTGATCACTCAACCTCAATGATGCTAATCAATAGGGTTTCTAAAGCCGATTTTTTGTGTATAAGTTGTGGCTCTCGACCCTCTGCCGAGAACCTTTCCGTTATCTTCATCGCACTCTCTAACCTCACAAACCACTCGCTTCTCTACAGTCTCTACAATTTATAGCAACGTCGCCACTGCATCTCTTTGCTTCTGATACCCAAAAATCGTGGCCAATCAAGTCGCATCTTAACAACTCGCCAAAATGCACGCCCGCAACGTTCTCATTCTCGCCCTTGGCGCTGTCGCCTCCGCCCAGAAGTTCGTAGACTTCCCCACCAGCTTGACCTGCAAGACTGGCGCTGGCGGCAAAGAAACTGCCACCATTTCAAAGATCGAAGCCCAGGATGCCGTGAAGGGCCCCAACGGAACCAAGCAGGACGACTCTGCCGCCAACGTTGCTTCTGGCAAGTGCGTCAGCCTCTCTGGCATACCCTTCTACGGAGTAAGTAACAGCATGAGACATCTTCCACATATCTACCTCTGGGACTTTTCATGTGCTAATCGGACTCTTTTCACAGGGCGGCGTTTCTGGCAAGGGAAGCATCTACTTCGCTTACGATAAGGCGAAGGATACATACTACTTCTGCTCGGCGCAAGGAGCTGTTGACGAGTCGGGATGGCCCTCTTCTTGCACGGAGAACTAAGCATGTTAGTTTAAAGTTGAATACCAAGCGAGCATTTGTCATTTTACATCTATTGGAGCCAATTCCGCCTGCATTCTGAGTAGGTATGAAATGATGATTTTTTGACGTACGTTATGAGCAATTTGTCTTGTTGATGCAAACTTTGCTTGGAGTGCAAAGAACTATATGGCTTAACGACTCGGAGTGAGCGGCGCAATTTGTGAGAACGAACAACCTTTGTCAACAAAACGCAATTGAAAGTTATGGCCAGACCGTCCGACAGCAAAGGCGCCGGGTGGGGTCAACCGACGTCGCCCCGAATCAGCGCCGGCCTCCGATGAAGTCCGAATTGTAAGAGGCCCAAGACGCCGGCGGGTCGGGAGCGGGCTGATGAAGAATGCAAGTTGGTAATCGAGCTTCTTATTATCAATCTCGGATTGAACGATTGAGAAACGAAACCTAGACGACTGAATTTTCTTTCACACCGCACTGTTTCTGAGGATGAGTACAAAAAGAGATGTTTTCTCCGGGACTAATTTGTCTCTTGAAACTCTTTTACCTACCATCGAGAGACAAGGACTCACTAAGCGTCTCTAGCCTACATCTTGACTGACACCGAAGTCGTAAGACAACGTTTACTCAATCCTACCAAGAGCTTTCAGAACGACATGTCGCGCGCGATTCTCATCACTGGCGCCACAGGCAAACAAGGCGGTGCCGTTATCAATGCTCTGCTAGCCAGACAGCCATCGGACTTTCTGCTTCTTGCAGTAACGAGAAATGCGCAGTCGACATCTGCCAAACGCCTTACAGCAAAGTCCTCGAACATCAAACTCGTTGAGGGAGACCTTGATGCAACCCCGGCGTTATTTGCTTCCGCAAAGGCCGCTGCCGGAACCGTTCCTCTATGGGGCGTGTATTCCGTTCAGGCAATGGGCGACCAGAAGTCAGACAGCGAGACAAGGCAAGGCAAGGCATTGGTGGACGAATCTATTAAGGCAGGGGTGCGGCACTTTGTCTACAGCAGCGTCGAGCGAGGCGGTGACGAACGGTCTTGGAGCAACCCTACGCCAGTACCACATTTCATCACGAAGCATCAAATCGAACACCACCTCCGCGACAGCGCCGCCAATAGCAAGACCGACATGGGCTGGACGATCCTGCGTCCCGTCATCTTCATGGACAACCTCATGCCAGGCTTCTTCGGCAAAGTGTTCTTCACCATGCTCCGTGACACCATGAAGGAGAAGCCTTTGCAGTGGATCGCGACCAAGGACATCGGCTTCTTCGCGGCTGAGGCGTTCCATGACCCGGCTACCTGGAATCAGAAGGCGGTCGGCCTGGCTGGCGATGAGCTTACCTTCTCGCAAATGAATCAGACTTTCGAGAAGACGACTGGCGCACCCGTCGGGACCACATTTGGAGTGCTAGGCAAAGCTTTGAAGCATGGGGTCTCTGAGATTGGTATCATGGTCAACTGGTTCAAGGACGAAGGCTACAAGGCGAATTTGTCACAGGTCAAGAAAGTCCATCCAGACATTCTTACTATGGGAGCTTGGTTGAAGGAGAGTGCCTTTGTAAAGAAGTGAAAGTATTCAGGCTCAGGATTCAGGAGGGGATTCTATTGCAAAGCTACTTTTGTGAGAGCACTTAGACTAGGTAATGATAGAATTAATGTGGAAGCAACATATTATTCTTCGAAAGCAACGGCCAATTAGTAGTTGCATGTGATATATCATATCGCTAAGTGGTTTTCAGAGGGATGCAAAGCCCGAATGGAACATAAAAGTCCACTTATTGCATCAACGGCTAAAGTTGAACACCCACAGAACCACCTGGTCCAGTGACGTCACCTGCACACATCAGGCAACTCAATCGACTCCAGGACGATCTGCCGGTGAGATGGGCCGATTGTAGCTAATGCGAGCTTGCTAGCCCCTGCCTCAACCTTGCATACAAAAGTCCGACCCGCGCGGGAGAACAACTCTGGGGTCTTCAATCATACCTCACCTTTTTCATGGTGTATCTCATAAGTTGGCGGGCGGAAAGAATTACTGATCTCAAAGAGCGGGCAGCAACTCCACGCACTCTACTCACAAATTGCGATACCCAGCGAATTGCTGCCGATATTACGAAAACTTAAGAGAACTATGTGCTTCTTCAATGCTTGGTAACACAACATGGAAAAGATACGGCTGTTCCCCTATAGTTGGTTCTCTGGTTCTTCGAAAGCGCATTGCAACATCGCGCCCGCACCGGACTAGCCGTAGAAGGCATCCTGCATTTTTCAGTACAACCTTATAACTTAACCTTCCAACTCCGGACTTACCGACAAACAGCAAAACCGGTTTATAGAAGGAGCTATGCTGATCAACGGGTTGGTTGACAATTCTTACAAATAAACTTCAGGGGGTTCTCGGGGCACGCTTCTGAATCGAGTCATGTGGTCTGACTTAAATATGGATAGTTGGGCGGTTCACTGCGGGGATAATGTCGCATGTATACAACTCTACAGTAATTATACAGTACTTCGGAAGACTTAAGCCGACTGTCCTCAATAAGCCAACTCTATTTCTGAGGACCGATCGTCATCGGCCACGGGCTCTCGTGCGATTGGCCTGCAATAGTGGCGCATAGTGGTTAACGAGAGCGAAACCAGAATATCAGACATCGTAAGATCATGGGTGTCTACTGCTAGATGCTACCTTCTAGACTCGATGGAAATGCAACATGGTAAGTAAGATATAAGCCGCCTAGTTCCTCCCTGGTCTTCGATGCGTCAGTTCCTGGTAGTTCATCCCATCTTGACTCTCCAGCCCACCAGCGCAGCATTGTCAGCTTAACTTCGTTCACACATTCTTTCTCGGTCAACAAATCTCAACAATCGCTACCAAAATGAAGTTCGCTGCTGTCTTCCTCCCTCTCATCCCCGCCGCTCTGGCCGGAGAGTGCATTCGCGACGGCGGCTGCCCCGGCTGTGGTCAGGTTGCCAGCGTCAGCTACGTCCAAGACGGAAGCACCTCCACAGCCACGGCTGCCTCCTACGGCTCCGTCACCTTCTCCGACACCACTATCACTGTCAAGAACACGTCCAAGAAATGGCTGTTGTTCTGCAACTACGGCTCGGCCTGCTTCCCCGTTGAGGCCGGCGACACTTGCACCTCCACCCGCCAGTCGTCCGACTCCACCGCTCTCGGACTTCAAGTGTGGTCCCAGTAAAAAGGTAAGTTCTGACCGGCTAAACGTTTCTAGCAGTGAATGTCAACTGACACGGATGCTCAGGGATCTCCAAAACGCGCGTCTGGGATCGGCATGGAAGCATGGCGCTGAAAGCTTGGACAAACGCGCGGGTGTGACAAACTGACAGGAGTCAGGCGGGGTTGGCGGTTCCACGTCCCGCAGTCGTCCCAATTCTGTGCACGGCGCCTGAGATGGCGAGTACGAATACGTGGATTGTACACTTTGTGCCACCTCCACAGGCAAATAGCTGCCAATGCACTTGGTCTGCCAAATGACTGAGGGTGTTTAGAAACCAAGAGACATCGAACAGCATTTACGTTTTTCACGATGAACCAAATGATATCTTGTCTCTTGCTCTGTGCATTGTGATATTTATAGACCATGGCCATTCTCGACGACAGGGTTGATGCTCGTTAAGCTACCCCTTTCCCCTGTCGCGCGATCGGCACCCCTGAGAGGATCTACTTAAGGAGTGACACTATGACCCGGCCTTGTGTTGAAGCTAGACAAGGACACCGAATATGTAGATCAAGTATGTACATGTAAAGGAATTGAAGAAGAAAATGTTGCCACACTTAGGTGACGTTGTCAAAGAAATTGGGTTCAGCAGAAATCGTGAGCCCTAGTTGTTGGCGTCTGCCCGTTATCGTCGCATCCTCAAGACTGCTTGCTCTCGATTCATGTCTCTCGTTCGTCGTTCTTGTATTCGTCTCATGATAGATCTTCAACGTTGAGAAGAACGCTCTGCTTCAAAGGAACAAAGCCTTCTCTTCCGAGTTGCCTCAACAGCTCAACCGCCCGCGATTGGGGTTGCGAAACAACAGAAAGCTCGCGATAGTGATGGAAGTTATCCACGAAAGTCTTCTCCGGGTAGTGCGTGCGCAAAATGTCGAGGACGGTATCAAAATTGAAGGGCTCAGCCCAAGCAAAAATTCTCTCGCTGCGAACGTTTGGGAGCACTGCAGCAGCTACGTGAAGTCGAGCGTTGTCTTCCACGTCGACGAAATACTCTGCAGTCTGTATTAGCTTCTCGTATAAGCAAAGAGTGAACATTTTCCTATGCGCTTACGTGGTGGAATGCTTGCTAGACGGTCCACGTGCGTTCCGTTCCATAGACTCTCGATGAAGGATGAGGTTGACGAATGGCCCTGATTGGCCGCATCCACAGCTCTTCCAAAGTTGGTTCCGGGAAGCACTAACACCCAATCAGCCTCATTGCACAATCCAAGCATCGATAGAACTGCAGGTTGCTTACCGCTGCTGACTATCAAGTCATAACGTCGCCGAATATTTTCGTGATAAAACTTCCACACTGCCATCTCAGCTTCCACCTTACTAGCGGCATATATATGCCACGCTCGCTGAGGGTGGTACGGAGCCTCCCTCCATGCTATTTCCACCGACTCGGTGTTCCAACTGTCGGAGTTCACCTCGATTCCCTTCTTCTCGGGTTGAGGGAGAGCTGCAGCAACGGAAGAGCTGGTGAAAATGAACCGCTTCACACTCGCCGCTTTGTTGGCGGCCTTCAGAGCATTGAGAGCCACAGTGATGCTGCGAGGAATGACGCTCTCGGGATTTGGGCTAAAAGACACCGGGGAAGCGGCATGGATCACAGCAGAGACGCCTGTAAGGGTGTTAGCCTCCCTGAGGTATAAGTAAGAGCTTCGACACATTCACCTTCAACCGCAGCGTCAAAGGCGCCCTCCTTCTCCATGTCCGGCAATGAAACCAACATGAAGTCACCCTTTGGTCTCTGTCGCTTCAGCGCTTCTGGTAGCCAGGCGCATTTCGTAACGTCGCGAACCGTTCCGCGGACGCTAAATCCCAGCTGCAGCAGTTCATTGCAGACATGGGAGCCGATGAAACCGTTTGCACCCGTCACCAGGACCATTGAGCCCTTTGGAATGGCGAATTTTCGTTCCGGAGTCATATTGAAGAAACCTGGGCTGGCGATATTGACTGTCCCTTACAAGGACGACGAGTGCAGAACCACCGTGGCTGTTCGCAGAGCCAAGAAATGTGGCTATTTGTCGAGATGGCTGCGTTGCTGCGCGCGGTGACCGCCAGGCATCCCGTCGAGAACGAAAACGAAAGCAAGCGGATGATTTTATAAACTCTACTGACCTTCCAAGACTTTCTGAATGCATCTTAGGCTCAAAAAAATCTACCCCGCCTTTTTATTTAGATAGAGGTTTCGTGTCTGTCACTTGTGACATTTTTCTGGTGGTTTGAAACAGCCTTTTTGCCAGAGACCGTTGTCGTTGAACGCCAAGTGGGACTCCTGGAAAAGGCCCAAGATGACAGAATGGGACCCAGAGCCGATGCACCCCCACGACATATCGCGAGAGAAGAGATACTCGCGCCGATAAATTAATGCGACAGCAATTGGTTCTTTGCGGATGAGTCGGCATCAGAGGAATTTTTCCATTCCTCTAAAAGTCTCGTCCGAACATTGAGGATTCGTATGGCTGACAATGGGTTCCAAGGGGTTGTAGTTACGCAAGACTTGACATGGGACTCAAACAATACCAGAAACATGAATTTTCCGACTGTCTACCAGAAACGATACACGCTGCAAAGTGCGGTCTTTCTCAATTGCTGGATCCAAATTTGAGGCCTTTTCTTCTTACGTGTATTTTCTTTCGCACCAAAAGTTAGTTTGGCAACTTGATATGCCATGTTGCGGCGATCCCCGCCCCCACTTCGTGACAATTACGTGCAACTTCAGATACTCTGAAATGGCCATATGTTGCAAGGATCTCAAACCCGCCAGTCTGCTTTTACTCAAGCTACGGATTTTCAAACAGGTTGCCATTGTGTGGCACTAGTCGAAAGCGAGAATTTGTCATTTCCTACTCGACCTCCTCCAATTGGCCATTCATATCATCTTTTCCGAAGATGTCAATCGTGCGAGTGCACTGTTAAACTGCCTGGAAGAGGAAAAAGCCTTGAGCCATGGAACAAAAGGCTGCTTACTCGCAGCTTCCAAACTCATTCAAGAGTACCATGATGATTTTAAGGGGGAAAAACAAGGAGCATTTTCTCAAGCTGATTATCCGTAAGAGGCCGTTGCAGGGAGATCAGGAAGTTCATCTTGAACAGAAGTGAGTGAAAAGTCTCTACTGTTTACAATAGCGGGTCCCTCTTGAATTAAAGCATTCATTAGTTCATTAGATTATCATAGTCCTGACTCTACCGGTCTAAAGATCTCGTGATGCTAACTGCCTTAATTCGTCTCCTCGATTTCTAGTCTCGGCCTCTACACAAGTTTGCCACGCTACCTCTTAATACTTCGCAAATTATAGACCCACGTGAAGGGAACCCTAGAATGATACTCTACGCAAATACATCAATTGCTTGCTCGCCATGACACTTACACTATCTTGACGACCCTGCCTGCCCTTAATGGAAATAAAAAGGCCGACTCCTACGACACAATTTTTGACGTCGGTCAAAGGCAATGCGAGCGTCTTTGCACTTGTGCATCATGTAGCAGACCTAGATGAAGCCAGAAATAAGACCATAAGCGCCAAGACATCCAGAACAAGGGTAAGCACTCACACAGTCACACTATGATGGGTTGTGATCGGTCCACATGTTGGCCATGGTCTAGATATAACGTTTTCAAACGCTGCAATGCTACGACTTTATGGTAAGGACGGTATTTGCCGAGAGGACTAACGATCAGGTCCGGGCCGCTGTCCGGGTACGGGGCAAAACTTCGGTCCCGGACGGGGCTCCTCCTCGCTCTCGTATTCCGCAAAGATTGGTCGAATACAGCGGGGAATATGGGGCCCTTAGCGGCTCGCACTTGATCGGAGACCGGCCGTACGCAAACGTCGAATGACATTCCACCTTCAAATAGGCAGTCCCCCTTACGTAGAGGAACCTAATCCTGTGCATTACTCGTGCGGTAGAGTAATTATGTAAGCAGTGTAACCTTTTGTTGGACTCTTGCAAATCTGCCACGATGAACATAATGGCGATGGTCTACCGGTTGAGAGCCGCCGCTCTTCTTTGGCGCTGTATCTTTCAATATCCTAAGCGAAAATATGCAATCGCAGAAGGGGAATGATGCTCCCGCCAACCAATTTTCATGCACGCAATGCCGAACACGGAAACTCAGGTGCGATCGCGCCCGCCCGCGCTGTGGACGGTGCGCGAGGCTTGGGGACAGCTGCGACTATCCACAGTCGAGAAGAGCGAATGTCGGCAGGAGGAAACGCGTGCATGAGCTAGAGGCTAAATTAGGTACGTCAGTTCTGTTTTCACCGCGTATAAACAGACGGGATTTGTGGCAATGTTGTTCTTTGGGAACCAATTAGTCTTCCGCTCATAATCTTATAGAGCAACTTGAGCGTCTGGCAAAGACCGGAGACAACCCTTCTGCCTCTGAAAATGACGAAAGTCCGCCTCAGCAGATCGCCGGTGAGAGTGCCGATTGCTTGATGGGAGACTTGCCGTATGCGACGACATCTACCAGCGGTACTCCAGATCAAAATCAACCCCCACTAAACGACAAAACGTCTTTCACAGATTTACTCTCCCTCGGGCTTTTTGAGCAATCACCGTCTCAAGACGTCATTGAGTTTCTGTGAGAACTGTCACTACCGCCTATTGGTTTGAGATTATTGAAGTCGTTACGTTTCTAACTCTACCGGCAGAACGAGGACCTACTTTGAAAAGTGGCAATACGCTGCGCCAATGTTGCACCCAACTCGGTATACCATGTCGTTGTACTTGCCGCCTCATATGCAGCCTCCAATGTGCCTACAATATATCGTCATGGCCTCCGGCGCAGAAGTAACCAAGACTCACAGGCAGCTCGCCATGCCGTTCTACCATCGCGCAAAGGCATATGTAGAAGCCGATGAAATGAGAGTGAGTTGTGCGGCCCTTTTTAACCGAGACATCGGCGAATTCTAGTTTCATGTGTTGCTGACACAACCCAAAAAAAGGGTGATGGGCAGTTCTTTGCTACTGTAGCACATGCTCAGTGCTGGACACTGATCGCCAACTTTGAAGCCCAGCAACTCTACTTTGCGCAGGCTTCAATGAGTCTTTGCCGAGCCATTAGGATCGGTCAGATGCTTGGCCTTCACCGGGTTGACGGGGAAGGCGTCGATGCGATGTCTTTGCTTCCGCCTCCACAGGACTGGTCCGAGGCAGAGGAGAGACGGAGGACGTGGTGGGTAATTTACTGCTCGGATCGGTTGGTTAGCGGTAGCACGGGCTGGCCGGTAATGATCAACCAGCAAGATGTAAGTAAACAGCATCTAACGCCGGACCGTACCTACCTCGTTGGAGAAGACATGATATCTAAGGTCTGACCGTTCGTGCTCACATAACTTTTTGCAGATTACTACACATCTCCCTGCGTCAGAAACGGCATTTGAAACAGGCGTCGAGGAGCAGACGAGCCCTCTGACGAGCATTCTCCTACAAGAAGGTCGCGACTTCTCCGCCTTTGCAGGACGGGTCCTGGCCGCGGCATCCTTCTTCCAAGCCTTTCAGCACTCGACACGGACACTACCAGACGATGACCTCACCGACCCACGAACAAGTCGGAACTGGAAACGCCATCGTGAGATTGACAACGACCTAGTAGGTCTCCTTGCCGCCCTCCCGGACGACCTGACGCTCCCCCGGAATATCCAAAGCCGCAACGCCACCTTTGTCAACGCCATCATCCACACGTCGGTCATTTTGCTACATAGAGCAGCTCTCGCCAGGATAGAGTCGTCCGGACTGCCGGAGCACATGGCGAAACAGAGCCAGGCACGGTTGATTTGTGCCGCCGAAGAGATTCTGAACATCATCCGAATGATGCCCGATATCACGCAGACGCTCAAGAATCCCATGATGACCTTCTCCATATACACAGCCTCTCTCGTGTTCCTCGAAAACTGGGATACGTCCGCTCAAGACTATCGACGGCAGGATAATCTTGATTTGATCCTTCGCATCATCATACTAGCTGCCAAAGCGTGGAATAATCCCGTCACGAGGTCTACAGCAGTTCAGCTCGCGGTGGATATGCGACAGCGAGGTCTCGAATCCGAGGCAGTTGACAAGGTAAGTATTCGCAAGGCCCTTTCACCCCACCGGGAAATCCCTCACAAGCCTGTACTGATTCAGATCGTGTAGGCAACTGAATTGTCACCAGGCCTTGATATGGAACCTATCATGGCAAAGGGGCTGTCTTCATCCTCCAACTTTGTGTACCAGGTCAAGACCGCGGACGATGCAGCACACGAACATACCTGATTAGTAGCTGAGCCGCAATGACTCTGCTCTTGAAGACTAGCCTATGAAGGACCATCGTTATGTTGGCAGCCCTCAATATTGTAAAAAGTCGAATGCCTGCAAATTGCATCGCTTCAGGTATCTAAAGGCTGCGCCGTCAATTCGCATGTCAAGAATTGGCAGGCAATACATCAGGCAGTAATACAAGACTTTAAACGCTGATTTGCGCGTTGAGGGGCGGCCAAATCACTTGTAAGTTGTTAATGCCAGATTCTGTTTCCACCGTTTCTCGCAGTACGTATCGTGCTTGGCGCTTCGCATAACGGTGTCCCAAGAAGGCCAGCGGACTTTTACCTAATACAAAACGGTCCGTTTACACCACTTCCCTTCCTGTTCATCTGTAAACCAACTCGCTTCAGATCATACACAAATATTCACACACACTCACACACTCACACAAACGTACGCGAAACTAAATCATGGAGGAATGGACAGAGCCCTCCGTCGCCACCCTGCTGGAGAGAATCCTCCCTGAGTACCCAGACTTCAAAATGCTCACACCAGCCACCAAGCGACTTTTCTGGACGCTCAATGGCCCTCTCGAGAGCGCAATTCAGGTCACGCCAAACCACTATTACGAGCCAGGGGACGTGATGGAGCCCTACTTTCGCCCTATATCTGCCGAAGAATCTGCGAGCGGTCTCGAGCCGAGCTGGCACCCTGTATCGCAAGAGTCTCTCATGGCGCCCCCCATCACAACCGTCACCGTCCGAGTCGAGGCACTCGACTCATGGGAAGAGCTCTGGGTCGAGTTGAATCGCTACTGCGTTGCAGATACCTTGATGGATCCCAACCGGCCCCGGGCTAAAGACGTTCAGCTTGAGGTGACGACGGCGGGTACCTTTCTCACGATACACGAGTACATCTCTGTCGTGCACCCGTGGCTCATGGGCATGCGCGAGAGGATTCTAGACGCCTTGGGAAAGCTCGAACGCCAGGCGGGGAAGGTTTTGTGGACGCCCGAAACCAGTTTGGCCGTCCATTTGTTCGGTGGGCCGATTAGAATCGGGACTGAAGACGGGTGGGCTCAATGGCACAGAAAGCCCAGCCCACCGCGAGCGGTCGAAATGACCTTAGCTGAGGACCAGGAGGCCTCGCGACAAGTCATGGAGAGAATGAAGGCGAGATCTGCGGCTCGAATACGTGAGCTGGAAAGGCTTCGCCAAGAAGGGGGAAATTGAGATAGGCTGGTTCATCTGCTGTGTACATGTGTATTCCATTATCCATCGCACTTTTCCCATTTCCTAGCCCACGATAACTAAAATATTGAAAGATGAGAGTTCCAGCACAAATGTGTGATACTTGCTCATTTACCGCGATGGCTCACAACTTGTGTAGAAGGTCTAGAAGGTCCAGCTCCCCACAACTCCAGAGCCTTACTACCGAATGGCATCAGGCAATCGCTTCAATAACCTGTCTCAACAGTACTTGCAGGCACCGGACGGGCAATATCCGTGGCTACAAGTAAACTCGCAGAGGTCCTCATAATAGGCTAGATTCTCAGTGACATTATCATCTGGACAGCCGTGGCGCCCTGTCAGTTCTGGTATACCGTCAGCCGGCTCTGAGGCGGGCCCCGTGCAGACGCATGCACCAGCAGGACAGTGATTGAAGTCACAGCTGTATGAACACAGGCCCTTGAGGTTTTCTGTGATACCTATCGCGTTCGAGCCGCCGGTACAGGCGGGAAAGGGAGCCGCTGTGGAGGTGCCTGTGGTTGTCACAGAGGTCCCGGTGGTTCCCAGAGTCGAGGTTCCTGGGACCGTGGACGTCGAAATGGCCGCAGGCGTGGACGAAGCGGATGTGAGTGTGGACACGGGAGATGTCGAAGTCGAGGCACAGATTCCAAACCCGTCCTGGCTGCGTGGACGTCAGTTTTACCACATTGGCCAAAGATGGAATTCGAGACTCACCACCCTCTCTCAATATGACAGTCGGCAGGCTTCTCACCGCAAATACCGTTCACGTTACAGCACCTCCCCCACTCGGCCGAGCACCTCATTCCCTCCGCGCCACCGCAGGTACCGTCTTTCGTCCACTTTGTGCCAGCCGGCTGTTCGTCCTGCTTCCAAATGTCGCAGTCCCCATTCTGGCAGGCAAAGAGACCACAGAAAGCGTCGCCCGTGCCGCATCGACCGTTTAGGCTGCAGCAACTTCCCCAGCGGCCAGCGCAGACGCGAAAGCCGTAGTCCTGTCCACATGTACCATCGGTGCTATAGACAGTATCGCCCACACAGTCGCCCTCGTAGCAGGTTCCAGGGGCGCAGTCCTCGCTAGGGGGCAATATGTCTTGTTAGTCTCTTGTAGGTAAGGTAATTCATCACATTGGGGTTACAGCCACATACGTCGAATCGCCGCAGGCCCACGTCTCCGAGTTGCAGCACTGCTTGTCGGTTCCGAGACAGGTAGCGTTGTTATGACGAGGGCCGCAGAGACCATCAACAGCCCTAACGGGCTCAATAACTAGGTCAAATAGTCAGTCGATATCATAACAACGCAAAGTAGCGCCCAGTGGTATGTAGGCACTCACACCCTGAGACGCAGTACTCGGTCTGGGGCTTGATGTTACCACAGTCCCTATCAAGACTTGGGTTCAGAGTGAAAAAAAGGTCGCTGGGCATATCGTAGCGCTGAGCAAGCTCCGAGCATGTGTAATAGCTAACGTCTTTTGGGGTATCGGTCCAATACCGGCAGTTGACCTCGCCCGGGTTAACAATGATAAGGGTACCTTCAGTTGGCCCGGAGTCGTCATCGGCCGCGGCAATGCGCATCTGAGAAAGAGAATCCCAGGTATAAGGCTGGCATGACTTCCCGTCTTGAGCTGAGGAGAGATGTGACAAGACAAGAGAGGAGGCCATGGCCAGCGAAAGGGCGGCACCGGGGCGCGAGATTGCAGCACCGAAACTGAACGACCCCATGGTATCCTCTTGTGCTTGCAGCTTGTACGAACGGTCTTTCTGCAGAAGGAGGTTCTAACGGAGCCCTATTCGACCTCGGGGGTTCGGATTGATAGTTAAAAGGGCTCGATCGGCTTGAATGACCTCCATTCTTGCCGCGCTCCCATTGCCCTGCGCCGCTCGGTACTGCCACTGCATATTTTCATTTCCTATACGAGAGGCACGGCTGAGAGCTCCCCTGCGACAGATATGAAGAGAGTTTCCGGAATTCTCTGTTGATTGGCTTGTGTTGTGGGCAATTTGGATCTTGGCGTTGGTGGTGTTGGGTCGAGAGCCGAGAGCCCGCTTTGCTTCTCGACGACGGAGTCCATTCAATGAATAGGCGGGGCAAGCAACATCTGACCTACCTTATCAAGACAGTGCCATGGTTCATCATCTTATTCCAGCACAAACTTGTCACAAGCAGCAGGTGAGTCGTGGTAAAAGCGTGTAACCATGAGGCACAGCACCGCTTGTGTGACCGGCTAAAGTACCTTGGCATGGAGGTACCGTTGAAAACGGTGGAATCGGTTGATCCGTGTGGCACAATTTAGGCAATATGTGCCCCACAATTTGAGCATGTTCTGCCAAAGTTCCGTCCCGCCCCCTCCAAAGACCCTTAAAAGACGCTTGTCGAGTCGACCACCGTTGGCGATTGAGGAATATCCGCTCCGCAAAACCCGATGATAGGAGGTAAGTGGAGGCTAGAAGGACAGGGCACGCAGCAGCATTGCGTCTCCTCTCCAGGGAAACGCGCCGCGAGGTCTCCAGCTGCCCTTAATCATGGCCAAGCAGAGATGCGCATTCTCAAATGGGCTCACTTACATCGGCAATGCAGCCGTGATCTCTAAGATCGACACTAAAACTGGCACGGATAGTGACCATTTATTCATCTTCTAAGCGGTGAGGTGCGGGCTCATCATCAACTGAGGCGATGACGGGAGCCCCGATCAAGCCGACACGAGTGCCCTGGACACGTCACGGGCCCAGCTCCGAGGAGGCTCTGAAGCGCGTGCGTCCCGGTCATCATCGCGTAGTCGACCATATCCCGGCCGAGTTCAATAGCTACTCCGTGATAATCGAGCCGGATTTCAGGGAACTGACTGATTCGGGGATGCGGGCTGCTGGCTCGGCCGACCTATACATGCTCGAGGCCGGTACTTATCACCGGAGTAATTATGGACGAGAGCTGCCGGTGCCCTCCGAGACGACCCCCGCTCCTCAAAATCACCGATGAGATCGCCTAGGTCGCCGCACTCCTGACCAAAGTCGAAACAGAACAGTATTCAGGGCCCCGAGCCACCAGTCAATATTACGCAACGCACTGCCGCCGACTCATACTGGATGGAGTCCATCGCCCCCAAAGGCGTTGTCCCCTACGGCGATGATCTCTCTTGCGCATAATTCTGCGTTACAATTTCCTACGGCGCCATCAACAACTGCGTAACTAACAATACCACCCCCATCAAGCGGGCCATTAACGACGGGCGGCGTTGCGGCGAGAAATGCAACGGCTTGACGGTCAAGAACGCCATCGTCTATTTCCCCCTCACGCAGCACAATACCTCTTCCCTCAGAGGCGTAGATCATCGGCGATACCACCAGCCGCCCAGAACCGACCACTTTCAAGCCCTCCAGCGGTCTCGCGGTACTTTCAACAGACAAGTACACCGGTACCGCGACTGGTCCAGACGGGCACGGTTAGCAGTAGCGTGTCAACACGGCCAATCTGCACCGCCAGACCTGCAACGACATCATCGACGTCTGCCCAGCGCCGCCCTCAGAGGATGCGGCATGACTCAACTACTAGATAACCCAGGCCACCAGGTCAGAAAGGACTGAGGTTGGGTGTGGAAGTCGATAACCATGATCGATGTGAACAAAGGCCTCGAGTTTGTGCCTGACTATCCCGACGACAGCGTTCGGCCATCGTTGACCATGGGCTCGTCCTTCACAAACGTCGATGCCGTCGTCGCTATTCAGCCGCCGTCGTCTCAAACCGTCTCGGGAAGTACCGGCCTCGGTATCGAGAACACCGCCATGTCGGGTGTCACCACCGCCGTCGTCGACACGAATGGCAACTCCCTGCTGGCCGCGTTTACCAGGCTTGGCGAGTGGGTGCTGGGCCCCGCGTATTCGAGCTCAGCCGATGCTAGTACGCGCTCCTTTTCATCTGCGCCGTGCTCATTAACTGGGATATGGCTACTGATGCAAAGGGATCAGCGACTCTCTTGGACGACCACGTCCGGATCGGTGGTGCGACGGGTACCGACTTGACGCCTATTGAGAGTGCCCGGTTTTGACCTCTGGTATCCGCCCAAGCTGAAATTATTCTCCCTCTGATGATGCAAAATACGCCAGGCGCATCGTGATATTTCGAGAACATGTTGCTGTGGGTGGCTGACCATATAATTGATGACCCAGACCTGGAAGACGCCAACAACACCATGGTACAGAACTCGATCTACGTTGTCCGCGGCCTGCTTGTCGAGAGCACCGGGGCCACATGGCTGTACGGCACGGCATTAGAGCACGCGGTCTTGTACCAATACCGCTTTCGTAATGCCGCGAGCGTCTTCGCCGCCATGATCGAAGCAGAGTGACCGTACTACAAGCCAACCCCAAATCCGCCTGCCCCTTTGGCTAGCTCCGTCGGCCTCTTCCCTGGTGACCCGGACTACTCCTGTGCCGTTGGCGACGAGTTCAGTGGTTGCGATGAATCGTGGGCCGTTGTGATGCGCGGCTGCGAGGATATCGTCATTGCTGGCGCTGGCCTGTACTCGTGGTTCTCGACCTACGCCCATGATTGTATCGGTGGACAGCTCTGCCAGAAGGCACACGAAGGCGCGACTACTGCCGTCAATTACTCACTCATGACCGTCAGCCGGGACGCGTGGACGAGTACAATCATGGTGCGGTCCATGGCGCTATCCAAGTTGGGCTTCGAGGTAATGACAATCGGGGGTTCCAACGTGAAGAGGGACAGCGGCAGCCTGAACTGCCGAGCCTTTGAGGACTTCTGGCCCGTTCCCGCTACGACTGCCGCTTGGCCCGTCGTTATTTACAATGGCCCGGATGGTAAAGAGCCAACGGCGAGCCCCAAAGCGCCTTATCCGACGCAGCCTCCGTCCATCGAGCCTGGCTCGCCACCGCCGCAAAACGGCGCCTGGCCAGCAAAAGCCCTCCGGCCGCGTATGGCCGCCGCTGTAGACCCCAACAAGGAGCTGGACGATCGCCTCAAGGACTGGATGTGCCGGCAGGCTGCCGAGTCACCCAGTTACTACGACATGGACATGCTGGACTGCCCGGGAAGGGGTGGAAACAACAACGACTCGGGACAGATGCCGATGGGTGACGGCACTGGCTGGGACGTCCCCAAGATCTCGAACAACGGCACCATGAGCCTGCCTGGTTTTTTCCCCTGGGGCTCAATGTTGAGTGAGCTCGGGCGCATGTGCGAACAGCCGCTTGAATCGAAGACCACCACCACCACCAGGGCGCAGACGACTCAGCCTTCCCAGCCCACAGCAAAGCCGCTCAAGCAGCCCGACGCCAAGCACAACAGTGTGAAATGCTACGGCGAGGGGCGCAAGATGAGCAACATCCGGCTGCAGAACGGCATCAACTCCTTCTGCAAGAACATTGGCTCCGACGTTGGCGTCCAGGCCCGCGACCTAGATGGCAGGGCCGCCGCCGGGCAGCAGCAGCTCCTGGGCGGCTACAAGAAGGAGTCCATCAAGCCCTTTTCTGGACAGGAGGAGATTAGCTTCAGCTTCGAGGTGCTCAACGGCTGCTCGTGGACGTTCAGCATGGACGAGTGTACGCGCTACTTCAAGACGCCCGTCGATAGCTGTAACTGTGGAGGGGAGAATGGTAAGCAGGGCGGGTATGGGAGTAACAACTGCCTTAGGTGGAAGACTGATCCGAATCGCTCGGCGTACTAGTGGTTCTCGAGAAGGACAGCCTTTGTGATCGAGTGTTCTTTTGTGAGTTCTTGTATATCTATTTAGTCCAGATTCTCTTTGAACATGTTAGTTGCTCAATATTTCAGATACTTAGATATTCACGAAATAGGTAATAAGAAGGCTTCATGATGTCAACTGACGGGGCGTAAGGTGATTTTGGCTATTTACCTCCAGGCACCAAGCCCGTGAGGACTCAAGAGACTGAGACTAAATGCTTGAGAGACAGATATGCCTCAGCAAGTAGCCGGGAAGGTTCTTCGTCCCCCTCCCTTCGCCCCTCTCTCAAAAAACACGACACTTGACGGTGGGATCACAAGTATCAGCACACGCCAAAATCAGCTTCGTCGTGAGGATGTCTTCAGCAAAAGGACAGGAAAATAATCTTGCCACTTGAACTACTGCCCCACAGCACAAGGCAACCGAGACAGCAAAAATTTGGCATCAAGCGCGCAAACTTCACAATCGACTCACGAGCATAACATCCTCGAAAGCGACATCGAATAATTGGCAACCTCTTCCATGTCTTGCGTTACTTAATACACAGAGCCGCATGGCATGGCATGGCATGGCATGCACTGCAACTCAGCTCACACATACACGCCGGATGGCTAATTACCGTAGCCGAGCTGGGGCCCCCTTTCTACCGCACCAGCAGGCACCCTTCAAGAACATGACCAGCGTAAGAGAAACTTGTCTATCGCATCCGGAATCATTGCTAAAAAGGCCCTCCCTTCTTCCGCCCCCCTAGCGCCGTCCCCCCGTCCATTAATGAATCAGTAAAATCAAGTTGCCCGCAGTGTCTCTAAACCACTGGTTGGATTTGTAGTGGCGGGTCGGCACGTCGGCACACCGGGTGAGAAGTTTGGATAACACAACAAGTAGACATAGCGTTGTTACATGCCATCAAAGTCGCCGCCAAGGTCGTCCTCGTCCAGATCTCCCTCCTGTATCTCCTTGGCCATCTCACGCTCGCGTTCGCGCGCCTCCTGGGCATTCTTCAACTCCAAGCGATGCTGGTTCATGGGGAATCGCATGGCCTAAAAACGGTACTGTTAGAGTGTAATTCCACATGGAAGTGTGCGGGAAAACTCACCTTGACGCTCTCGTCGTGGAGAGCCAAGCATGCGCGAATTCTGTCGTGGAAGGCTTCACCGGGCTCCCGCGTAGCGTAGACATCGCCGACCTCCTTGCTCTTCATGTATCCATGCTCGCGGTCTAGGGTAGCTTCGATAACACCGTCGCGGATGGCCTTGGCGACAATGTACTCGGCCGACTCTTCGCTACCAAGGTCGAGGCGGATGCAGATGTCGCGCAGGGAAATGCGAGAGTACGACAGAGACATCATACGGATACCGGTCTTGATGACGTTCTGGCGGAGGCGGAGGATCAGGCTGTAGGTGCCGTCGCGGCGGAAGGTGTCGGCGTGATCCGCGATGATGGTCTCGAAGTTCTGGACCTTGCCAACCCGGACGGCCTGGACAAGGAGGAAATAAGGGTGCAGAGAGAGCTCCAAGGTAGGCTGGCGGAAAGTAGATCTCTCGGGAATATCACCCATCAACAGTTCAACCACCAACAGAAGCTTGGTCGCCGTCTGTGAGAAGCCCACCGCGCAGGCACTTGATGGAGCCTTTCTTGTCGCAGCTGTGAGGTGCTCGTGTGCCTCGGTGTATCTCAGCTGAATGGCGCGGATGCGTCCAAGGTAGTACAGGAAGCGTGCGACCTGGTTGTTGGCCGCGTTCTCGGGGAACTGGGTATGGGATACGAGCAGGTCGGCCTGCGCAATGTGAGACGTCAACAAATAGCTGCGAAGCAAAAGCACAATAACCGAGGCTTGCGTGTCGATATCCTTGCGGAGAACGGCGGTCCGCAGAGCAGCCAGGAGAGTGGGTCGAATAGCGACGACCGGAGACTGGGGAGAAGGAGGCTGAGGAGCGAGGCTTTCGCAGAACATTGAGTAGTAGAAGTAGACCTTGGCGGAAAGGGAGTCTAGTGTACGGCGGTTAAGCGTGTGGATACGGTCAGTGAGCTGCTTAGAGAACTCGGCTCCGTGTTGGAACTGCTTGGTGTCGTAGAGGTGGACCTGGATCAGAATGCCGAGGAAGATGTCAATCTCGGGAATTATCTCCTTCGCCTCCTTCTTCTGGCCGTTCTTCGTCTTCGTAGGCTCGCTGTCTACCTCCATCTCCGGTCCGCTGGAGCGGCCGAGGGGTACGTTCTCGCGACCGATGGCGATCAGAAGCTGCTTGGCGACATTCCCGGAGGCAACGGTCGCGGGGAAGCTCTCGGCAATGGCCTGGGCGATGATATCGGGTGTCAGGCGCTTGCGGATGGTGGAAATCGACCGCAGGGCTCGGAGAGAGAATCTGGCATCGAAGAGCGCGACTGCGCGGTCCAGCAGAGCGAAATTGCTCTTGATGTCTGTAGAATTGACATCTGTCAGCCTTCTGGGTTGTTTGCGGACACATCAAGAGCTTCAGAACTGATCAAGCATAACGTACCTGCTACAGCCTGCACCACGGGGTCAACCTTGACCTCTGCGTCATCTGCTCCAGCCTCGTCACCCATCGCAACGTCCCCGTCAGCGTCCGCCGGGGGAGCAGCCGCCTTCTTGGACGGTGGGACAACAACAGTCATCTCTTCGTCACCGTCCTTTGCTCCCTTCTTGCCCTTGCTCTTTGAGTCGGCGTCCTTGTTGTTCTTACGAACCCCGTTCTCGAGGGGATCCTTCCCGCTGCGTGAAGGTGTTTTGCCCGGCATTTTTGCTCAACCGGGTGTGCGTTGCTATGCTGTGGGCAGTGTATTGAGTGCTGCTAGGGATGGCAGCAGTCGGATATGATCGTGGAGTCGCGCCCGGGGAGGAGAGTGCGGGCGGGTTGTTTTGCTTAGATATGGCGTCCCGTCGGGTGCTTCGTCTGAAAGCAAGGTATTGAGGGAGAGAAAGTCAGGTGACACAGATTGAAAAAGCGTCAGGACGAGCGGGAGTCGATATCGGAGCTCTGTGAGAGTCGGCTGTCGTTGATGGGAATGTGTGGTTGCTGTTTGACTGTTTGCCTCGTGATGCAGGAAGGTCCGATGGATGGAAGCTCAAAGATTGAATACCTGAGGCTTAGGTTGCTGCTTCCAGGCTCTGGGGGGGACGACACAGACCGGGCAAGCACATCACCCACCACACTAGCCGGTGCTCGGTAGCGGGTACAAAGGTGTGGACCCAACGCGAAGCAGAAACAGCTATCCTTGGGAGGGCTCAGCTATCGTAGTTTGTACACTCTACCTAGTATTACTTAGCGAGTGAGATTGCCGGGCCTGCTGAAAGCGTGGAGCAACCCCCCCAACACCCAACACCGAACGAGGCAAAGGCCACCAGGTCCGAAGCGGGAGTGACGTTGTCGATGCTGCCTGCCTCAGCTGCGTCGTCGCGGTGCCTTTTTTTTGTGCCACACTTATGCACGCCCCAGCTACCTGAATTATGTAACTATTCAGGGTCCGTTGCCGAAGCTCCCAATCCCGCCAACGAAGCTGCAGGCATATGTTGAACCTGATCTATATGGCATATCACCTGAATTGGCATTGCACGCAACCTCCTGATTTCTTGCCGTCAAACTCCACTCTTCCTCCGAATCTATATCACGCTCTAGGTTTGTCAGAATGCCAACGCCACCTTCATATTTGAGTCTTTCGCTCAGCTGAATGCAGACTGTTGTTTCTGGATCCTCTTGCTATTATCTTATCGGACCGGAGGCGCCTTTATACCACCTGGCACCAGCTGCGCTACCTTCATCGTGAGGACCCTGCTGGCCTACCTCCCTGTGGCATAATTAATGACACCGCAACACTGAGACGGATCAAGGTGAACACTATGTGAATGGACTCGAGTATCAATTTGGGTATACCATAACTATGAAAGCCATGATGGATGACCACCGCAGCACCAGATATTGCAAGTCAACTAGCAATTGCTGCCCGTCCCAAACGCCTTTTCCTATGTCTCCCAAACCATATCGTTATGCCAATGAAAACCAATCCATTTGCCATTGTCAAATCATCCTTGCTCCTGAACAGGAGCCTACTTCTTTGCTGGGAGAAAGTTGACCTCCATACGTGTCGCCATGGACAAGTCCGCCTGCTGGGTGTTGCTATCAACCGAGAACTGCCTGAGGGGAGGACCAGTAGTCTGAGTCGGAGCAGATCTCGAGGTTGAAGCCTTCTTGGCCAGTGATGTAGATTTACGAGACCTCACCTTGGACGAGGCGGCCTTAGCCGGAGATGTCGCACGCACTCCGACGTCATCTTGATTGAACCGGACGCTCTTTGTCGTGCTTCTCCTAGCAGTGTTTCGGTTTCTAGCAGCAGCATGCCGCGGTTTCTCGGTGGGTTCGTACTACTCGCCCTTACCCGAGGTCACCTTGGCTGCTTGGATGGCGCTCATCTTGGTGATCCAGGCAGTCGAGGGCTGGATCTTGCGCACGGTGCGAAGCTCGTCAGAGGAGTAGCCAGGGACGCGGATATTGTAAGTGCGTTCAAGGACTAGCTGGATGTCGCGAATCTCAAGGACCTTTGAGCCTCGCTCTTTGGCGTTGCGGCAAGCCGTCTCCAGGACGTTATCGACAAAGCTGTCTGCCATGGCCAAGACACTCTGCAATGGAGTCAGCAAACGTTTGTCATCATCGGGTCGTTAGTGATAAGTCACGTACCTCTTCGACCTCGGGAGTCAACATGTTGATCTCCTGGCCCTCGGCATTTCCGCCGCAAACTTGTCGCACGAGCTCGTCCAGTTTCTTCTTGCTAAGTACGTGATCGCCCTCAGCCTCATGGACGTATGCAGGGATCTTGGAAATCGCGGGCTGGCCCATAACACCTCCAGCAATGCCGCCACCTCCCGTGTAAGTAGGCCGTCCAGCGCCAGCACCGCCCGCCATCGCAACAGGTTGAGGCACGGAAGTAGCCTTTTCCGGAAGTTGCTTAGGGATCGGGAGTTTGGACTGCAGCGTCTGAGTTGGCTGTGTCGGGTGCGCGTGTTGCTGTTGCGGAACTGCTCCAGATCCCATGACACCCTGAGCGTGTGCGCCGGCCGAGCCAGGAGTACCGGTGGCCTGCTGAATGGGAGCCGATGTCTGGACGTTGCGCTGGTTCGCGCGGGAGACGGCGGCTGAATGACTGAGAGCTTGGCCAGGACCGGCAGGAGCAGCAGACTGGGGAGTCGCGACACGCTGGGTGGGCGTGCCTGCCGAAGGGAGTCCACCGCCTGCGGAAACCGACGCGATGGCAGTATTGACTGGCGGGGGGTGGTGCTGGCCCTGATTCATAGTTTGCTGCGGCGCAGAAGCCATGGGTTGTTGAGCTTGGGGAGCTTGAGATGTAGTTGCTGTCGCGGCAGAGGAAGCCGCAGCTTGAGCGGCAGCCTGAGCCTGCTGTTGCTGGAGTTGTTGCTGTCGGAGCTGCTGCTGTTGTTGCTGCAACTGCTGCTGTTGCTGTAGCTGTTGCTGTTGCACTTGTTGTTGAGGCAGCTGTTGTTGCTGCTGAGTGGGGGTGCCTTGACCTGCGGCGGCTGTGCCGGTCATTTGCTGGTTCTTCGCTGCCTCGATCGCAGCATTCACTGCCGTGGTAGGGTTCTGCGAGTTTTGCGTGGCCGGAGTGCCTTGCGCGGTCGGTGCCGGGCTTGCTTGAGCACCAGCAGGCTGTGTCGAGGGCGGTTGCGACGCCGCGACGGCTGGGCTGTTTTGCTGTTGCTGAGAAGGCGGTCGTTGTTGTGCAGCCGCGCTCGCACTTGCCGCAGTCTGCCCCGCCGCGGCAGCAGCTGCCACCGCCGCTCTCGCCTTATTGATGCCCTCTTGGGACTTCCTGAAATTCTGGACGAAGGTCTGGGCCTCAGTGTGCATCTTTTGCGCATGATCCCTTCTAATTTGCAATTGCTTTGCTTCATCTGCACCCAATGCGCCCTTCTCCTGTTGGTTTTTGACGTGTGCATCGATCCGCCTTATCTGGATTCCCTGCTGGTCCATCTGCATCAACGCTCTCAAGTATTTAGCTTTGAAGTCATTAGACCACCGGGCAGCCGCCTCCTGGCCTTTGTCCAGGATGCCCTGAGGCGGGTTAAAGGTCATCTGTCGAATATGGGCTAGGATGTGATCTGGAAACTGTGTCGCCTGCGGCGCCTGCTGCGGCGCAGTGGGAGTCGGTGCTGCCGCCGCTGGAGCGGGCGCGGGCGTGGGAGCATGCGCAGGCTCTGCCGTCGTTGTCGCCGTGTTCTCGGTCTTCGGTTCGGTCTTTATAGTGACGCCTCCGGCGTTCGCTTGGCTGGCGGCGGCCGCCGGTGCTTGTTGCTGAGCCGGCTGGGCTTGTTGCGCGGGTGTAGCTGACTGCGCTGGCTGACTCTGTTGCTGTTGAGCTTGTTGACCACCCTGTTGCTGCTGTTGAGCGGCTTGCTGCTGAGCCTGTTGCTGTTGCTGAACCTGCATGCGGCGTTGCTGGAGCTTGTTGAGCAGCATCTTGGTAAAGTCCTGGATTTTCTTCTTGGCGTCTTGGTGTTGAGCGGACTCCTCAGGATGTGTTTCGTAATGATTCCACAACTGGCGCAAACCCCTCTCATACTTCTGCTTCTCTTCGTCGTTCAGAATGGGAAGGTTTCGCATCATCTCGGGTCGATACATGGGTGGCTGTCGCGCACTAGGCACGGTTTGACCGGCGGCGGCCTGGCCAGGCTGGCCTTGATTGTTCATCGTCGCGGTTCTTACGGTTATCGACTTCGGCGGTAAGATGGAGATAACCTGAACAGTATTCGAGAGTTTGGTATTCGATCGGAGAAAAGTTTGAATGATACTACTAATGTTCTACACCCTGTTGTCGACGGAAGATGTGTAGACCAAGAGAGCAATAATGTTTCTGACGGATGGCTAAGAAGTGTAGTTGCGTCGAAGCACGCGTACTAAGCTGGAAAGTTCCGTGTGGGGCTGAGAGGAGAGCAATGATTGGAAGTTGCATTGACGCGCTCTGGCTTCGGAGCTCAGGCCTCAAACAGGTGGCAGGCGCCTCCTTCCACCAACACCAGCTATTACCTTACCTTGTCAAACCTGGTCGACCTAGGGGAGCTTCCGACAGGGTTGCAAGGTATAACATTATTGGATACTGCAAACATTATCAAGGTGTCGAGGGAAATCTTTTTTTCTTTTGGTGAATCTTACTGTCCGTGTGATGGCTGAATTCTTTAAAGCAGATGATTCGAACACAAAAAGAGTCACTTGTAGGTGCGCGGCTAAGGTAAGTACCTTGCTGCGCAAGTGCCTATCAACATAAGTAATATCTCGCTTTGAAGACCTCTCATAAAGTCACCCAGCCCAGTTCAAAGTCTCGAAAAGCTACCCATATCTAGCAAAAGTCTACGCACATTAAGCAGGTTGATGGGGACAACTTGTCTGCTGGCGAGAAAGTGTCCTTCACGAATCTCAAAATGTAGGCATCGCCATCAGGTCTTATTCTTGTCCGGTGGACGCGGATTGCGGATTGCGGATTCTCTCTGCTCCGCTGTGGCCCAAAAGACACCAATTTGATTGCAGAATCGCAGAGCCTCAATGAGCAAGGCAAATGTTCCTTGTTCTTCCACAAAAAGCAGGCTTCTCGAACAAGACATGGGGCCCTCACACACACCACCAGCCCACCATCGACGGCCACACGTGGAGTTGCTCTCAGGTCGGTCTTCCTGCGGGAAAGGCCCGTCGGACCTGCAGATGAACGGGGGCCTTTGGGTCGTTGGGTTGTCCACTCTGGCGCGAACTTCCAAATGCACACTTGCGCAAGTTGACGATGCAGTGCATAGACGAAGAGGTGGGAAGAAGGGGGGTCATGCCCTAACGCGGAAGGAAGGACGACGATGCCTTTTTCGTGCGCCTGGAAGAAACCCCTCGAGAATCTGGGAAATCAGTCTGGACACTGCGAGTCTTTAGGGTATATCACATCTTACAATGGAATGATAGGATACACAGTCTACCTTACTTGATCCCATCGTTATCAGCACTCACTGAGCCGAGTAGCAACAAAGCTACTGGGGTAAGAAAGAACCGGCTGTTGTCAGCGAAGCAAACAAGTCCAATGTAATCGGGCCTTGCCGCTGAAAATGAGGATTCTTCTCGTCCAGCAAGGAATGGAAGAAAGGCTAAGAAGAGGGTCCGTCAGCGTTGGGCTGCAGGGAGCCATGCCAGTCTAGGAACTGCCCAGTGTCCACCCATGCATCCCAGTCTCTTCAAGGGTGCTGTGGTCTAGAGACTAGGTCTACTGTGGACGGAAAAGTACTTGTAAAACACGACTGCAAGAATTTGGTGATTCGCGCAGGCGTTCCGAGATGACGATAGTGATAGATGATGGCAGTGCCAGGTGGCTGGCTGTATTGGTGATGATATTCCCAATGATGTGGGCAGGATGGCAGGCAGGACTTGACTAACAAAACCCCCAGAGCTGCGAGCAAGTGCCGTTTTGGACGGGATATGAATGACACAACGTCGAGGCCCGACGCAAAGTTGCCGTTTCATGCACTTGGCCGTGTTGGCTTGCCTTCTAGAAATTCACCGCAGAAAATGGAATTGTAATTTGCAAGTCGCGACTTCCAGTTACGGCGGCATCTTCCCACCTTCACACCTTCCCACCCTGCGACATGTGTGCTGTTGTGTTACCATGGAATTGGAAAGAGACGGAAAGAAGCAGGAAGGCACTGACGACTGTGGTGGCCGCTCCTGCTCTTTCTCCTACCTTACCTTACGTTACTATCGCTCCTGTCAGTTTTCGTTTCTGGTCCTTCCGTCTACGGCTCAGAGTCTAAGGGTGGCGGGCGTGTGCATTCTGACCGCCTTCTTTTTCTTCCTCTCCACAAATCTGACCCGGCCACGAGCATGATGCATCCTGCCCCTCGTCACATCCACCCCTCCATCACACCTCAAGAGCGGCTCAGACTACCTACGAATACAGTACACAAGAAGTCAGTCTTCTCAGTCAATCAACTCCGCCGTTTTCATTTTCCCTTTCGTTTTGTTCGAACTCACACGTAGTCCTTGAGGCTCTTAGGCTCTTTTCTGCAGCTATGCGGTGGCTCGAGGAAGAGGGAACTTGTCGTGGCGCCATGCTGCAGAAAAGACTGCAAGCCGTTGAAAACGCCCTAGGCATTCTGGGCCCCCGATGATTGGGCACAAGTGCTGTCACACAGCCATCCCTCTTCTGATTCTTGAAATCTTCTAATCGTTCACAGCAGTCTTATGGATTTTCCCACGCCTATCAGGTCTCCTTCTGCTCCTGGACGGGTACCTATGGCCAGAGCCTAGGTACTGAGGCTCGATACCTTGCTGCCGTCTTCAGCGAGAGGCATGTATCCTTACCAGTCGTATCCATCAGCCAGTCTCTTAAAGACACGCGCAGCATTGTCCCAAGAAGGGACAGCGTCATGCTCCGTGGACGTTGACGAAACATGCCCTCACACGCTGTCAGACTTCCATATTACACCACAGAACAGACGTTGAACTGAGTATCAAGCTTCGCAAGGACCAGGCACAGTCAATGGCGAGGACAATAATCAGTCTAGACTCTAGACCTAGACCAGGACCAGAACCCCACCAAAGCGTGAAGTGTTATTATCCAACAGGCTGTGGGAGAAAGGCTTGACAGGCCAAATAGGGCTCCAGCTAAGAAAAAAAGAGGCCGATCAAGAATCGCCAATAGTCGGCGATCTGGCGCCTATCCACAGCCACACCCCTCCATTACCCCTCCTTCGCATCACGCCCTCTCAACTCTCGCGCATTGGACGTCCTCCTTCGCTTGATACCGTTCATAACCCCCAATCCAGCCCATTCCAGCCGAGCAACCAGTCAAGCCATGGCGGCCCCGGTCCAGTCAGCCCGTACGCCGCTGCGGTATCCGCAAACGCGCGAGAGCACACACACACACACACATGAAATTCTCTCGACGCCGCTGCGGGACACACGGTTAGACCGGGGGAGTCCTGGAGCATTGCTGCCCAAAGTCCAACTTTGCGCCCCGCGAGAATGCGCAAAAGAGGAACCGCAACCAACCCCAACCGCCGGCTAGACCAGACTTTTACTTCTGATAGGAAGAACTCCACGAGGGTTACAATATCCAGCAGTGGCACTATGGAGTCCTTCGCAGAAGCACTCGCGCCAGCAATGAGATTACACCGCAGTAAAGCAGCTGGCGGGCACCCACACGGCTCTAGCAGCACCAGTTGCAACTTGCAGCAAGTGGGCGAGAAGAGGCTCTCCCTCTTTCTCTACCTTACCTTACCTTAGGTGACCAAGGGATGGAGTTTCTTTGCTGCATGGAATGGCATGGGCATGGGCATGCCGCAGAGCTGCAGCGCACATGTGCAATGACTTCTTTTAATTCTTAATTCTCTCCCCATCCCACAGACTATTAGAAAATCTTTTTTTCTGGTTTCCCCTCTCCCCTCTTCTCTTCTTGTGGTTGACTTGGGTCTACCTTTCGCTCGACCATCAACCGTCTGGCCGTCATACCACGTTCGATTCCCATCCCCTCTGCTAGTCAGCGCAAAGGGTCGATCGGTGGGAATTCAAGCATTATAGCAGCCACACCTATAAGACCGGGACTGTCTGGCCGTGCCAACGACCCGCTCTCGGCCTATCACGGGAGTCATTTAGTACACATTTTGGACGGTTGATTCAAGCAACACCGTGAGACTTGCTCACCACCACCATTACCACCGACAGCTCGGACATCCACAAATCCAGAATCCAGCGAGGAATCATACAATCGGCAGCCCGTCCTTTTGGCTTGCCATTCCACTTGAGACGACAACGCATCACAACAACCCCAGCCAGACTCAGATTCGGATTCAGACTCAGAATTGCTTGCTCCGGCAATCTGTTGTTGTTGTTGTCGTTCCTCTGGTGTTCTTTCACGGTATTCATCCCACGCACGTCTTGCCCGACAAATTCCTGAGCCTCTCTTCTTGACCCAGGTCCCCCACGCTTGTCTTCGACTTTCCCCAACTCTCTTCCGTCCAATACATTCCCCTAGGCCAGCAGCCGAAGTCACCTCACTGGTACTATTCCTGCTCGCGTGCGCATTGCACCACCGCCTTTCTTCTTCTCAGTCAGCCATTTCGTGCTGCCACCCGCAGCCCCTCAACAAGGCAGTCCCTGGTCATCCTGGACAAAGCCCGTGGTCCTATCGTCACCGCCCGCCCGATTTTCGTCGACCCCACACCCGGGATCCCGCACATCCCACGGTGTCTCCCCCGAAACATTCCTCCCCACTGTCTCTCTTGTCAGTGTCGGGTCAGTGACACCCAACTGCTTGGAAACCCCGATTTCTCTTTCGAAAGAGAACGAACGTTGGGGACTTTCCGTCACTTACCAGTGGCTTGAACTGTGCTTCCATTCCTAGAAGAGACCCTGGCTTGTGTTGCTCCTTGAGTGCATTCGAACTGGTCCGCTTCCTCCCGCGCGCTTTCGCTCAATCTCAAGCATTTCCCGCCAGATCTATCATGACAACCTACAGCTTCAGCCGAATATCCTCTTCTCCTTGTCGGAGGTTCTTACTCTGGGTGTTGACGCCTTGACTTTTGCTACTTCGCTTGATATACTACCTTCATCGGAACCAATCATATAACCAAGCCGATCTACTGGCTGTCGCTCGTTGGAGCTGATCTGATCTCATTTGCCCGCTCAACTTTATCTTCCCCGCAAGATCGAGGGATACAGAAGAGAAGAAAAAAACCCCGAGTCCTGCAACAAAGACACGATCGATAAATCACCAACACACAAAGGAGGCTAGAGCCACAGATCAAAAAATCGGCCCCTGAGACGCTTCAGAGAGGCAGCACCTCAATTGCCATATCACAGGCGCCGTTGAGCATGCCTCGCAAGTCGCGGCCGGCGACGCCCAGCATGATGCTGGGCCCTCTTGGAGGTCCAAACTCACCGCCTCATACCCCTACCACCACCGTGCCAATGGCGAATCGCAAGTTCGCGGCACGACACTTGCCGCAATGGCATCACCAAATCATACTGGATGATTCCAGCATTCAGCCTACTGGCAATGGCCACGAGTTCAGTTTTACGCCCTCTAATCGCTTCGCTCACTTGTCACCCCGCACTTCTTCCGAAGACTCCTCTGAGTCTGATGAAGAAGATGAATCCGAGTCCGAACCCGAATCTGAACAACGCCAAGTACCCCACGTAAGACCCAAGACCAACGATGACGAAGAAGACGACGAAGATGAAGACAGCGATGACGAAGACGAAGATGAAGATTCTGACGACGAAGAATCGGAAGACTCAGACGATGATACGCCTATGCGCTTTGCTCCTCCGGCCCCGGCTCCAATGCCTACCCCGATGCCAGCATCCGTGTCGGCATCCATGTTCGCTCCGAGGTCTGTGCCGATGCCGGCCTCTCGTATGGCCGTCGACAGCAGTTCTGGAGAAGAATCGGATGAGGAGGAAGAAGACGAAGACGAAGACGAGGAGTCTGACTCTGATTCGGAATCAGAGTCTTTGGCCACCCCCCCTATCCAAGAGATCCATCAGGAGGCGCATATTGTCACCGCTACCACCACCTCAACTGTCAAGGCGAATTTTACCCTGGAAGAGCTTTCCGACTTTGACCCAATGGATCAAGACCGCAGCGGCACTATTGCCCCCTCCGGCTTCTCCTCCCCGGCATCTGCTCGCTCTCGCTCACGGGCACCACCTCCTAAAGGGCTCCCTCCTGGCTTCACCCAAGAGATGAGGAATCTCGGATTTGATGGAAGCAGTTCTGAAGGCTCGGATAACGACCTAGATGCCGATGAGGCTCACCGCGAGTTCGTGCGCATGCAACGGGAGCTGAAGATGCGCAAGCGGCGGGCCCACGGATCTAGCATTGGCAAGCGCACCATATCTGAACGTAGCGACTCTGACCATGAAGATATGACACCCCTCGACGCAGACGATGTTGGCTCCAGCGCACGCAGACTCCGGCGACGCTACGGGGACAGCCACAGGCACAGCTTTATCCTATTCCAAGACCCACCTCCGCCTCGTATCGACGAAGTCGAGGAGCCCGAGAGTGAGGTTGAAGGCACTTTATTCTTTTGTGACAGCGGCACGCTGGCGCGAGAGCTTCCCTACTACTCCATCGAGATTATGGAGTACGAGAGTCCCAGCCCTAGTCCTAGCCCATGAGCGGGCCATGTTTGCCTGTCGATTTCAAGGCACTCATTATACGTTTTACAACAACCATGAATAATAACCACAACGATATATAGCGTCTGGTCTCGTCTCTTCGCCGCAGTACGAGGCCTCTTATCGGCGCACACTGATGTTTCACGACGAGCATACAGGGATGATGGCATAGATTGATGACGATGACGGATTGATGACTAGCATCTTGTTCTTTACTTTACATTTCTGTTACGGAGCAGCACGAGTGATGGATGGATTTTGTGCGTGTGTGTTTTTGTTTCCTATGATAGATTGGGTTTCCATAGAAGAGCCTCGCAGCTCTAATGAAATGTTTACTTGCGGCATCGCCTAGTACGCTCCCGGGCCAACATGTCAAGTGTTCCCAGACCATTCCCACATGTCGAATGTCAGACCAGAGTACTTGCTGGATTTCACCTGCCTGTGGCAATCGCTCGCCAACCTTGACGGCAGGATACCACTACCATGACAAGTCATGCGCCGCACCAAGCCAATGCCGCTGGTAAGGAGGCGTTTCTGCCGTGGGCGGGGGAGGCGAATCTTTTCATCAATCATGGACCAGGACTCGTGCCTACCGTACCCGAGGACGGTGTGTTTGATAATGGCGATGGCGATGGCACCGGGAGCGATGGGTTGATGACGTGCAGCGGATCAGCGGGATGAGAGGGACGGATGGTAGGCTTACCACATCGTGCCTATCCTACCTTGGGCTGGGCTGGGCCGGGCTGGAGCATGGCGCGGGTGCTTGGGGAGAGAGGGGGTTCCGGGAGGAGGGAGGGACCTTGGGAACCACCAGACTCACGGCGGGATTGGCAATGTCAAAATCGTGCGGGCCATGGGCGAATGAATTTGAGCAGCGTGTTTCGGGAGGCGACATCGCTTTGCCTCTTTTATTTTTCGGTGAGCAGCGGGGTTTTCATTGGATTATGAGCACCTCCTGTCATTTTTTGTTTACAAGAGTACGATACAGAGTACGGAGTGCGGAGGAGTACCTTAGGTACAGAGGATCATAGGTGAGGTCGGGTACTTTGCGTTTCCCTTCGTTATTAGGTTCGGGGAAGGAAGAAAGTGGGGGCCCGGGTCGAGTCTCCGGGTGATTTTAAGGCGGGGGGGCACCGATTCGCCGGCCGAATTACGAGCGGTTTGGGATTTGCACGTGTTTTTTTTTTCTTCCACGAGGTGTCTAGGCATCTGCGAATTGCATGTGTACAACTACATTAAAGAATCGAACGATGATAAATAGGTAGGCAGGGTCAGCAAGTGCATTCGCTTATAGCGCTTCAGGTATGGTACTTGATTCCCAAGAGTGCGAGCCTTCCTCCAACGACCGAATGGTACAATGATACCTCACAGCAAGGCGCGATAGCGGGTAGTTTTGCTTTTCGATGCATTTTTTCGTTCCTAAGAATCTTTGGTGACGAGCGATGTAACTCCCAGGATAGGTCGGGTACATTTCCTGGGCCTCAGAAAATCAAAGAGTTTGCGAGATTGAGCCGATTTCCTTCTTCTACCCGACTTTTGTACCCGATTGGAACCGATTGGACTTCTCGCGCATAGCTGTGAGCTTGTGAACCTGTGAGGAAGGCTACGGCGCTACGCTGCGCAGAGGACGGGGGGAAAGCACCCGGCCGGGTTCTGGGGCCGGAAGGAGGGGCGGGGAAGGGGGACCGTGGGAAACGGCGGTCAGTGAGTGGCTGTGTGGGTCGGGTCTTTTCTCTTGGTCTTTCACATATCGGTACACTACTACTCACCTTGGACTAGCAGGCAGGTAGTCTACCACAAGATCTGGACAAAAAGTTGTGTCTACTGAGTTTATTCATCTTGAGGCTATCGAGGTGGACTGTGAACCTAGAGGAAGAGAGAGGCTATTCTACAACACCGAGATCTTGTCGGTCACTTCAACATGATTGTGTTTATAGCAATTGGTAATTGCTTCAACACCGTGGTTGTTTGATGAGGATGTAATTTTGTTTCATTTTTTCTATCCTTTGAGAGCCAGACGAAAACTGGACGAGGATTGGCCCAGGCCAGCCAAGTCAGCGGAGCCGCTCTTGCTCAGTCTTTGATCACGCTTGCTCAAAATCGCCTTGATAAACCACCTCAACCTTCTAGTCCCTCCGACGGGCTACTTCGGAACCAAACACCTTTCTACCGATACGCCATTTTTAATCCCTCTAGAAACTGCCCTTTTTGAGTCTCTGCTATCAAACACCTCTCTAAGCAAGCATGCCCTTGAGAACCTGGACCTGCTCCAGAACCTTGGCCCGGCTCGTACCACCCTTGGACGCCCTCATCTCGACACTCCTCTCGTAGTCAAACGTCTGTGCAACGTCCTCCCCGAATCGGCTGTCGATAGCCTGCAATTGCTCCAGCGAGAGCTCGTTCATCGGGATACCGCGCTTCTCGCTCTCGGCGACGCATCGGCCAGAAATGTGGTGCGTCTCACGGAAGGGGACACCCTTTCGTACGAGATAATCGGCAAGATCGGTAGCCAGCATGAAGGGGTCAAGGGCAGCCTTCATGCGCTCTGGCCTGACGGTCAGAGTGACGAGAATGCCCTGTGCGATCTGAAGACTATCAGAGATGGTCTTGACGTGATCCAACATGGGCTCCCAACTCTCCTGCAAGTCCTTTTGGTATGTGCTGGGGAGACCCTTCTGGGTCATCATCAGGCCGGCCATGTGGCCAAAGGTTCGGCCGGCCTTTCCGCGCAACAGCTCCAAGCCATCCGGGTTCTTCTTGTTCGGCATCAACGAGCTTCCAGTGGAGTACGCATCGGCGATGGAAATGAAGCCGAACTCTGAAGAGGAGTACAGGATGAGATCCTCGGCCCAGCGAGAAGTATGTTGCATGAACATGCTGCCCCATTGCAGGAACTCAGTGACGAAGTCTCTGTCGCCAACAGCGCCCATGGAATTCCACAGGAGGCCTGTGAAACCCAGCTCCTCAGCCATCATATCGCGATCGATGTTGAAGCCGTTGCCGGCGAGAGCACCGGCACCGAGCGGGCTCCTGTTGACGCGCTTGGAAACCTCGCGCAGACGGTCGAGATCACTCTGGAAGGCGAAGCCGTATGACAGCAGGTGCTGCGACCACCGGACCGGCATGGCGCGTTGGAGGTGGGTATATCCAGGCATGAGAATGCCACTGGTAGAAAAATGTCAGAATGGGAGTCATTAGGATTGGAGGGGATAATCAGACTTACACCTCAGCCTCTGCGCGGGCGGCAATCACCTCGATAAAGGCGACCAGGTGGCTCTCAATCTCCTTGATCTGGTTGTTCAGCCACAGACGCATGTCGCAGGCGACCTGCTCATTGCGACTGCGACCCGTGTGCAGCTTGCCGGCGATGTCCTTGCCGATAATCTCGCCGAGCCGGCGCTCATTGGCAGTGTGGATATCTTCGTCGTTGGGCATGATGACAAAGGTATCAGCCTCCCACTCCTTCTGCACCTCCCGGAGCCCCCTCTCGATTTCGGAAAACTCGTCGTTGGTGATGATGCCGGACTTTGCGTTGGCGCGCGCAAAGGCGATGCTGCCGAGGATATCCTCCTTGAACAGGAGCTTGTCGTATCCTATACTCGCATTGTACTTGAGCATGAGGGGATCGAGGCCGCCTGTTCGTTTCTGGGGTTAGCACGACTGCAATTGAACTTGCCAATTGAACTTTTTGGGGGAAAAAAAGACAAACCTGTGAAGCGGCCACCCCAAAGCATGTTCTCTGCTGGCGTCTTTCCGGGTGCCATGATGACTGCGTTGGTATCTGGCGGGGGTATATGGGGTATCTAGAGGGGTTGAATTGAGTAACTTCAAAAAAACTTAGCTAAGAGCTGCTCCGTATCGGAGGGAGTTCCAATTTATGTCTGATTACTTAAGAAGGGTATGTAGAGCTCTTTATTGGTGAGTCATTCAGTGTCACGTGATGCGATGAGTCGACGAAAGTCACCCGGTACTTGCGATAGCGATATCACCACCTTGGAAGTTTACGAGGAGCCTTCCCAGGATTACTTCTTTCTTTTTCCAGCGAGATCAAGTTTAGTTCTCATCTCTTTTATGAATGCCTGGGAATTGAAATAATTAGATTTTGGACTATTGCGCCTGTTGAGGAACAGTCATGCGCATCGTCAGCCGCGCGCAATGTCAGCAACCGCAAGGTCAGCACATACTGACCTCGACCTTTTTACCGTCTCCGGCACCAGGAAGCCGTTGCTGCCGGCACATAGGAACGATAGTCATAGAAGACAGTCTTGGAGAGAATGAGGAACAACGACTATATGATATGTGAGTTACTGATGCCTTTTGAACGGGTCATTTAAACAGGGAGAAGGAGATAGGTTTCCTACCTCGACTCTCAATGTCGTCATGAACTGAAGGTGAAGCTGGATTTTATGACATCAAAGTGCGTATGTCGTCATATCTGAGTCATTGAAATCTGACTATTCAGTGCTAATATGTATACCTTGAATGCCGATGTACTCTCTTTAGCCCTGTGGTATCTCTTGATTCATGTGCCCCTTTTCCCTTCCTCGTATAGGTATCCAAGTCCTCTTGGGTCCTAGCTCATCGCAACATGCAACATGCAACCTCATCGAAGCCAGACACAAGTCATGAAATCAACCTCCTCCACCCAGAAGAAGCTCTCTTCGTTTTCCCACTCTTACTATCACTATTACTCGCCGCCGCTTGCGCCGTCGCCGCTTGAGCAGCAGCAGCCTGCCCCCGATTCTGCCGGCCCGTCGCCCCCTCATACCACCCGAGAGCCGCGTCCAGCGGCTCAAACGGGTCCCACGGCCGGTTGACGGGTTCAATGAGCACATCGGCCATGAGGTACTTGCTCGCGTTCGCAATCACCGTCTCCACGTCGACCCGAACCCGGAACCGCTCCAGCTCGACGTCGACGCCTGCTGGGGTTGGCCGGAACATCGTTTGCAACTCATCGAATGAGAAGGTGACTTCTGGCGGTTCTTGTTGTTGGATCTCCTTTGCTTTTGAAGAGCTCGTACTTTTGGCTTGGTTCTGGTTCTGGTTCTGCGTCATGCCCGGGAAACGAGGCGGTAGCTCGCGAGCGTGAAACCCGGCTCGGATGCCGTCCGTGGACCCGAACATGATGAGAAGCCTGGACCCGTCTGTCCGCGCGAACGTGACGGCCCCGGCGAGCTGGCCCGCCGCCTTTGGTATGCGGAAAGCAATCGTCTTCCCCGTCGTCGTGTGGATCAAGTCCCTTCCCGAGCCCCTGCTCGACGTGCACGCAGCCGGCCGGTCCCCTCTGTCAGCCTCCTTGGAGTGCACGAGATTCAGCACCGAGTACTGGTCCCGCGGCGGCCCCTTTCGGAGCTGGATGATGTGCTGCGGGAACACGCCCGCCGCGTCCGCGACGCCGTTGAACGTCTGCCGCACGTAGAGCGTCTGCTTGTTCCCCCGCTCCTGGACTTTGGCGAACTGGTTCACCCGCACGCGGGCGAATTGCTGATCTCCGCCGCTCGAAATCTTCTTGAGGTAGATTGCGAGGAAAGTAGAGTCCTCGTAGTCTGGCGGCGCAGGACAGTCGAGCGCGGCGACGAAGATGTCTTGGTCGCGCAGCGTCAGGGGTAGGTCGATGCGCAGGCCGCGGTTGCTCATGAAGTACGGCGGCCGCGGCTCCCAGTCCTGGTAGGGCATGATGGAGTTGGAGTAGGCGAAGTTGGCGGGCGACTTGGCCAGCAGGCCGTGGTAGGTCTCGGTGGAGGCGGAGAGGTCGACCCAGGCGAAGAGGGACTGGTCGTCGGACTGCTTCATGATTTCCTCTTGGAGGCGGAGGAAGGCGCGCTCGCCTTCGCCGTAGAGCATGGGCATGTTGACGCCAAAGAGGCCCATCAGGCAGTAGGCCACGTCCTCTGGCCTCGTCGTCTGCCGGTGCGCGGCCCAGGACATGCGCTTAGCGAGGCTGGCAGATTCAAGGGGTCTGAGGCCCGTGAGAATATCTTCGTCTATGCCTGTGATGACGGATAGAGGCCTGCTCAGTGTGGTCTTCTCCCCAACTTTCACCCAGTCTTCGGAGAAGAAGACCATCTCGGCCGGGGCGAGGAGTTCCTGGAGCGTCCATCCACGCGTGAACCACCGGCACGAGGCGAACGCGCCATCCGTCTTGACAGGGTCTACGGTGGCGGGGACGCCCGAGAGGTAAGTGTAGCAGATTTCCGACTTCATGTACCACTCGTACATGGAGTTGATGGCCTCGGAAAGCTCTGCGCTGCTGCTCTTGTCGATGCAGCATGAGTCGATCCAGACGTATTCGAGGCCATCTGTCAGGGTTTGGATGCAGCTATAGCGGACCTTTTGGAAAGCTGGCTTAGTGGCGGCATTTTCGTTTCTAATATCGGCGTAGATGACTTCGTTGTCGCCCCAGGTGTGCGAGAGAATGGCGTACCGGGGGAGCTGATCGGGGTTGAAGTCAACGAGCTGGAGGTTGTTGCTGTGTATGGATGAAGCTTTGATTAAGCGCATTTTGAACTTGCGATAGCAACTCGATTTTGGAATTCTGGATGCTCAGTCCATCTGAGATGACTTTCAAAGAAACCAGTGGGTTGGCGAGACTACATCAACATGTTTTGATCGTGGACTCTCAGCTGCATCAATGGACCGACTTTGAATCATCGAATCGAAGTGGTGATGAAGTTCAAAGGAGCGCTACTGCATAAGAAAGAGGCTGTGTCAGAAAAGTCATTGGATTCGTGAAGTCGAAGTAAGGCTGCGCTATCCGATCGTCATGTCTGCTCCCCCTGCTCTATCATTATGGGGAACGGGAGCAAGTGGTGTAACATCGGTTATTGCTTCGCCATCGAAACTGCATTAGGCAGGTAAGACCACCTATCATCTGGTCATCCCAAGCGCGTGGGTGTAAGATTCCCGGGGTGTCTCTCAGCTCTGCCCCTGGTTACCACAATGACACAACCCTCACATTTCACACACGAGGCGCAATCGCCCTGGTTGTAGGGCTGCGCCGCCCACATCAACTCGTAGAGCCTTGGGGAGGCGACCCGGGAGAGACATCTGTCCCCTGCCAAGCGAGTCTATTCCCGTAAGCACCAATGGCGATCGTTGTCGATGTTACGGTTCTGCCTGATTGTGGATTCCTGCGATGCTGTGCCGCTGTTAGTGCCACCTTGGTAGTGCTCACGCGCACTGAAGGCAATCTTACCTGGAGGGAGAGTTTTACATGAATTGAAAAAGGAACACGTGCTCGTCATCTCAAAAGTCTGTATTTTATCAATTCTTCCTTTAGTCTCTCTGTTCAACACTGATCTAGCTTCCTTCACCTCTTCCTCAGTTATCCAGGTCATACGTGGCTACTTACAGGCCGTACAATCGTGATACCCTCGTCAACAATTCATCATTTCAATTTACACCACAAAGCAGACCTCAAAAGCAAAGATGTCGGAACCAAAGACTGCTCCTCCCCCGGCGATCGATATCCAAGAGCCCGCGCCAGCCTATGAGAGAGAATCACCAGTTACATCTACTGTGCAAGGAAGCGGTCCTGCCCCCGCCAGAGAGATGCCAGCGAACCTAGTGCAGCTTGAGTAAGTCTCTCTTAGAACATAGTCATCTTCTTAGGAAATACTGATGTATTGGGCAGACAACCAGCAACACCAATGCCCGCTCAACAAAAGGGTGGTCCGACCATTACCCCCCTCGCGAACCCAGCGACCGTCACGCCGTTGCACATGCTGGGCGATGAGCCGCAATGGATCGACTGCCCCTTTTGCAAGCAGAGGACGCAGACGGTCATTGCTAAAGAGGGCACTGCCATGCAAATGTAAGTTACTTTGGCTATATGGGAGCAGGCGGTGAACCAGTCGAGCTAATACGCGCCTTTCCTCAGGGTCGCCGGTGCTCTGTGCTGTCTCCTTTGCATCTGCCTCACATGCGTCCCCTGCATCGCGGGATGGTGCGAGGACATGCACTACACTTGCTCAAATTGCAAGAACAAGGTCGCCACGAGGCCGTACGACGGGACGATCCAGGTCTTTTCGCCGCAGCCTGGAGGCGGCCTCGTGCCGTCGCAGTATGCACCCGTTGCACCGCCTGTCTCGGAAAAGCAACAGACTCCGAATGCTTGATCCTGATCTGCAAAGTGTGCAGAACTTGAAAGTAGGTTGTGCTCCAGGCATACAGCTCGATCGATAAGACTATGGATGTCAAAACACGAAATCGGGGCGAAGAGAATTTGAATTGGTCTGTTGAAGTTTGGTGATGGAGATGAAAAACTTTACAAGTTGGAATTGCCATATCAGTGATAGTTATGCAACCCCGTAGATACCCTAGCTAAATAATTGTACGACACTAAACAACCTGTGGCCCACTTGGAGACAAGAGGTTCTTCTTCATTTTTTTGATGATGTCAAAAATCGACTTTGCCTTTTGATTGCAAGCCTGAGCTCTATCAGCTTGTAAAGCTGGTCGTTTATTATTCGGTGCAACTTGTTGAAGAAACAGACGTTCAGCAACCACTAACAGTTGTCATTTCAACGAGAGACTCTCTCCATTAGGTATGATAGAATTGCATGGGCTAAGAACTCTATTTTAATGGCGATTGCCAACCGGGTGTACGTAGTAGAACATGAGGTTTTTTACAGGTAAAAAAACAAAACAATCATCAAATGAACAAAATTCAGAGTTAACTGGAACCTAAATGTCAAGTTGAGTCTGATCATGCTGTGCGCAAGTCCTCTAGCCTATCTTTAGCCACGGACTCCGAAAGCACCGGCGTTGAACCGAGGGGCTACTCCGGATGAGCTTCCCGGGTAGCTCCGGTCGGCTGCAGTATCGTCTGTCTTCCGGCCTTGTCCAAGGTTCATAGTTTTTGACTGATCGATCATATAGGCAAACTCAATCTATTCCCCGCCTTTTTAGACAACCCCAGCACGTTCTTAACTCCGGTGCCATGGGGCGTTCGGCGCAACGACAATATTCTTTCATAATCCCGAGAGAGGCGGACATTGACAGTGTAAACCGCCGATGGTCGCGGCCCGATGCGATGTCCACGCCGAGCCATACGAGCTCTTTATATCTCGTTTGACTATTGAATGGTCAGATATAAACCCTCACCATTCTTCGAGAGGTTAATGTTAAGATGAGCTAAGTAACCAGCATCACCAAGAACAACGACTTACAAATAATGTCTCGCTCAATCTACTTAGGTGCCGATGGCCAACTCGCCATCAAGCAAGTCAGGGAAGACTACACACCTCAGAAACTCCAAGCCCTTGTCTCAGTAAAGTACTCGGGTATCAACCCCTGCGATCTCAACTTCTTCCACGTAGGCCTCAACTCCTTCGTCACCGGCTTCGAGTTCGCCGGCATCGTCGAGGCAGTCGGGCCCGAATCCACCCTGCAAATCGGCGACGCCGTTCTCGGTATCTCGCCTGTCGGGTTTCCCCAAAAGTCTTCGTCTTGCACACATCAAGACAAGGCCATCGTCGAAAGTAATCTTACCTTCAAGCTGCCTCCCGGCCTCGCTCTCAAAGACGCCGGAGGCCTGGCTCTCACGACGCAGACCGCCGCCGACGCCATCTTCAACACCCTTGGTTTCGCGTTCCCCGCCGCAGGCGTCACCGGGACTGATGGCACCGACAAGCCGATACTGATTTGGGGCGGGGCCAGCAGCGTCGGCGTCGCGGCCATTCAGCTCGCAAAGGCGGCAGGATTCAACCCCATCTTCACGACTGCGTCCGTCAAGAACCACCCCGCGCTACAGCTGCTCGGGGCTACACATTGCTTCGACTATAAGAGCCCCGATGTAACTGGCGATATCCGCTCTGCTGCCAAGGATCTCGGCGTGAGCCTGACTACCGGCTTTGATACTGTTGGCAGTGGCCTTCACGGCCCCAACGCTGACCCTGAAACGTCTACGCCTACGCTTCTCCGCAGGAGCTTGTCCGAAGGCGTCGAGAAAAAATCTGTCAAGCTTGTGTGCACGCAACCCGTGCCCCATGATTCGGCTTTTGGTTTCTGCACATGCTACCGGCCCGTTGGTAGCGTCGGTGCCATGGGACACCCGCAAGACCCTGCATTTCCGGTTCGCCTGCGTAAGGTCATGGAACATGTTCTGGGCTCCGCTGAGAGGGCTCCGAAGCACCCCAATATCACTGTTGTCAAGGGTGGCGAAGTCGGCTTACGGGAGATCCAGAGAGTGGCCTATGGCGGTGCTTCCTTGGAGAAAGTTGTGATTGAGCACCCGATCTAAATGGGTCGAGAGATCGAGGGGGGAACTTGGAAACAAAAATGTCCCATACACGGAACGAACTGACCGCTTTGAAAAATTCGACTTGCTCGAACAATGCTTCTAACTATATATAATGCGTATAACCTTAGGTTTCGCACAGGAGTGCTACATGTTATCGACTCGACTTAGAATAGCCATGAGAACCCCTTACGATAAACCTTAACAAATGCGCTCTTCTTCCCCATCGCTACCTCCTTTTCCCTTCTTTCTGCCTCGACCGCTGCTCTCTCCTCGGCAACAGTCTCTTCTGGCACGCCCGTGATCAAGTCGGCTGTCTCAGACCGAACGCGATGGGACTTTTTGAAGATCTTGTACCCAAAGATGCAGATCAGGTAGACAGGGATTCCAATGTACTGAACGATGAAGTTCTTGTAGTCAAAAGTGCCGACGAACACTTCGATACCTTTAGTCAAGGTCAGGACAATGAGGAAGCCGAGGGCGGCATAGGAGCCCCAAGCGCCCAGAGGAGCGCGATAGGGGATATAGGCGGCATCGATTCGTTGGGCGGTGCGGGCGCGGCAGAAGAAGATGTGGGAGACGAGGATAGACATCCATGTAAGCAGACCTATGGTATGCGTTAGTGTTGGTCTTTTTATTCAAGCATTAAGACGGACTTACCAAAGACAGTGACGACATTCGTCAAGTAGCCAAACACGGTTGCGGCACCGGAGCTGACAGACATGTAAGCCAGACAGCAGAAGACACCACATAGACCCAAAGCCACAAAAGGCACGCCGGCCTTGGTAGTCTTGGAAAAGATGCGAGGCGCTTTGCCGTCGACCGCAATACCGTACAGCGTGCGAGACGAGATATAAATATCCGAGTTGGCAGCTGAGAAAACAAACACCACGAGACAACCGTTGATGACGTGATCAAGTCCCTTAATTTTGGCAATGGTGATAGCCACCACAAACGGCGAGGCCGCAGCGCTGGTCTTGGCCTTGGCTGCGAAGACGAGCTCGGCGCTGTTATAGGGGACAACCATGCCAAGCAGGAAGACAGAGATGATGTAGAAGAAGACGATGCGCATAAAAGTCAGGCGAACAGCCTTTGGCATGCACAGCCGCGGGTTCTTGGCCTCGCCGACTGTGACGCCGACGAGTTCAGTGCCGGAAAAGGCGTACACAGCGGCCACCATTGCGCTCCAGACCCCGAGAAGACGACCCTGGGCACCATCGACCTTGTACTCAGCGAACGCGCCCGGGTCTGACCAGTACCTGAAGCCGGGACGGTCACCGGTGGGACCGCCGCCCACGGCGAGGATGAAGAGCAGTAGGATGACGCCAATCATGATGACCACTTTAAGAGATGAGAGCCAGAACTCGAACTCGCCAAAGGCCTTGACACTAATACTATTGATCAGGAGAATGAGAACCAGGGCGATGGTGATGAAGACGGCTGGGTTGACGCGGTCCCCTACCCAGAACTTCATGATCAGGGCAAAGGCGGAGAGTTGGTTGGGCGTGGCGAGGAGATACTTGAAGAAGTAGCAGTAGCCCGTCGCAAAACCGAGAGCCGGGTCGACGAAGCGAGTCGCGTAGCCGCCGAAGCCGTGAGATAGGGGCATGTAGGAGATGATTTCGCCGAGGGCGGCCATGACGAGGAAGACAATGCAGCCGACGATGGAGTAGTCGATGAGGATGCCAGCTGGGCCTGCCTTGACTAGAGCCGAGCCTCTGTGAATTGGTTAGTTAGAATGAACGCCAGGACGGTAATTTTCCGTACGGGGAGACAACTTACGTTCCAATCAGCAATCCTGTTCCAAGCGCACCGCCCAGCGCAATCATCGTGACATGGCGCGTTTCGAGACGTTTGTGAAGTTCATGGCCGGGCTGGATGTATGGATCTTCGACTTGGCCGATCTTCGCGCTTTGTTGATGGGTCAAGTTCTCCAAGCCCGCAGGTTCCATCTTCTCTTGGTCCATCGTTGACTTGTCTGATGTTGAGCTGTTAGTGCTGGCGTGTCTACTGCTGCAACAATGGCAACATCCAAATTGTTGGGGTGTTGTTTCTCGACAAAGACTCAAAGACTTATTCAAGTTGACCAGTTCCTGTGTCTCTACGACCCCAGAAGCACCAGGCCGGAACAGCCAGTGTCATATCAAAGTCTTATAATCGAAGTCTTCACTTTAGTCAATTTTCAGATAAGTCCTTGACACCCCAGTCTTGGTCACTATCTCGAGTCCGTGGGTCCGGGGAAGCGATTCGGGAGTGGGTCCCGAGACGTCGAAAACGCGGGGAGAAACCGTCGGATTGTCAACCCGCAAGCTGGTATCAGATAGTCAACTGACTCGGACAAGCCCCTATCTGGAGACCTGGAATGTCGCGGGGTCTTGTTCAAGTTTATTTGATAAGAGTCTCGTCATCCAACTTGGGCTTGTTGCAAGGTTTCTCCTGGCGCCTTCACTACCTTAGTACCTGCATGTGAAGCTACGTTTTGAAGCCGGTTGTTGGCCGTCATCGATGGGACGATTACCCCGCGGGATTAGATTGTCTCTATCTGAAATTCCGACCCTCTCTCTGAGGCGTGTCTTTCCTCAGCGAGTTTAGTTTGATAAGCTGTCTTGATTCCTCCAGACCTGATTTCGGAAGCACACATCCGAGGGCCAGTCTGGTATCCTATTAGTCATTCATAGCAAGCCCCCGCTAAAATCAAAATCCGGGGCAATGGCCTCGGTCCATAACCAACTCCCCGCGAGCTGATCGTCGTCGAAAGCGGCCATATTCGGTTCCCAATCGAGCAAGCCCGCTATGGACAGCATTTGTTCTGAAGCGAGCCCATTTGTTGTGCTGCCAGTAGCCGGGCCGGCCTCTGTGGGTTGCTCGGTCGATGATGACAGTTCTCCGGCGTTCCGGCGCAGTGAAGACTGATTCTCAGCCTGCATACTGCTGCTTCCGTCACCGGCAACTGACGGTGGAGCGTGAAGTTGGCGTTGAGCGAGACACAGCATCTCTTGGAGCTTTTCGAGCTCTTCCTTCCGGTACCGGGCCACAACGTTACCGCGCGCGATCATGGTATCGAGTATATCAGTAGTAGTTTGCATATAGTTGTTATCTCGCTCGGAAAGACCTGGCATGGAGGTCATCAAAGTGAGAATAAAAGCCGATGAGAACGCCTGCTCCAAGTCAAAGGGGAGGAAACATTCTAAGTAGCACATCAGTTCATGTAAGGATCGATAGCAGATCGTATGTATGCCTACCTAGTAGGTGCTGTGACTGCAATGTTGACAGAATCCGAAGTGATTTGTTTGCCGAATCTGACGATGTCTTCAAGAGTGCTTTGATTGGGCTCGCTAGGCCTCTGTTCACATTTCCTCGCCTTCCTAGAACGTCTTGTAAGAGACACATGAGGATTGGGCGTGTGGCAAGAACGACACACTTGAGATAATCAGCTACCAGATATTTGGTAAGTTTCTCTCAATCCACTTACTTGATGATAACATAAGTTAAGTGTGGCGGAAACCCTGGACGCAGGCTCAGAGTTATTGAACTTGAACTCGAACCCGGCCGTAAGCTGAGGCGCTAGTCTTGCCATGTCTCTTAAAACTTCCTGGACACTCTTCAGAAAGGAGGGATCGAGTTTTCCGTCTACGCCATACACAGCTATGTCTCGGTCAGAGATTTCCAGTCCTGTATGTGGGCTCTCTAAACTCACTATTCAAAACCTTGGCAAGCAGCTGAGACAAGACAACGTGGATTGCGAGTGCCTTATACTTGTGAACCACCGGGTCTGATCTTGGCAGTTGAACGGTGATGTCGCTATCTTGTATCGAATTGGGAGCGCCCATGAGGGATGACATCTTGCGGTCTAAGATATACAAGGTCCACCAGACGCAGCGGAGTCTGTTAGCCTCACTGTCGTTAAGTTGGTTTCTTAATGGTTCTCGGTGTAAGCCTTGCGAAATGGCAATACGAAATGCTTGGCCGATCTACTAGACTCAGCAAAAACTCCGACAAGTGAATGGCGGCTGACCATCGACTCACATAGGTATAAGCACTGTTCCTGTGGTCTACTGACTGCAGGTATAGAGCCAGACCGCATAGTATCTCTACGGAGAGGACAGGATCTTGGTATAATCCATGGACATCAGGAAGCAGCTCGAGGGCCCTCGTCACCAAACCACTCCCAGGAGGAGTTTGATTTGGGTTTCCAGGGACTAAAAGAGCTTTGCCGAAAGCCATGATGATGAGGAACTGGATATACCACAACCTAGAATCTGCCGTCGGTTCCAGCTTCGGTCCTGTTCTGTAGAGGTCGTAAAGCCCAGTCATGAAGCTTTCCTCGTCAAAGAGATGGTATGTCTGCCCAAGATGAAACTTGACCGTATTCGTGAGATAGAGAGCATAGTCTAGGGAGGGGATGTCGACTGTGGCTTGAGGCGTGATGTCTCTAGACGAGGGCCAGTCCAGCTTGAATGCTTCAGCATCAACGTTAAGAGGAACTTCTGGAGATTCGTGTTGGCCGAGATGACCCTGGATCATGTTCAGTACCTGTCGGCTGTATGCCCAAGTTGATGAAGGCCCAAGCCATCCTGTAAACCGCTTAGATTGAAAGAAGCAACGATGACGCCATGTAATTACTCACTCCTTCTACCCGTTGCATCCGTGAGGAACTTTGATGGTCCGGTCGCTAATGGATTGCGCATGTTCGAGAAACCACCGCGTTCTTCCGGATCATCCTCACCGCCGACGATAGTCGTGCCGTCGTCGAGATTGAAACTACGTGCCGGCGGCGAGGCTCCGTGGCCGACCTCTATCAACACTGGTGCTGTTGTTTCATTAACCACTACATGTAGAAAGTATTATGATGAGCCAAATCCCACTAAGTAACGCGATACAAGATGAAGGCTTACCATCACGAAGGCCAGCATCAGCAGGCGACGTGGATCGATGACGACGAGATCGCTTCGCTGTCGGTGAAGTCGATATTTCCCCTTCGACGCCATATCCCGACTTGCGTTTCAACTCGTTAAGAAACCTTTGGACGATTAGATCTTAGGCTTCAACAGAGAAACACGTAAAAGCGGGCCTGGATTACCTCTCGGATACGACAACCTTCCGATCTTCTTTATCAAAGACGCACTCCACCGACTTTCGCAGGCAATTCGCACAAGGCAACGAGCCCGAACACTTCACCTTTCGTTCACGGCACCGCGTACAACTTAGATTATCATTAGGATTCGATTGACTGACACCTGCTCTCACATCCGAGGATGCTGAGCCTGGAGGTTGCTCCACTCACGCGTTGCTCGCTCGCTTGCCGCGCGGGACAGAGTTTGCCGTCTCAGCTTCTTGCTCGGCTGAGCTGCTTGGACTCTCGCCTTCGCCAGCCATCACATCGGTATTTTCAATTATTCACAAGAAGGTCTTATGGGTGCGTTTGCCCTATGTTGTCTAGTTCCTCTCGTTGAAGTCTTGTAATTGTTAATCTCGAGATGGAATGAGGTGCGGAGACATGTTGATTGCATCTCCAACTCCAGCCACAGTAATGATTGTGGCGCACCTTAGCGTGCTCTGAACATGTCAGAAGCTATTCTCCCATGGTCAGTATCTCCGCTCAATTATGGCTTGAGATTACTCTCTCCTTAATTGAACATAGCATTCTGTTCGCTTCTCAAATATCTTTTGATATCTCCCGGCATTGACTGATACCAGACCTTTGTTTTCTTCCCACTGCTTGATAAACCGAACGTGTGGAGCAGTAGGGCCTCTCAGCTCGGCTCACTGGGCCGAAGTTTGCTCCTTGACTCGGTTTCCTGGCCCGCCTGCACTCCAGCCACACATTACTGTAACGGACCGCTCTACCGATGCCATGGCTCAGAGTGAAGTCACGGCATCAGGGTCTCTCCATTCACGACGATGCAAATTTTGGTCACCTGTTTGCTAAAGCAAGGCAACATAGACTACCTACCTTACTGAACATGCCTTTGACTGCACTGTACAGGCTTACAAGCACTGAAAACACAGCAACAAAAGACCATTTGCCATGGCCTCTATTTGATATCATTGAGTTGCGAGTAGGACGTTGCAATGAATTACCTCATACCTCAGTGTCACTCTCGTTGACAGCCTGGAGTCTAAAGATAAAAGCTCTCGTCCGTGTCCACGAGATATGTTCCAAAACTAAAATTCCTTACCTAGAACAAAGGATTTGGGTAAAGAGAAACCTGCAATTTAATGGAGCATCTGTCCCTGTTTGGCTAATGTTTTAACAGAACAAAATACTTGATGTAATAGTAAGTATGGTAGACCGCTTACATTGTTTACGAGGCCTTCAAAGGTGGTCTCCCACTATCCACGCGAGTGAATGCTACACATGCATCGGGGGCAGAGTTCGCGTGGCAATATAGGAAGATAAATCACCCAAAAATGATCTATATCACCAGTCATTCCCAGATTGATGGTGCCATCCGAAAGATATGTACTGTCAAATTATGTGCAAGAAGTAAAGGCTATGTACAAATTTTCCCACCGGAGAGTCGTGGTGTGTCAATCAAAGAAACACGCCGAGCCCAGGGGCACGAAAACAGGATGTTCCCTGAGGCAGGCTGTTCAATGATCCCTTTCTAACAGTTGCCCGATGCAGTGAAGGAGGCCTTCTCCTTGGTACCAACTTTGTTTACGACGACCTGCTTACCGTTGGAGCAGGTGACGCGGACGCTAACTGTGTCCACAAGGAAGCCGTCACCACTGCTCTTCTGCCAGTAGTTGTAGTCCTGACGGACGGTGGGCTGCCAACTCTTGCCGCTATCGGTACTGACTTCGAACTTGGTAACTGGGTAGTTGTGGTTCACAACTTGCATGGAGAACCTAGGAGTTATGTAAGTCATAGTGTCTGGGTCACTGCAGTGATAAAAGACACATACCAATACTTCGAAGTGCCCTCCTTGTTCCGGACGATCAAGGGTGAGGTGATGCCGCAAGGAACCTGCTCCCATGAGACGCTGATTTGTCCCTTGTTGGGATCGTCGAGCTTGGCGAAAGCATCGGGGAAGAGATCGAGTTGGCCGTTTCCACAACCTGAGGGGCACTTGTCGACAACCTGATCTTGAGTTAGAATAGCTCGGAGATGTGATTGAAAGGGATTGCTGATACTCACCATAACCTTGATGGTGTTACCCTTGGGTCCCTTCACATTGAGGCAAGTACCGCAGTTTCCGTTGTAGTTGGTATAGGACAAGGCAGTACCCAGGACGCTTGATGGCAACGTGTAACCGGAGAACAGGCAGTTACCTCCGTTCAGGTTTCCACCATACCAAGTTGCAACAGCGCTCGTGGCAGCGGCGGTGCCTTGAACCATGACGGCAAGGGCCGCGCCGAGAGAGATAAGACCGTGCATCTTGATGAATGGAGGGGATGATCCTGGAAGTTAAGTGAGGATGGACTGTATGGGAGGCGGATTGGGAAGAGATCGCAGGAAAGCCAGCGCGATTTATACCAGGAAGCCCACGATGCTTGTCCCAATCACTTCAAAGCACGCAACCAAATCAAGAAGGTCTCAAGGAATGGGCTGACATACTGACAGCCATGCGGCATCCCACAAAAGAAACAATACTCAATTCCTTAATCTATTTCACCCGAATGGCAAACTCTTTGGGGTATCATTCCTCAAGACTAATGGCTCTTTCAACTTATCAGAAACCCGCCACTCAGCAATAACAGCCCCCCTTTCTCTGCCATGTGAAACTACATGGGGGAATTCTGCCCTCTAATTCGTCAAAGTAGCGCTAGGAGCGCGGAGCAAGCGGAAACGCGATCGGGAAAGGGGGCCACAGAGGTTCACGATGGGCCTGTTCTTCCAATCCTCTTACTCTATACTAGCAGCGGCCTGTGCTTCGTCGGCTCCCCGGCTACATGCATTAATTTACAGGTGTCATCCTGTCAAGGGGCTTTATATCCGCGTCGTACGGTTTGTTGTCGACGTTGGATTTCTCCTTGGTGGGAGAGGGTGCCAATTGAGAGCTTTAGAGTTCAACGTTTCACTAAATAGTCCATGCTAACCCAAAGGGATGGTAACTGGCCGTGAGTCTGGACCGGAGTGGATAGTGGACATGAGTCGCGATATTGCGGACGGTGCCGTATTTCAGATTGCACGGCCTGTTGGTGAGCAGAATTCCACTTCGGATCCCACGTGGACGGATCGCGTTGTGGGAACCTATTGTGGAAAGAGGCAGGGCTGCTTCGAATGCCATGTCTTCGGGTCTAGCCTATTTCTTCTTTTCCATGCCGGTCTTCCGTGCAGGTAATTGATGGCGCTGTCAGGCTGTCATCGGTCAAGCCGGTGTTCGCTTGTACTTGGAGGAAGCAATGTCCTAGTGACGATCACATTTCTTTTGTATATCCCTTCCATTGTCTTGCCGCCCAACAAGTTGCTTGGCTATTGTCGGGTTGCTCAGATAGATTAAAGATGACACTTTTGACAAACAGCACTGAAGCATGGATTCGTGTATCCATTCTTTCGAAACGAGACATCCTGCTGTTTGTCTCTCGAGATTCAATCTAGGCCTGTCTATCACACAAGACTACTAGTCCTTACATATTGCGCTTTGCAACCATAATTACTCAACAATTAGATTGCTAGCAGCACCCTTCAGTTGAACCAAACTTTCGCAATCAACGGGCTCCTCGAGATGCCCTAAACTCTCTCAGCATGAGCCCCGTCTTTTCTACATGTGAGTATAGACCAAAACTGATGGATGCTCATTTGCGCTAAGCCATTCAAAGTTCGCCATCGCCCCAGTCAAACTGAACAAGGCCATCTGGAATAATTTAAGTCGCATCTCACATGGCTAGGTGACGATGCATCTTGCTTCAAGTTCTAATCACGTCTAATTGACGCTTATCCGACAGCCTCGCATCCGCCGTCTGTGAAAATATACCCCGGGAGATCGGAATCACTGAATCAGCACCATAATCCAGCCCCAACGGCTTGGCCGAGTCACTGCTTGAAAAACGACACTTCACCAATGTAGGCTAAATAGCCGAGGAGATGACTCGAGATTCAAGCTGAACGAGAACGCTTTCGTATTTTCGCATATGCCGCGCTAACTGAAGATGGCATTCGGCGAGCGGGTCTTGAAGTCAGACCATGTGCGTCGCCGGATGCGTCCTAATTTCGCCGGCGAGGAAGAGACCACACTACGAACTTCTCAGGCCGCAGACGGAATGTCTCAATATCGGCTTTGACTGTTTCCCCCCCGGATTCTTCGGCGGCATCGCCTGTTGACCGGAAGTCGCATGATTTGAACGCCCAACGCCCATGATCTCTACTGTTCCAAACGTCTGTGACGTTTTCATACGTTAACTCGTTTTGGTATCATATGTTGAGGTTGGATGGCAAGCGCATCAAAATGTATATCTGTGTCTCTCCATGTGCGACTTACCGACAGATGTTTGTATGCATCATCATAATCAAAATTTGTCCGAATATTCTTACGCCACAATGGTTACCACACAATCAAAACCCGAGACTTCTGGTCTAGACATGTCAAAATACATTACTCCATGGAAACTTGATCCGCAGCAACCGTATCTTCTGAAAAATTGCAGAATTGTTGACCCCGTTCATGGATCGATCAGCAGCAATACCACTATCGTCCTGTCCGCCGGCAAGATTATTTCCGTTGAAGCAGGCGAGCCAGCAAAGTCGGATGGAACTGAGATCAAGACAGAGAACATCATCGACCTTGAGGGAAAATATGTCTGCCCCGGTCTGATCGACTGCCATGTCCACATCGCAGTTACACCAGGCGCAGCCAGTTTGGCGTCGTACCGAGACATGACGGAGACCAAAAGCCTTCTGCGGCAGCCTAGTGTTCTGAAGTCAATGCTCCAGCGCGGGTTCACTACTGTCAGAGACTGCGGTGGTGCAACTCTCGCTATGAAAGAGGCCGTCGAAGAGGGCATCTATCCCGGTCCGCGCCTCTTCATCTCTGGAAAGGCTCTGTCCCAGACTGGCGGCCACGGCGACATGAGAGGGCGGCACGACACCATCCCCTGCTGCGGCGGCGCTGTTTCGGGCATCAGTCGAATCGTAGATGGGGTGCCGGAATGCTACCGTGTTGCTAGAGACGAATTGCGCCAAGGTGCAGACTTCATCAAGATCATGGGCGGTGGTGGCGTTGCCAGCCCAACTGACCGCATCGACCAGCTCCAGTTCTCCGACGACGAAATCAAGGCTATAGTCACCGTCGCAAATAACGCAAAGACGTATGTCACGAGTCACTGCTATACCACAGAAGCAGTGACACAGGCCATCAACCAGGGCGTCAGGGGTATTGAGCACGGCAACCTGATCGATCTCGAAACTGCAAAATTGATGGCGAAGACGGGGACATTTCTCACGCCGACGCTTGTTACTCACTTCGTATCAAAGGAGTCACATTTCCTAGATGCTGAGTCAGAAGCCAAAGTCACCACTGTACTCGAACAGGGCTTAGTTACACTCAAGATGGCAACTGAGCTTGGTGTCACCGTTTGTTTCGGAACAGATCTGCTGGGCCCAACTCACTTCGCTCAGTCGAAAGAGTTCTCTATTCGCAGTCAAGTCCAGACATCCCTTCAGATTCTGCAAAGCGCCACCATCAATGCTGCCAAGCTGCTTGGCCAGGAAAACAAGCTTGGCCAGGTCAAGGAAGGATTCATGGCAGATTTATTGATTCTAGATCGTAACCCTCTGGATGATATCACAATCCTGGACAAGTCTCAGGAGTCTATATTGGCTGTTGTGAAGGATGGCAGGGTTATGCATTCGCATCTGAGCTATATGAAAGAAGAGCCGAGAGTCTGAGGGCCCGGGGTAATTTAACCTCAGGTATGGAATCATGTAATCAGCATTAATAGAGATCCAAAGGATTTTTTGCTTCTTACCTTAATTGCAATTCTTCCTGAGCGCATTTGTCTCGCCCTCACCGGTGACCAAGTTTGATCAAAATCTATTCCAGACCATTCGTATTGACTTGATATCGTACCGCATGTACAGCTTTTCAAATGAGTCGAAATCTGTTTGACATAGTTCTTCGTGTAAAATGGCTTCGGCTTTATGGTGGTGTTCCAATACGCGTACTCAAGAGACCGAGTAGCCGGCCGCGATAACGGCGTTTGGGCCCCATCTCCACGTCGCCTGGGTTTTTTTTCCACGGATTGTAAATAGAAAAAAAGATTTGTAATCTACCATGACTGACAAATCAGATTCAGAATCTAAGAGACATGATCTCCAATTAGAAAGGCATCAATTCATTGAAGAATCCCAGCCTGCCTGAAGACACATCCAAATCTCTTCGCTGCCAATTTTGACTAGGAACTTCTTTTAATGATTACGCTTCATTAGTCAAGTCGACCACAGTCACAACCACTCAACCCCATGCAATGGAACTTGGTTCGACTCGAATAGACGATGGCATGGAGACGGAGACTCGAGTATCAGCTATCACCCGTCGACACGAAGCCTCTGCCATCCCTCGAGAGTTCGCCTCCTTCGCGGAAGAAATCGGATTCGTCTGCATATGCTCTATGGGCCAGCTTCTATTTGCAATACATCTTTCGCATACCTTTGTCAATCAAATCACTTTAATCGACGCTCTGAAAACGACTTCGCTGAATACACCATGGCTTATCGGTTCATTTCTCGTCGCTAACGGAGTTTCCGTTGTGATCTCGGGCTCCTTGGCAGATCTTATCAGTCCGAAACATCTCACCTGTGCGGCCTTCATCTGGCTCACTCTTTGGAATTTTATCGGTGCGTTCTCTGTCATACCTGAGAGAATGATACTATTCTTCGTCGCTCGAGCAATGTCTGGCTTGGCGGTCGGAACCCTTTGCTCCGCGGCAATGAGCATGCTCGGGAGGGTTTACAATCCCGGTCTACGGAAGAACCGAGTATTTTCTTTGATGGGTGCCATGATCCCCCTCGGCTTTGCCATCGGGTTCATACAGGGCGGTGCGTTAAGTACACATTTGCCTTGGATATTCGGGTCAACATCCATTTTGTCTCTGGCATGCCTGGTCGCCGCTATCTGGTGTATTCCTTCTCTCCCCAATGAGTCATTGTCTTTGAAGGACTTTGACTACGTTGGAGCTGCAGCAGCAATTCTTGGATGCGGATTGCTCATCTTTGGTCTCACTCAAGGATCGCCTGCGCAATGGACTCCATACACTTATACCCTTGTCATCATCGGAGTTGCCTGTTTAGCCAGCTTCGGTCTTATTGAGAGCCGAGTACGGCGGCCACTGATAGACAATCGCCTTTGGAAGACTCCTGGATTCTTTCCTTTGATCTCGTCTTATTTCCTAGGATACGGAGCTTATGCCGGAGCCTGGCAATTCTATGCGGTGCGCTTTCTGCTTACCATCCAGCAAAAGCCACCCGTCATTGTCGCATGTTATCTTCTCCCTATCGGTGTAAGCGGAACCCTTGCGTCGTGGATTGTATCCAGAACGCTTCATATAATACCGGGACACGTTATCATGATGGGAAGTATGCTTGCATTTGCCACAGGCCCTGCTTTCTTCTTACCTCAACAAGCGGGTACACTTTATTGGGCGCTCTCATTTCCCTGCTTCATCGTAAGCACATTTGGGCCGGATATGTCGTTCGCAGCTGTCTCCGTGTTCATCACATCGAACGTACCCAGATCGTACCAAGGTGCTGCAGGAAGCTTGGTCATCACTGCGCAAAACCTGTCCACCGCCGTACTCGCGGCATTGGGAGACACTATTGGGGAAAAGATCACAGGACAGCCGGAGGGTTCCCTAGACTTAAAGGCCCTGCGTTCTATCTGGTGGCTGAGCCTGGCGACCGCTCTGACAGGCGCTTTGATATGTGGTTTCTTCGTCAGAATACCAAGGAGTGAAGAGAAGGAGCATGTCAGCTGAGTGCATGCAATGAAATATGAAGGATTCCTGGGTATTACTGGTCATAAAACATTTATTATGTCTATCAACACCTCGGTGGTGTAGTTCAATTGATGCAGCCTCATGCTCGTTACCTAACCACGCTTATTCAAATGCTGGCCTACCTTCTGGTGGCACTGGGGTATCATCAAGCTGTCTTCTAAATCTCTGCATCTCCAGGATTCTACACCGTCTCGCTGGACTTCTGTGATTGCGTAGTGGTTGAGCAAGCCGCCACATGCTCAAGGTCGACATTGAGGTCGTACGCCGGCTCGCTGACGACATCAAATCTGCTCATGCGTGTTATTTGTAGCGTCTTGACAGTTGATTTGTAGTTGTAAGCGTTAGACTTGTCCGAATAGCCAGCGTTTCGGTTCGATCGGAAGTAAGGTCTTAGGCAGGGTAATGTTGCGACTAAAAGACCAATATTGACGTCTAGCTCGCTCCAAAGTTCTGCGGCTCAGCCGTCAGCACACGTATCAAGGAGCCTATAGAGACATGCAGCATGTTCAAGTACTCACCAACTAAACCGAAAGGCAATGCCTCGACCGATGCTGTCTGAATCGTAATAAAGCGAACGAGAGAGAAGGTCATGTTGATGATGCCGAGACCAAAGGTACAATAAACGCCGATTTTGAGGGCTCTCTTGATCTTCAAATCAGGTAAGATGAGCCAAGGAAGGCAGAAAACTTCGTAGAAAGTCAGGAAATCTTCGAGTTGAAAGACCAGGGTCTCTGTTTACTTACTCAGGATATCCCCGAAGAAATGCAATGCCCAGCCGACTTGGAAGACAATGGCGGGAGACGAAGCCGAGCACATGACATTTTCTGTTCCTACGACCCGATCTTCGAGAGACCTGACCAAGACCTGAAGTCAGTTTCAATGCCTGGAAACGGGATTCCTTGCTGTCGGATAAACTGACCAGTTCTTACTAAGGGGCAGGCAAACAGTGAAAAGCAAAATCATGCTGACCAAGTACGCCAGCCCAACGTATACTATAGCCGTCCATAACATCATTCGTCGATAGTACATAAAAATGGGGAATATCTGAACGTAGACGGCGAGAAGGGCTCCTTTGCAGAGGTAGAATGTTGTGAAGAATGGTATGCTGCTGGCCCAAAACAACTTTCAGGCACGGAGTGTCAGTACAACTAAATTGATCATGAAGAAGGTTTTTTTTCCTACCCTCATAATCAGCATAACTTCGTCGTCGTTTCCATCGAATCCGTCGAGATTGATTTTGATATTTTGATGCAAAGCGCCCATGACTGCGAACTGTATATCGAATGACGCAGTTACAACTGCAGAACACCATGCTAGGCATAGAAAGTAATCGCTAATTTGTAGTTTTCTTCCTTGGATATTGATTCGGAGATGAAGAGAAGCAGCTAGTACTGCGCCGGCGGTCAAGATGGTGACCCATCCCGTCGTCTGAATTGGTGCCAGAAAGGTCAGTGATTCTGTTCCGATTTCAAGGTCCCAAAGTTCGGAATCTGAGATCTGACATACAATGATTGTTACCGCCTTTGGGGTCGGAAAGTGAGCCATTATCCATCGTCACATCTTCACACACATTGTTGAGCCCCGTCGAGAAAGTGGGCGTCTGGAATTATAAAAGAGGATGGAAAAAGAGCTGAATGCCTGCGTGGACTAGTTGAGACAGACTGACTCCTAGCGTGAGATGAGAATCATACTAGCCCTGGTTCCGTTATCCGATTCCGAACTAAACATACGTACGATACCGAATTCATCGTCCGGATTCGGAAGTGCTCCAACTTTATCCTTGAAAGTCGCGCCCATCGGCCGACCCTAGACCCTCTTGCACATGCGTGAAAGCGCTGCAAGAACACAGGTACAGCAAGTCAGGCGTCCTCTATAGGGATGCGCAACGATGTGGACATGGCTTGTATGAACTCATTATGAAGATAATGCCGATGCCAACCTCTTTAGAGAGAACATCAATTGAATCGAAGTGGACAATTTAAGCGGGTTCTGCGTATTCATTGCATCAGGGGTCTGAGATGAGTGTCTTGGTCGGCTGACATGCTGTTTCCCCTGCAACGTGGACTATTGTCTTGGATGCAAGAGATCACCCGTGTCACCGTCTGCTTCAAGATCTGACACCCCGCTCGCCGATTCATTCTTAGATTCAAGAGCGCCGGTAAATTATATCATCGGATGTCTCTCATTTGCGGCCCTTCCTGAATCTGACTCGAGTTCGGGAAGCCGAACAGACAGCGGCCCGTGGTGCTCTTCAAATAGAATATAAGATGCGCTGAGCCCTTACGAGCCTTGGTTTGGTGCCACCATGAGCCTATCTACAGGTAGCAAAGGGTTCAAAACAGCCAAACTCCGCGCATACGTTTCGCGCATACGCTTCGCGCACTCCGTTTCGTCCGTACCCGTCCAGCCAATTTGACGGGCCGGGACGGTGCCCATGGAACCAGTCTGTGCGATCCGCGCCACATCGCAGCACATCGGTACGTAGACTGAGCCGCTCTATCCTGATCACCCACGCTACCATTTGGCTGTAGTCCTAATCTATGTAGACTAGCCGCGCTGAGACCAATGCGGTGAACTAGGCCCGGGGCAGCACGTGGAACAATCAGGTTGTTCACAGGCTTCGACCTTTCGAAACGGGAACTAGCTTCTGGGAGAACCCGAACAGTGGGCTAGTCGCTGCGTAACTGTTCTAGACCAGCACTTTCCGATGTTTTGATGAGTACGCACGTATGAGCTTCCCTCATCCGATAGCAACCATTGGGCAGGAGACTTACAGGTACGTTTCAAGAGCTTACCGTTATACAGTCAATACAGGAATCTAGACGGATTATTTCGCTTTGACGACACGCTAATTTCAACAATGACCCTCCTAGATGTTTTCCTCATTTCCGTCGAGTCAATTGAAGACCTCACGTAGAGAAACGCTTGGGTATATTGAGCGTGCTTAGCTAAATCTTCTTAGGTAGAAACCCTACTCAATGATCTCCGTGGCTCGCCGGAGACGTATAGGTCAGAAATCAAATCACTTGCACCCATCCCAAGGTTGGATTTTGCAAGTTGCTGTTGACTTACTCTGAAATTCACCCATAACCTTCCATGTATCAAACCTCGGTACCTAGTGAACAATCTGCTTCTGAAGGGACCCCGGTGTCCGGGCCGCATGTTCACTCGGGGCCTCCGCCGGGACGGCCCCACTTCGCCGCGTTTCCGAAACCATCGAATCCAGGCATGGGTGAGACAAGGCGAATAAGGGTGGCGGAAATCAAAGACACAGGAAATGTTTCTGTACGAATCATCTAACGTAAGCTCGGTTTGGCCGCACCACTTTGTGCTTCCCTTCGACGAAAACGGTCTGCCGTGATCCGACGTAACGAATTTGCGATTGCCCTTCACTCCATCCCCGGGAACTGGTCCCAGCCAGCCATCGACCCTTCATTGAAGGTGGGAGGATGAGTTCTGCTCCCATTGCAGCACTGAGCACACCTGCGGAAATTTCCAGGTTCTTGTCCCGAATTGGTAGCCTCGGCGAGATGTGGCGCGCCTTCGCCGAGCGACGCCGAATAGTTAGCAAGCAAACAAGCAAAAGCCCGTCATAGAAGAAGGCAAACGACGGCGCATGCCAATCATTGCCAATAGTTTTTAACATTACATCAGCTCACCAGTTTCTGAATCACTCGATATCAATATCTTGTGTGGTGACCAGGGGTCATTCCTGCGTCGCTCTTTTACCTTAGCCTAGAACTCTGGACATCGTATGGTTGAGAAGCGGACAAAATATCGGCTTCCCGGTGATTCCATGAAATAGATCAAGATTTCATATGGAAGGATTGGATTGGGAGAAATGAGATGACACACGCCTCTTCTAAAGAAAAATGGTTGGATGCTTCTATTGACTCTCTCCCTTCCTAGAATAGCATACTTTTCTTCATGGTCAAAATCACTACTTCCTTATACCCAAATGATTCTTAAGTGCGGCTTCTTCTCTCCTCTGTCTCTGATCTCAAGTTCAAATCCCATGCTCATTTTTCAAATAGCTTTCCATCGGCTCGAAGCCGAGGTGTCGTGGATCGGTCCTTGTTGCTCGTATGTGATGCTCACAAAGTCAGTCCGTATGATCTTTCCGTCAGCTGGGCGTTGATTCGCGTCGCTTTGGGCAGATGTGAGGTTTGGAGCTTCTGATGAAGCAGATATGTCTTGGTTCGAGTCGGTCGTCGGCGTGAGAATATTCTCCTGACTATCGCCCTCGACGATAGTAAGACCCAAGTCATCTTTGGGCTTCACCTTTGGTTTACGCTGTCCAAGCTCAATATTGCCGCCGCCGCGCGACCTTGACTTGCTATGGGAGCTGTAGTCCTCGTAGTATTGAGGTGTTTGCTTGGAGTCCTTGGCCGAGCTGAAGGGATTGCGCCTGAGGATGAGCTCGAGAAGGGGCTGCATGACCGGTATTGAGCTTGCGATGATGATGGTGCTGCCCTCGACGCTATCATGTATCATTGCCTGTCAGTCAGGAGAAAGTAGCAAGAACCAAAAGTATATCAGGCAATTGGCTAGACAATGTATGAAAGAGACATTGGACTAACACTGTCCAGATCACCAGGTCAGATGTATCGTCTGTGTGGAGAAGACTACTGATCAGCTTGTGTCTTCTCAACATCAAGAATACCAAAAGAGGGCCCTACATGAGAAATCTTTGCTTCCGAGAGATGGTATACGGGTCGTCTTGTAGATGGCAACGATTCCAGAACTCCCAAGGTGTTAGTGGCATGATTCATAAGAGCTGGCAATTGCCCAAAAAGGGGGGGAGAGTTCCTACATTGAACCAATACCCAACGCACAAGACAGCGCGATCTTCTTCTTGATGGCCATTTGGAGACCGAAGAGAATTACTGCCGGATATACGGCAAGATAAACATCGACAAAAGCCGAGAAAGCTAAGCAGCGGCAAGTGTCAGCAACAAGCAGCAGAGCCTCGTTGTGCAATACTTTGTATCTTACATCCTGCGTAAATGCAATAGGCCACAAGGATGTTTACGTCAAAGCATGTTCCCTTCACGGAAAAATCCCACAACGACCTGGCCGGAGTACAACGCCCGAGGAGGAGACCGGCCGTCACGAACAACGTCAATTGACACCAAATTCCCATCCACCATAAGAACCACTTGTGATATCTGTCAGGATTCATCAATCGCACCAACAAAGAGACAACGGCTAGTTTAGGAAGTCCAAAGGACATGATGCCAGGGCAGAAGGCCGCTGTTGTCCAGAGGATGGCGCCCTCCTGCTGCTCGATCGACAAGAGTGACATATGTCTCCCGTTACCGTAGGTTACCGCGATCGTAGATAGGGCTGTTGAGATATAACCGCAGAACTGGACCATACCACACGTTAGATTAAGTTGTTTATGTAGAAAGGTCGTAAAGGGAGACTCATTCTCGATAGAAACTCTAGAAATCAGAAACATACCTGCCCTAGGATGATGAACCAGTCGTCGCTCTGGAATTTCTTCATAATTTTCCCCCTCACATAAATACGACCAATAACGAAGCTAGTACTGATTGCCGTGACGACCCAGCAGACGATGACAATGGTTGGCCCCTTGTCCTGGGCCTTCCACGCATCTGATCCCTCCGCTGGCGAAGCCGACATATTGAAGTCGCAGGAGGCAGATTGTTGATGATTTTGCGTGCATGTAACTATGGCTCACGAAATCCAGATTCGGTGGATTTACAACAAGAAAGCTGCGCAACAAATGCAATCCGAGCTGCGGCCCGACTGCTGGCAGAACTCTTCAACGTCAACCCAGACCCTAGGGTAAGCCCATCAACGAATTGCAGCAATGCAGATCCTTCTCAAGCTTCTATCTGGGCATCAGGATATTACTCAGGGGTTATCGTGTGTCAGGCCGCTAGTCGAAGGCGGAGTCAACCTGTGCTCTGACTCCAGTTCAAGGAGGAGTATAAGCTTTCAGCTCAAATCCATCGCTCTATATCCATTACTGTTCTGTGGCAACGCCCATCTTGGAGGGAATCCCACATCCCACCCGGGCCGTCCCTAAGACTCGGGTTCCGTTCATGACAGAGAAGGTCAGTCAACGGAAAAGTTGCAACGACAGGCAAGTCATATCGGGGGAGCTCATTTAGAGTTGTGACATGCATGTGGAAAGGAATTATCTTACTGCATATACATTGACGTACCATCCGTCTGTACAGCTGCTTGAGCTCCTGGTGTTACGGCGGGAATGATTCGGCATGGGCCGCGTGGCTTCCTTGCCTTTGGTAGTTGCACTGTAACAGAAGATCATGTCTAAAGCTGGTTATAATCTCTTTGTTGGATGCAAGTCTCATCGCCTTGGCACTGGGAAGCAATCTTGGCCACCGTTTTGGTTCAGGCGGGACCCCAAGTCAGCGGACGAAAGCGGAACATGAGATGTTGAATGGCGTGAAGCTACCTCGTTTATGTAAAGATCCTGGCCGGGCACCAACGGCCAAGAATTAGAACCCTTGCCTTGGGAACCTGAGGTAGAGGCATGCAGTCTAAGGTTCATTCTTTGTGCTCGAAATGTGTAAGCTTGGACTGAGATTGTGACTTTTAAATGCAGGACAAAACCGACTGAGGGATACAGGCCACTCGGGGCCGATTTGATGTTCGCATAGGGGTTTTGGCCAACACAGCTATTGGGATTCTAACATGCCGCAAGTCTCGTTTCCAACGAAAGTTTGCGTTGGTTCACGATGAACCAACAAACATTAGAATAACCGGGTCGGGGATGTCCCTCCGGTGGGGCCGGTGACTCGGGGCCCCGGTCTCTTGCGCCGGGGTGCTGTACCAGCGAGTCGGCCTTTTGCGAGCTTGCGCTTGGAAAGGGTGTCAAAGTGACATGAATATGGAATGGGGTCGGGAGGGAAACCTTCTCTGGCTCGGCCAAACATCTTCAGCGGATGAAATGTGCTTGGCATTGATAAGTATGCTCCAAGTTGGTATTCGAGAAATTAGCGCTCGTTCCGCCGCCCTTGTTTCCCCCTGACTCTCTTTCCGCTAACACCGCAGTCAATGGCTGGATTCTTGAAGAGAAGGGCCTGCACATCGTGGGGGACATCCATATCATATGATGTCTGTTGCTACCCCTGATTCCAGCAAGAACCCCGCCGAAGTGAATGGCCAGCATATTATAAGTACACATCCTAAGAGTGCTATGCCAGTAGATAGCTAAGATCTTACTCATTCTCCATTCATTGCACTTCTAATCCGTCTGTCTATTTAATCATGTCTTCCACAAACGGTACCAACGGCTCCAAGGGGTTCCCCGCTGTCGATGCAGCGATCGCCACCCGTCCGAACGACCTGGAGGCTGTTCCTAGTCTTCTCAAGGAACTCAACGAAAACGTTGCCTCTTTGTCTGCCGATGACCACCATGCGCGTCACGAGCTGCTTCTCAGAGCTCGTGCCATAGTCCAAGCTCTCGAGGCTCCAAGAGAGACTATGATCAAGCATTGTTGGGCACAGGTAGGTCTTCGGCTAGTCGGTTGCTACGTGTGTGACTTTCTATGACTGACTTGCTTCAAAGACCGGTGCTATTGCCGGTATCAATTTTGGCGTCGAGACAGGTCTGTGGAGACTCATGGCCAAGAACGGTGACAGGCCACAGACGGTGAAGGAGCTTGCTGAAGCTCTCGACGTCGAACCGGCCCTGCTCAGTAAGTGAAATCACTTCTTGTACTACTCACATAGCTCATAATTTCTACAGGTCGCCTAATGCGCCATCTTGGTGCCATGGGCTACATCAAGGAGACAAGCCTTGATGAATACCAACCTACCAATTTCTCAAAGTCATTGAGCCTCCCCATGATTGGAGATGGATATATCGCGATGTAAGTCGAACTACTTACCTCCCCTTTGGGCTCTTTGCCGTCACACATTAAGATGCCCTGTTGCATGTCATCAATGTCTTTGCTAACTCATTGGAAACCCAAGGACATCTTGCACTGGCGCTGCGCCCTTGAGATTTCACGAGTACTCTCGCAAGAGGGGCTTCAAGAACCCCACTAATGCCAAGGACACACCTATGATGTATGCATACAACACTGACAAGGACATGTTCGCATGGCAGCAGGACCTTGGATGTAAGGACAATTACCAACATACTTTGGTGATAGATGGGCACTAACATGCAATCTACATAGACGGCACTCACTTCAACCACCACATGTCCGGCTACCGTCAGGGTCGTAATCCTTGGATGGCCCCCGGCTTTTTCCCCGTCAAGGAGAGGCTTATCGAGGGCGCTAGCACGGACGCCGACGCGCCCTTCTTGGTGGACATTGGTGGCAGCATCGGTCACGACTTGGCTGAGTTCCACTCATACTTTCCTGAGGCGCCAGGCAAGCTGATCCTGCAGGATCTTCCAGTCGTTATTGGCCAGATCCAAGAGCTCACGCCAGCAATCACGCCAATGGGCCATGACTTTCTGACAGAGCAGCCCGTGAAGGGAGCTCGCGCCTACTACATGCACTCATGTCTGCATGACTGGCCGGATAACGTCTGTGAGACTATTCTGAGGCAGATCAAGGCTGCTATGAAGCCTGGGTACAGCAAGTTGTTGATCAATGAGAATGTCATCCCCTCTACTGGAGCGTGGTGGGAGACATCGGCTCTCGACATGGTCATGCTGACGCTTTTTTGCTCAAAGGAGCGTACGGAGGGTGACTGGTACCATTTGTTGGAGACGATTGCAGGACTGAAGATTGTCAAGATTTGGGGTGGTGGCAAAGGTGTTGAGAGTCTGATCGAGGTTGAGCTTCCCTAAACTTCCAACAGTTTCTACCTATTGTACTTGGTACGTCGTGGTTGTCATTTATATTGATAAAGAGGAAGTACAGAATCGTGCATGACGTGCTACAGTCACCTATTCTTCGGAATATTTTCGAACCTTTGGCGGACTCAAAGCTTCCCATTCACATGTGTCCTAGTGACCTTGTCAATGGCCTGTGCTGCGCGCTTCACATTTTCCTCGCTCAAGCCAGCAAGATTGATCCTTCCAGACCCTGGGAGATGAACATGATACGTCTCAACTAGCTCCCTGCACTGAGATGGTGACAGCGCCAGGCACCTATACACGAGATTAGCGATGTAACCATTCACCGTTAAGACACAGAACTACTAACGAAAACAGCCCCTTTTCCTTCACCAGATATGACCAATCTCCGGGTGTCTACTTGAAGTCAATCCTGGCACATATGTCCGCTTTCGGAACAAGTTACCTTGAGGCGTATCGCAAGCTCGTCATACAGAGCTTGGCGATTCCTCTTCAGACGTTTTCTCATGCCATCGGTCTCTGAAGTCCTAAAGCTTGTTGTCAGCGGATGAGAGACAGGAACTTCTCCAACACTGACTTACCACTCTTTTCGCAAGACAGCATCGTTGAGTACGATCTTGACAAGACGGCTGCCGTAGGCCGGAGCTGATGAGTACGTGTGCCTGATCAAGCTTCGAAGCTTATCTTGAACATTCGCGGCTACTTCCTGTGAGTTGCCAACAAAATGGAGGGCGCCACAACGCTCCCCATACAATGCAAAGTTCTTGGAGAATGACTGGCAAACCAACATCTCAATCCCCGCATCCACGAAAACACGTACCCCTGCAGCATCTTCTTCAAGCCCGTCACCCAGGCCCTGGTACGCTGTATCAAAGAACGGCAAATGCCCGTGATATTTCATCTCACGAGCTAATTCCTCCCATTGGCTAAGGCTTAGATCGACTCCGGTAGGATTGTGGCAGCAACCCTGCAATACGAAAATGCTGCCTTGCGCTGCCGATCGTACAGTATTGAGGAGAGCGGTGAAGTTGACAGCGTGTTTTGACGCATCGAGATATGGGTATGTGGTGGTTTCCAGGCCGGCATCTTGGAAAATCGGGATGTGGTTTCCCCAAGTGGGAACTCCGATGTAGACTCTGGGTTTTGGTTCCATTACTTTGGAAATAAAGAGGGCTCCTAGGGAGTTGGCCCCTGTTCCAGAGATAGTCTGAACTGAAGAAACCTGGGTACTGAATTTAGTGTCTTTGACCTGAGAAGTGATTTGGATCTTTTCGAAGACCATTTAATCTCAGAAGACTATCAATTCAAACACATACTTTGCCAGTTCGAAGAGCATCGCTGTGCGCGCCAACCATGACTTTGGCGGCAAGTCGGAGAAAACCCGCATCTCCTATCGTCAACTCATACTAGACAAAGATCTCAGCCTACCTTCCAAAGCTCTGGTTTTAAGACTCTTACATCATGCCCTAGGTCCAGCTCATCTAGTTCTAGTTTGGCCTACGTTTTAATCAGTTCTCACTCCAATCGAACCTTGCCCTTTGTTGTCTCTAGCACTGGGGCAGAAATTTCGACAATACCTTTTTGACAACCTCCAGCTCTTGGTAACTACCCTCTTCGTTACGATATATGCCAACACCCAAGTCGACCTTTTCTGGGCTTGTGTCGTTGTCTGCATCTCTTTTGAGGGTGAACATGGGGTCCGGAGGACCGGGCTGTACGTGTCCAAACATCGTGGCGAAGCTGAAATGAAGAAAGGCCAAAGACTTTTGCAAACAAGGCTCCAAGCTTTCTCGTAGTCTTTTAGATTGACCACTCAAATATTAGCGAGCAAATGGCGACCCAAATGATCCGGCTAACTAGCATCCATCGCCGAGTTGGCGGCGGCGCGGGCTGCCGAGTCTCCACTTGACACTTGCACGCCATCGGGAAGACTGGCCGAATCGCTCAGATTGGCGGGAAGAGGAGCCGAACCAGCAACAAGTAAGCTGACACTATCCTCGGCCCAATGAAGCAATTAATACTAAATAATATCTCCAAGATACCTCATGATGAAGTACTGCACGTTTGACAAATCAGTAATCATTTCGATCATCTAAAATGGCTTCTCTCCTATCCAACAGCTTGACTCGCCTAAGCGCGTCAGGAAAGCTATGCACGGTATGCTACAGAAAAGAGCCATGGTATGACTGCTCTTACTGACATAACGATTAAGGCAATGGGTATTCGCCTTGTGGCGAATACACAAATTGTCCATTTGGCGGCAAACGGAGGGTTTGATGCTCTTTTCATTGATCTCGAGCATTCGACGTTATCCATTCATGATGCCAGTCAGCACTGTATCGTTGGTCTCCAGTTGGGTATGACGCCCTTTGTCAGAGTACCTTATCAGTGCGGCAATGGCTTTGTTCAAAAGGTTCTCGATGGAGGAGCCATGGGAGTTGTATTTCCTCACATTCACGGCCGCGGTAAGTACTACAAGAGATTCCTACCTGGACTTTCGCGTCCATCCGGTTGGCAAGAGGAACTTACAAAGTACTTGCAGTTGATGCCATGGCTGCTGTCTCGATCTGCAAATATCCGCCGCAAGGAAAGAGGTCCATCACTGGCCAATTGCCCGTATTTTCATTAAAGGCTATGCCACAGAGCACGATAATCTCAGAGACGAACGCCAACGGCTCAACTGTATTTCTGATGATCGAGACGATGGAGAGTATTGAGAACATCGACGAGATCGCTTCTGTTGAAGGCGCCGACGTTCTCCTCGTCGGGTCGAATGACCTCGCTATCGAGCTAGGCGCGCCGAGCCAATTCAAGAGTCCAGTTTTCCGGGAAGCTATGGAGATCGTAAGCCGGGCATGCAGAAAACACGGCAAGATCATGGGCTTGGCTGGTATCTACAACAACCATGAGCTGCATGACTGGGCGATTAATGAACTAGGCGTCCGCTTTCTCCTTGGCGGACAAGACTCTGCGATACTAGCCCGGGGAGCTGCAGAAACAATGGCGGAGATCGCGAAAGTACAGAAGTAGTCTCCAAGTGTTCAAATAATCAAAGCATGACATCGTCAAAACACAACTTTCAGTCATCGGAGACATATTGCAACTATAATCTATGCACGAATTCCTCGGGTCTATTGTTGGTGTTCATGATCTTGGATCTGGGCTAGGTATTCCGCTCACGTGCAGTGGTTATGTCTCACAACTTGAGTGGTGAGCGCCACCATTACATCATCAATGTTGAGACATTCTTGAACACAACCATTTCCCCGGACGCCCCGGAATAACCATATTCATCCCACCTCTTAGATATTGTTACCTGATTCCTAGTCGCATGGCTTGATTCAAGAGCCCACTTTACGTATTCTTTGAGGAAAGGCTCCAGTTTCCGCCTTACCACCTTAACATCTTAATCATGGCCTCCATTCTCCTCGCCATCCCGCGCATCATTCTTGCGTTCGAATACTTCGTCGGCGGTATTCCTAGACTTGGTCCTTGGCCTTTCAAGACGCTTCACAAGAGAATCTACCGAAAGTCTCAGAAGACTGCGCCGTTCCTCCACCCGCTCTATCCTTTCACTGATCAACGTACGATCAAGCTTCATATGCAATACATCGGAGCACTGATGGTCACGGAAGGCTTCCTACTCGCGCTGCCACAAACCCGAGGGGGGATCTTCGCCCTCTTCCTCGGATGCTTTCTGACATCTTCTGGATACTGGAGCCAGATGCGAGCCGACATGCCCTATTGGCTTCCTGTAGCAAACTTTGGTTTGGCGTGGCTTGTATGGTACATCGAAAAGCTTTAAGAGTATATCAATATGGAGATAGACGAGAGTTCAGATTTGTGTTGTATTTCTCTAGTACGTCCGTCATTAATCATGCCCAGACCGAAGAAAGCTGGTTCATTTCTACATACTTCACGTGCGCAGCAGACTCTTCCAACGTGTCCATCCTCGTAGTAATATCACTTGAGCGTAAAGTTTCAACGTAATCAGAATCCCGAGTAACTTTCTATCGTCTACGAAAACCCAGCTTGAAAATAAGCACATGAACATTCTTCTATCAAGGGTCGCCCTGTACATTGCCAGCGACAGAAAGAATCTTGAACAGCAATCACGCGGCCTCTGTCGTTTCGGGTTGCAGAGGCTTTCTGCCATAGATGGACCAGCTGGAAATGTCAGCGTTGAATGTAAGAGCCTCATCCAGGAGTCAACTTACATCTTGAAGTATGCATGGATCGACCGATCTTGGAACTCTTTTCGGATCTCGGCCATGAAAACAATGACTTCCTCCTTGCTCCAACCGTGCACCCTTGTGAAAGGGGCCATGCAGAAGCCTTCCCAACCAGCAACAAGATTCTCGTGGTTCCAGATGCCCAACTCCTTGTACCTTTCGTGCTTGGGCCAGGAGTTCGTGGGCCACTTGTACAGTTGCCTGTGGACGTCCTCGAACCCGGTATTGATTAGCACATCCTTGAGAGAGCTCATCTCGAGGAAGGGCCTTCCGATGATTTCGCCTGCGTCATGAAGTAACTTGGCAGACCTAGAGATCGCAGACTCTGGCTTCAGGGTGCCGTCGTCAGATGTGGGGATGACATCGATCTCGTTCAGTTCGAGATATCCTCCGGGTTCCAGATTACTTCAACTTGTCAAAAATAAAAATCTTTGAGGGTGCGAGATGTAACTGACTCATAGCAAGTTTTGATATATGCGTTCCAGTCCTTGAGGGATGAGTTCATCATGCGACTATGAATGTAGTCGAATGAGTGAGAAAACGTCCAGGGTTGTTCAATGTCGTCAATCTCGAACTTGACGTTGGGTGGCACGCTGAACTTGATCATCAGTGTACTGTATTGGAAGCAAAATGGGAGGAGAATGAGCACGTACAATTCCGGCTGAATAGCGGAAAGATCAATGCCTCGCACCTGGAATCACTATTAGAAGGTTTTTGAGTTGTGTTACGTGTAATTGGGTATCAAACCTCAGCATCTGGGTGCTCTTCGCCAAAGTCAATGGCCCATATACCACTACCCGTGCCCACGTCCAAGACCTTTCCAACCTTTGCATCAGGTTCGTTTGGAGGGGCAGTTGCGAGTCTGTCATCAAAGGTCAAGATGAATAAGTTGTGCTGCAGATCTATGTGAAAGAGGTTAAAAGCTGATCTTGAACGTGTTTCTAGGAATCTTTATGTCTTACCGAGCCGATCGTTTTCTCTCTCATCATTTGGGAACCAGTATTCTATTTGATGTTTCTGACATCAGCATCCAAGGTATTATGATCATCTCATTCACTTCCTTGCTAGAACTTACTCCCGTCTTTATACTTGTGGTAGGTTCTACCGTTTTCCAACCGATAGTCTAGAATCGAACTGCTCACACTTGCACTCGAGGAAGCTACACTCTGATGATTCTTTAGTAAGGTGAAATATTCCTAGAAGTTGGTCCCTCAGCCTACGCTTCCAATCTCTGAGGACGTGTCACTCTATTCAATAGTCTTAGTATTTTCGCGTAATGCTTTGTGGACGAGCTGCAGTGGCCTCACCTGTTCATCCTCGGCGAGCAAAACAACCTCATGGTCGGGCTGAGCGTTGGCATCAGCAGCCGCGTTGTTTCCAGTGTTATCCTCACACATTGTGTGTCTTCAACGTCCTCTTTATGTACTTGAAAGAGTTTGAGAGGCACCTTGACAGGGTAGACTCGAACCAGGTGATGCCTGTTGTTAACCCAGTGCGGTAATAGGTAATTGGTCGTGACAGAACTTGAAACTTCGTTTTCGTAGGTTCCTCCCAAATATTCGGTTGGACGCACTCTCTCTCTTATTGAGAAACGAGATCTTTCCACCATTACCCCTCTTCTTGGCTTCCGCTCATGCGCGTGGAAGCAAACATTGTTGGTGCAAGACAACCAACTGCATGCGTTTTGTTCCCACTTTTACGGAGGTGCATCCCAAAATAGGAATGAGCCTCACGTATCAGAGCACGTTAAACCCAGAGCACTGGTTCATCGTGCCTACAAAGGAATGGGGCGGGGACAGTAATCTTTCGGAACGCTGCCCGGGTCCCCGGCTATCTTTGTGCCAGTCAGCCACTGGAGAGGCCAACTAACCCTGACATATTGTGAGGTTCCAGGCTCTTCAGATCACTGCTAACTCAATGCCTTGTAGCACAAACTTGCAGGGCACTTCAGCTGTTGGCTACTAATTGAATTCCAGGAGGCTCCGCGAAGCGTTCGACCCAGTGATGCAGGAGCTAGATAGCGAATTACCGGGACAGAAAGGCAGTTTTATTGCATACCTCTCACAAACCGTTTACCAGGTTAGAATAAAGCGTTGTGGTTCATAACAAGAAGATCAATCAGAGAGAAACCTCTGGGAAGTGTCCCGATGTGTCTACCTTCGCTACAGAGGTTGGTAGATTCCTCCTCTCGCACAAAACTCATGAGCAGTGAGAGCATGCCGCGTCCCCCTCCCGACCATCTTTCTTGAGCGTCATCATATAACAGCTTTCATCGGCACCTTCCCTCCCTGAATTTCCCCTTTCTCTTTAGGGCGCAAGTGAGTTCATTGCTGCCTCAAGACCCCTCAAGACCCCTCAAATCGCATGGCTCGTTGGACAAAACCTTGTGATATGTCGGCCTCAACTGAGGCGTTTCGAGATTGAATCACTCAATCCATCGATGATCGAGTGAAAACATAATGCAATCTAATCATAGAAATGTTAGATTTACGGAGAAGCTGCTTAATTATTCGTGTCGCAGAGCCCAGCAGGTTGGGCTAGACCCGCACTAGGTAGCCGAGATATGATCAGGCCGAGAGAACATCATCTGGCACCTCTGTTTGCCCTGGAATGCGGCTTTTGTAACTAAGGTACCGAATAACCTGGCTCCGTAGTGTAAGACTCAATTCCAGGTCTCATTTTGACATTTACCAATGGAAAACAGCGAATTACATCATTAGGTAATTGCGAGATGCGAGATAAAAGTCAAAAGGTTATTTAGGTTCAGCCTCATTTCGAGAAGAGGATGGCTCGGGCCACATCGAGACCCGAGTCTTAACCAACATGGAGAACGATATAATAAGCGTTATAGAGCAGCAAACTCTGCGCCGGGATGATGATGACCACGCCCCATCTAGGCCACGTGGTGAATGAATATGTGATCATTTTTGTACAAATTGTTTTTTTTTTTGTGTCGTATAGTATGTACATGAATAGCACACACTGTTGGCTCATGTCAAGCATGACCATATCTCCCATCAACCACCATGAACGTCTCCTATGAGTCAGACGTTCCTTACGTGCAGTCGCTGGCGCCGGAGATGAAGGTTCCGTCAGAGTTCTCGCAGCCGCAGACGCCCGTGTTGGGGTCCTTGATGCAGCCGGTGCCAACACCGTCCTCTTCACCGGTGCCGCTATACATCGTAAACCCGTCAGCCATCAGTCCATCACTAGTAAAACAAAAACATCACTGGTTCATCTGTTCGCAACTCACCTCCAGAAGAAAGTCCAGCAGTCGTCGTCGGTGATCATCTCGGTGGGGGACTCGCAGGTGTACGCGGAGCAGGTACCGTAGGGGTACCCGTTGTTGCCGTCGTACTGGTGGTCGGTCTCGAAGACGGCGAACGTCTGGGTCTTGCTGGTGCGGGTGTTGTGGGAGCACTCGGCGGCCTGGATGGCCTTTGAGACCTTTGTGGCGCTGCAGTTGTAGCTCGAGGGACACTTGCCCTTGGTGTTGGAGGTGGCCGGGTCGAGGGTCGCGGCCACGAGAGCGGGGGCGAGGAGGAAGAGGGCGGAGAGCTGCATCTTGAGGCGTTTAGGTTCGGAGAAGTGATAGAACGAGTGTGATTTCTGTTTTGGTTTGTTTAAACGAGAGTTATCCGAGTCCAGCCCAAGGAGTTGCAAAGAATTGAAGCACGAATGAACGGTGGTGTGTGAGAATGGAGAGCAAGATCAAAAAGAGACTTTCGGAGGAAAAAGGGAAAGTCGCGTCAAGTTCATATATAGATTGCTCAAAGTCGACCCATCCCTGGGATTTGTTTCCCTTCATCTTGGTCTGGTATTCTCTGTGGGTGGTAGCGTATGTCCAATGTAAATTGCTTCTGGGGCCCGCGTTTCGAACAAACGAACGCATTACGAGCGCCTGGAGGCCGGCCGGCCCCTGAGCGCGCGGCACCCGGTCCCGGCGGGGCGGGAAGCATCCCAGTCTCCCGCTCGGAATCGGGTTCTAGACCTTTTGCTTTCTATTTCCATCAAACAGACCCATTCACCTCAACTCAAGAGGCCATTTGAGAATCGACGGTGCCTGACTGACGTCGAGAGCTTGTTCGATGCCAAGTCATCAACATGGGAGAACGGAAAAGGCTTGGCTCTCTTGAGTGAGAGTTTCTGCTGGCACCCCTTACCCATCGTCCCAGATCCCCACACAATCTGACATTTCCCGCGGTGGATCCCGCGGCACTGCCTTGGCCAGCTAACACTGCGTGTTCTATTGTTTTTACGACATGACAGACCTCCACTCACCCACATCTCATGTCTCTGAGAACTCAATACGAGAGTTCATCAGACGAACCAGCACATCAAGTAAATGGGCAAAGCTGCAGCCCGCCGTTCACCTTCAGATACAGAAGCTCACTTAGTCAATATCCCTACTCGAGGTAAGACGCTCGGAAGCAGCTGAGGTTTCATCCGGGCAGCTGAGCTCAGCCCAGCCCAGAGCAGAGCCCAGGGGCCGAGGAAATTAAAGGCGATCAGTGGGGACTCCCGCATCCTGCATTTCCAGTGCACGGCGAACGATGCCGTTCACTCACTCATTCACTCACTCACCGAACGGGTGAGCGCATCACTGTGGCTTAGACAAGATATTATGTCAATTTACTGACTTATTTTGATGACGACGCTCTCTAAAAATCCGTGAATTGCAGGCTCTTGCATGTTTGTGAGAGATTGTCGCTCAGGTCGAGTCTCAAGAAAACAAGCAAATCTCGCCGAAACTGTGTCACTGTGGGCACGGCAGACGGCACAGGTGGGAGAAGTTTAGATGTTTCAAGCATAAACAAAGCTCGAATGATTTTGAGCGACGGAACTCGCGTGAGTCGTGTTGTTGCTAGCCACTTTATGTGCGACATTTTCAGGAGCTTGGTACGACAGATGGGATAGAAGTGAGGCTTGCGCGGCGCGTCAATCCTCGGGACGATCGTCTCTTGATCTAAGGAATACTTCAAGCTTGCTCATTCTTTGAACGTCCTGATTTCTACTGAGTAGGTCTCGTCGGAATTGCTCTCCCTCGTTCGAAGACCATCGTTATGTGATTCGCGTCGATCCAGTCTATGGCCCGAGCGTAAGCATACGGGATTCTCATGAAGGTTGATAATTCAGATCGATTATTGCTCGATTAACCTTCGAGGCTCGCCGGGATCAAACAGATGTCTTGGCATCACTTGGAAGCAGTCTAAAGCACCAATGAGACGCGAGGTCGTCTTCGGGCATTTTAAAGACGCAAAGTGTGGGGTGTTGCAGCGAGCGGGCGCTCTAATCTGGGGTGGAAGCTTATGATCTCCGGTGAGAATAACCTCATCAGTCTTTTAGCTCACACTCAATCTCACCGACATCTACTCAGACGTCGTTATACTATTTCAGCAATGGCTATCCGACTTCAATGAGATGAATCTATCCCATTCCTCGATCCGAATAATGTGTATTCATCACCGCATATCAAGCACAACATTACTACTCTTTCCACCTCCAAAGAACAACCTCACATTCTCTCCCACCACCCTCCGGATATTCACCCTCGTCTGATCAGCGCACCACGCCAAATGCGGCGTCAGCGTCAAGTTCAAACCCCGCGCTTCCTCTCCCAATAACACGCTATCCCGCCCGCTCCCCGCTGGCTCAACCTCGTAAACATCCGTCGCCGCCCCCGAGATCCTACCCTCCCGCAACGCTGCCACCAGCGCAGCCTCATTGACGGTCCCGCCCCGCCCGACGTTGATAATCACAACATCAGGCCTCATCGTCGCCATCTCAGCCTCGCCGACAAGGTTCTTGGTCTCTGCCGTGAGGGGCACGATGAGGAAGAGCGTCGTCGCGCGACGGATGACCTCTGCGAAGGGCGTGCGGTGGGCGTCTCCGTTGCCATTCGGCTGAGAGGCGGTGGTGGTAGCAGTGACCTCGTTACCGTTCACAGCTGGCGCGGCATCGCTCTTCCTCGCAGCGACGAGGACCTCCATACCCAGCGCGCGGCACATCTTGGCGACGCGCTGCCCTATGGGCCCGTAGCCGATCATGCCCACCACCTCGTTGCCGCAGGTATGCGGCGGGCGGCCCTCGCTGTCGAGGAGGAGGGAGGACATGCTCCCCTTTGCGCGCCAGGGGTTCGGGCGGCCCTCGGCGTGGTCCATCATCGTGTTGTGGAGCGTCACGAAGCGTCGGCGGGAAGAGAAATACTGGAGTTCCCCGGCGTTCAAGGTCAGTCAACAAGTTTCTCTCTTTCTAATCGATGGCCTCGTGACTTGAGATTTCGAGGGATTATCTGAGGTAGGGAGCGGAAGGACTCACCAAGCCGAGGGCGTGCTCGGAGACGGCTTCGACTGTTGCGTTGGGCGAGTATATCACGGTCACGCCGCGACGTCTGCACTCCTCTAGGTCGATGTGATCTGTTCCCACTGTCTCTGTGATGATACACTTTCTGCGTCGTCCGCGTCGTCAGCCATCACTCGCCTTCGAACCAGCTATCTCGAGTTTGCTTCCGACAGTAATGTAGGCAGATTGATGGTGGTCGTTTCCCAGCTCAAGTAGACACTTGTCTTACAGGAATCCGAAAGGGAAGACTTCCAAAGTCATCAGCCCTGCCTCATACACCATATCCTCTCAATCTCGTGGTCTGGTAGATAGGATCACCCGATCCCGCGGCAGGCCATCTCACTCGGCCATTACCTTCATTACTCTTAGGATCAACTATCCCCTTCCCCCTGAAATCCTCTCTTCAACTCTTCCCAAGTTCAGCCTCAGTCCCTCCTCCCTCTCTACCCTCAACTATCAGGACCCAACTCAAAATCTCCCAGAACTCAAAGAAAACATAACCCAAAACTCACAAATACGGCGCCTCCCCAAGCGTCTCCCCATTAATAGGCACAGTCGTCGTAATCAGCACGCTCGCAGGCCACGCCCTCGCCGCCGCGACGGCGCTCTCCGAAGGCCGGGTATACTCGTACCCGATGATCTCGTGCGTCACTCCCGCTCCCAGGTCACCATCATTGACCTCCGGAGGCGGCACGTGGATCGTCTCGAGCTTGACGATGACGTGGTGCGTGGCCGAGGGCGGGCGGACCGGCTTCTTCACCTCTGTCGCGGGGTCGGTCATTGCTTCGTTAGTTAGTTGTGTTCCCTTTTTTGTAAAGGTGTGTTGTCTGCTGTGCTCTTTGTAGGCTTGAAGTAGGCGTTTGAGTGATGGTGAGTCTATAAAGATATGAGCATAATGGATGGTGATAAGGGAGTGTTTATACCAACGGTGGTGTAACGACAAACACGCCCTACAGATAGAACCCGTCTTAAAGTCGCGCAGTCGGTGTCTTGATTGGTCTCAAAAGTCTAAAAGATCTCGTCTCAACATGATGTATGCAAGCCACGAAAGTAAGCTCAGATCCCAACCCTCGATCCCCAGAACCGAGCGACGATATAAGTATTTGTGTACGCGTGGTAACTTATCTTATCAAAACACCATGGAAAAAGCAAGGAAAAAAGAGCCTCAGGGGCCACACCTCCGGACATAACACTTTACTGCTCCCTTCCAGAATTCCCAACCTCGCTAGTGCCATGCTACTTTCTCCGCGCTCCGCATTTTCCCACTCCCGGGACGCGATAAGATCGGCACATCATGTACATATGACACGCCGTATGTTTGCTACTTGATGGAAGGGCGCGGTGTGGAGATGGCGCGGCTTTGATTTTTGACATCCACACATCCATGACCCATTCCATCCACACATCCCAAGCCTCCTCGACACCCTCACCCACAACCAAAACGTGGGGAGCCGCCAGAGAAGGTGTGACAACCGCGGAAGGAATTCCGTGCTTACCATCCGGCTTGCAATGTCTGAGAGACCCTCACGAAAGGCGCTCGTCTTTTCGTGCAACACGTAGAACGGAACAACATCCCTCACAAATCAAATTGATAAGCTCTGCTACTGCTTCAAGACATGCATGTAATGATGGCATCATTTCTCTCTTTTTTTTTTTTTTGTAAAAAAGTCCTAGTCCTGTTCCTAACTCTAGACGGGACCACCTGCCCTGAGGCTTCTTTCGCCTGGGCACAGTATTGGTACTGATTCATCCACTCACGTCCAATTATCCTATTCCCATCAAGCTGCAAGCCCTTCTTACAGCAAAACCCAACATGAAACCTCACCAATTCTACTTCCTAAACGTAGCGCTCCTCTCACCTCTGGGAGGCGGCGCCTTTCTCGCGCCCTTGAGCGGCTCATCGCCCGTCTTCGCATAAGGGTCAAACGTCGGCTTAACGTGTGTCTTGCCACGGTTGCCCGTCCTCGCCGCATGTAGCACCGATGTGGCCTTGCTGTAGTCGAACGTATCCTCTTCCTCCTCACTGTCGCTCGAGTCCGCACCGTCAGCCTCCTGCTGCTCGGCCTTCTTGGCCTCCTTCTTGGCCTTCTTCGCAGCACGCTTCTGTTCCTTCTTTGCTTTCTTCTCCGCCTCCTTTTGGGCCTTCTCGGCCTTCTTCGCCGCCTTCTTCTCCGTCTTGGACTTGCGGTTGTTGATCGCCGCCAGATATCCTTGCAGTTTTCTCTGCTTCTCCGCGGCCGTCTCCTTCGCCTCCTCCAATTGAGCCGGCTCGGCCTTGTTCTTGGCGACTTCCTTCTCGAGGCGTTGTACTTCGACCGCGGCCTTGTCGTAATCCTCCGTATAACGCGCCACCTTGTCTGCCCTCTTCGCAGCCACCTTTGCCTCGCGCTCGCCAGCATCCGTCTTGCCGTGCTTCTTTGACTTCCTTTCGGACTCTGGCCGCTCCAGTACAATGTCGATGGAGCTCTCGCCGGATTCTGACTCGTTGTCACTAACATCAGAAGCGTCTGCTGTAGGGACTTTCCGTTTCGTGCCAGCCTTGAGGGTGAATTCCTCCTCCACCTCAGGCTCAGCGGGCTGAGCTGCCGCAGCAGCCTTGGCTTCCGCCTCGACGCCTCCCTCCATAGCAACATCCTCCTCGGGAGCGGCCTCAACCGTCTTTGCATTCTGCACAAACTTCTGCCACGGGAGCATGACGTACTCTCCAAGGCCATTAGCTGCAGAGGCTGGCTGTTCCCAGGCCGAGCTCAGAGCCATGCGGCCAAACAGCTGAGACTCTGACAAGAGGGCAGGTTCCAGCGCTCCCTCGACCGCATCCTCGCTTGCAGCCACTGCCAAAGGCTTAGCAGCGGCCCTTGGAAGCTCCGACTTGAAGAAGTCCAGTAGACGCGGTTCGTTGATGCCCCTTTCTCGTGCCTCCTGGTAGCGCGTCCATATCTCGGTGACGTTTTTCCGTGCGATGAAAGCGTGGTTCGGTATCAGTGCATGTAGAGCCTTGGCGTCGGGTGGCATGTGTTTTGCGATATCGCCAACGATACCATTGGGCATGACAAAGGCTGTACTTTCGTCCTCTTTCCGTGCCACCTCGTCTCTCCATTCCCAGATGGCTCTATATACGGCAAATTGCTGGCCCGAAAAGGGCATAGGGTGCTTTAGAAGAGTGTTGTACCAGCCCTTGCTTCCCTTGCCAGACTTGGGGTCGAACGTCTCGCCACCGTACCGACTTAATGAGAGAGTTTTGGACTTTTGGAGCGTCATTTCGATGTAGTCGGTGCTAGAGTTGCCCCTATCCGATTTCATCACGAGCTCGTTGCGCATCTTGTCATAGATGTACAGCAGGAAGTGGGTATCAGAACGGGCATAGTACAGCATCTCGTCAGAAAGGGGGCTACAGAGTGTTAGTATCTCAGAGAGATCGCTTCAGGGGTTTGCTTACCGCACTCTCCAGTCGGCAAGTTGGTACTTCTTGTCGGCGTCAAAGTTGACAAACTTCTTGAGAAGGAATGCCAAGCTTTTTTGGGGGTAGTGTAGCGCTTCGCATGCACTTCCGGTATCGAACAGACCGTTGACATACAGACCAAGATCACGCTGCAGCCAAACCATGTCCATAAATGGGCCGTGGAAGACCTAGATTTGTTAGTTTTGTCGAGAAATCGTCAGTGAGCTTAGCAGTACTAACCTTGATGATGCTGGGGTCGGCAAAGACTTCGTTGAGTATCTGGAGCTGCTGTCTCCATGGCTTCAGAGTGTCTACAATCCAGTCCTGTTCTCTTGTGCTTATCTGCATCAATGAGGTGAGTCCGACGTATGTTCTGAAGTCGTGATGTTCCAGATCAACGGCAATTTCCTTGGCCTTCTTGAGGTCCTTCAGCATCTTCAGGACCCCTTCGTATGTGTCGACGTAGATGGCTTCCGTGCCTTCGACGGGCTGCCATGGAATCGGCTCGGCTTGTTTGTAGACTCGGTCGGGGTATTTCGCTTCGAGGATTTCGGTCTCGTACGGATGCTTATATCTGATCTTTCTGTCAGTATCACTGAGAAATAGTAACTTCTCCAGTCTCCTGCGCGAGTTGGCTGCAGCCTTGTATGCGACCTTGTCGGAACTCGGCACTCTAGGAAATATCAACGGTAAGAAAGTTTGGTAGTCGTACTGGACAAAACCCTCTTCTGTTTCGCTAGTTACCAGGCTCTTCTCCAAAGGAACCGTAGCATGGGGCTTTTTGGTAATGAGGGGCTTCCATTGAGCGTTGTTGTCGACCTGCTGATCGAAGTGGAGTTGGGGTTTAGTGATGTTGGCACTGCGGACAACGCCTCCAGCCGTCTTGGGCTTCTTCGATTGGGGAGCCTATGTAGCGTGAGTATACACGATATTCCGTATCAACAATGGAGCGCACTTACGGCATCAGCAGCAGGCGCATCCTTCCTCTTCAAAGCTCCGGTGTACTCGTCAATAGATGTGTCGGCTTTCTCCAAGACTGAGTCGACAACGTCCACGATGCTTCGCCAGCGCATATCCACGTCATCGGCATCTTCGAGATCGGGCGCAGTTAGTCCGCAGACCTCTGCAGCTGACTTGAGCAGTGTGGTCGAGAGCTCGAGAATCCGTGTAGTTTTGGCGTCGAGATCGTCGCCGACGCTGGGGTTGACGGCGCGCTGGAAGGGCAGGTCCTCGGCGGAGACACGGTTGACCGACTTGACGGTGGCCACGAGCGCGGCCTGGACCTTGTCCTGAACAGACTTGAAGTCCTGGGGGGACGCCATCGTATCGGCGCAACGGGTGTGGTTCTCGGTGGAGGCTGTCGCGGTTTCGCTGCGAAGTTTGACGATTGACCAAAAAAAAAAGAACCCACCATGAAAGGCCCCGGCCGATAAGATTAGAGGCGTTATCTAATCGATAAGCGCGTGGATAAGCGACTTCGATGCTTGGCGCAGGGTGTACTTTGAGGAATGGAACAGTTATGCGTATTGGGATGAGGAAGAGTCCGGTTTCTGTCGATGCTGACAGTAATTTCACATAATTAGTGTTGATGCTCAGAATGTGTGAGATTGAGAAGTTGCAATTGATTGCACAGAGGATGAAGCTGGTGAGTGCCCTGTGAAGCGGATGACAGTAAAAGGGAAGGTAAGAGCCTTGGCCAAGCCTTCCACTTACAGCGGATGACGCCGCTGACCTTAGGCACTCAGGCCCCTGTGACGATTTTGTCTCCATTTCTAGCCGCAACCTGCAACTTCACCTCTCAGTCCTCCGTGAGTTCCGTCAACAGAGAAGCATCCATCATGTCTGCGTCTTTAGCCCCCGAATGCAATGAAGTCAAGGAGTAAGTAGCTGGTTTTGTAATGAGATGAATGGGCTGCTAATCCTGCTGGGATAGGCGCTACGATACATGCTTCTTGAAATGGTACAGTGAGAGTAAGTTGGTTCCCTGCACATGACATGGATGACGAAGGAGACCTCTAACGACAGGTTGAAGAGTACCTCAGAGGCACCGGCACAGACAACAATGAGTGTGCCGATCTATTCAAGAACTACCAAAAGTGTTTGACGGTAGGTTACGTCTCAACGACAACGACTGCTCTCACAACCAAGCTTTCGGGTGAGTGAGCGGTGAGGAAGAGCACAATGACTAACTGGCAGGTAGGTCGCTCTCAAGGAACGCGGTATAGACAAGCTGCTGGATGAGGCGCGGGAAGACCAAAAAGACAACGATGCAACATACATGGGACGTAAATGTGAGTGCCACATCAGCATGCACCCTCCTCATTGCTGCAATGTGTTCTTGGAGATGGGAATCTGACCACTTGTGCAGGAGGCATTTCAATTCTGGACAAGATATCTCGCAAGCTAGTTTATTTGGCGTTTTTCAGGGTTGCATTTGTTGGGCACAATGTGGCAGTGTTTAGAGACGGCAATCTCCCAATATGATGTGTTTTTTCCTGGCTTTTCCATGACGCGTCCGCGCGCCAGCTACCTATTCCTATGGTGACTTGGATGTGGGACACTAACGTCTAGACTGAGTAGACTCTCAGGTAAGCTTGAATCTCTCCGAGCGAAATCCCTGGGATGCAGAACAGAAGTGATACCTAAGGTACCTCACAGAATCATAGAGTAAAGTAGGTAGTGGGGTGCCACAGTATCCGCAACGCGAACAAGACAGAAAAGGGAAAGAAAGGAATTCTAAATGGCTGTGCAAGTAAACGGTGTAACGTGGGTTCATTGCTGGACATGTGTCAATATTGAGATCACCGCCAAGTCTCCATCGACGTGATGCACGACCAAGGAGGCCCCCAAGTTGCATGATGGACACGGAAAGCCTTTTGTTCCAACATATGAGCACAACTTTATGATGTATGAAGTCTAACGAACATGTACAAAACGTGTTGTGAGTAGAATTGTCCGAGTACTTTTAGGTAAGTACCTTGATGTGATGCATCAGCCCACGTGATGTTGATAGATTTACTTTCACCAGATCGCGCCGGGTCACTACCTATGGAAAAAAAAACCTAGCAAAAAAAATGGAAGCATGGACCGGAGGTGGGCCAGTCCCAGCTATGAAAAAGCCAAGCTCAAGTAGGGTGGGGGCTCGTTCCAGGTTCCAGACCGCCCACATCCCCGTAGACCCTCTGAGGCGTCCCGCGGGTCACTGGTCAGCAGGAACTTCTAGGTAGAACTCCTGCAGAGTGCAGCACCTCACCCAAACCTGGAAAATGTCCAGATCTCCCGTCTCCTTTAGTGGACGCGAGACCCGCTAGCGAGACATTTCGCTAGCGGCAGAGCGACTTATATGTGCGTAGGTATGTACCTCACCTAGGCTGGAGGCTGGACGGCACACTGCAAAGAAACCAACAGGGACTAACTCCCTAAGGTGCAGTGTAGGTACCTTACCGGTACGGATACAGAGGGAGAACCTGATGTCCTGACGTCCTCCACCTCAGCTAACCCCAAAGCTGCCAAACCTCTTGTACCCCCCGTTCTGTCCCTCCAATAATTACATGGCAAATTCCCAGATTTACCGCATCCCTCCACGCGCGCGTGAAGCTTGTCCCTGGCTCTCGACTTTCTTTCCTTAGTTTCTACTATTCTAGCCCCGTCTTGTCTTGTGCCTTTTTCCAAGGTCCGCGTCGAATACCTCAATACCTTTACTCCATCGGCCGTCCAGACTGCAGAGACTCGAGAGTATCCACGCCCACATCCCTCCACGACTCCACGTCCCTTCTTCTTCTTCTCCTCCCCTCTACCTGCAAAACATCTCTGCGCAAAGCAACACAACACCAACTGCGGTGGTACACCAACGTATTCGAATCATCGCACCAAGCCAGTCCTCGCCCGGCCCTCGTCCTCCTCCAAAAGCTCCCCAAGACACGTCGAATCAAGCTTGCGACCCCACGATCCTTTCCAAGCTTCCACCCCCCTCTTCCCCCCCGCGCTTGTCCCGCAATCACCGCCGCCGAGTCCGCAGTCCGACGCTCAATCTAGGTCCTTTCCGCCCCGACATACCAGTACCTCCCCTTGGCGACAAGCCTCGGCATGCACTACCCAAGGGAATAACGATTCTATGCACCCCCTCTCGGTTCTCAGCCTTGGGATCTTCGTAGCTGGCTACATCACCGCTCGATGGGATCTGGTCACACGTCTCTATGAGCTTGCAATTTTCGCCTGGGACTACGGAGTTATTGTATGATGATCCTCCCTCCCTCCCTCCTTCGGACCCAGCTGCCTATGCGCTGCCTCGTTCTCAACCCTAACATCCATGTCTAGACACGCGCCGCCAAAGGTTTCGCGCTCTTGACCTTCGTCTACCTCATCATATTCATCCCCGTGGAACGATTGGCCACCAAGGAGGCGAACCTGGTACGACAAACCCTTTCGATCCCCCCGCTGAGACATGTCTGGTTGCGCAACTGGGAGAAGCATCTGGCTAATGACGGACTCGACACAGCACCCCCGATCCACCGGAGCTGGCGTCTCGGCCAGGGAACAGTTGCGACGGAGAGGCTCCTTCTGAGCGCCGTCCCCCGCGCTGCCCTCGGCTGACATGCCAGAAAATGACGGTTTAATGAGGATATTCTGGCCGACGGACATCCAGCGCTCCGACCTGCCTGGCGTCGTCGTGGGATGGAGGAACTCGAGCCTGGATGTCTTCGTCGTAGCCATTCTCGATGATGTCGACGTCAGCAACCCCCTAGACCACTAGCCCTTTCACCAATTGACCAATCTACAGGCCGGCCATGTCGAATTCGCCCTCAAGATCGGCACCCTTTTTCGAAACTCTCCTCACCCCGTCAATAGCATCTACGAACGATGTGGCCACAATGCGATGCACGTCCTCGGTCTGACGAACCCCAGCGAAGCCGTCGTACTCGATCCCTCCCTCTTCATCGCGACCACACCAGCCGGCGCAAAGTCGCCCCGAATCGCGTGCGCAAAGGCCCTCAGCATACAGATCATACTCTACGACCGACCGCGCCCCAGCAGAATGCAGTACATCTCGCTGAACCCCATCTCGCTCGCGCTTGGGAACAAAGAGGCCCCGGGCCTACCGCCGACAGAACACATGGCTGAAGAAGAGAGGCAGGAGCTGAAGGTGAAGGAGGAAAAGAGAAAACTGGTGGAAAAGCTGAAACAACACACCATCATCAAGCGGTCTCCGTCGCCAAAGGAGAGAGCCCTGCCAAAGATTGTGAACCAAATCAACTGGTCATGGGAGCTTGAGCAGCTGTTGCAGAAGAACATCTCCCGGATCGGCACACGACCCAAGCGATCTCTCAGCGTCTCGGAGCGAGTGGTGGAGCATGCGACATCGATGCGGAATTTCGTCTGGGACCTCCTGATCTTCTACCTGCTTCCACTGATACAGTGGGGGTTTGTGTACATGCTCATGGGTCACAGGGCGGTCGCCGAGTTGCTTCTTCAGATCTTGGAATTCCGATTGAGGGATGACTACCTAGCTTTGAAGGACATATCGGCAACGGCGCAACAAGTAGAGATTCGATTGCAGCAGTTTTGCTATTGGCCCATGCAGTACACCACTTTGCGACAGCGCAAGAATGATTGGGAGAGCGTCACGACCAGTCACCCTGACTACATACGGTTTTACAACAGCCTATGGCTCGTCGCCAACGATGTCATCATTGGTATTGCGTTGGGCTCCTACATCATTGATAACGCGGAGTGGGCCGCCAATGCAATCAGCGAGCTTCTGAGGGTGTACACGGTCGAGGCGCTCCAAAGAAGTATATCGTGGCTAATGGGATGGCCTGCGGGGTTGAAGCTGAATAGCGAGCTGGCTCTCTTCCTCGGAGACCTTTTCCTCTGGGTCATTGATTACTGGTCAAGTGAGTTTGCCTGCGTTCAAGATTCAAGGAACGATTACTAACCCGAACAGACTGTATCGCGACGCTTCAGCCGTTATTGCCTCACATTATCTGGTTCATTGGCTTTTCCAGCTTCGCCGGAGCCAGCATGCCCATTGCCATGTTCTCCGACTTGCTTTCCAGTTTGACCGTCCACATATACTCCTTTTATCTGGCCTCTGCCCGGATCTACCATTGGCAGCTCACAATACTCATCTCGCTCTTTCACCTGTTCCGGGGCAAGAAGCACAATGTCCTCCGCAACCGTATCGACTCGTGCGACTACGACCTGGACCAGCTTCTCGTGGGCACCATCCTCTTCACCTTACTCTTCTTCCTCCTCCCGACCGTGGTGGTGTTCTACTTGAACTTCGCCGTCGCACGAATGGTCATCATTTCGCTAAAGGCTGTTTTTGATACACTTCTCTCTTGTCTAAATCACTTTCCCCTTTTTGCGCTGATGTTGCGGGTCAAAGACCCGAGACGACTACCAGGTATACATCACTCCACATCAATGTGAAGAACCTGACTAACATGGAGTAGGCGGCATCCGTTTTGAACTTCGAGATACCCTTGACTATAGACTTAATAATACTTCCAACGAGCCACCGACATCCGTCATCTACCTCAAGGTATGTCATTCCTCTCTTGTCACCACCATGTGTTTATAGAGAATTCGCTTCTGACTACCTACCAGTCCATCCCCCTGACCTTCCGCGCCATGTTCCACCAGTACTTCCAGATGGGCAACCGCATCCGCAAGCACTACCTCTCGCCCACGGTCGTGCTCTGCCTGGTGACGGGCAAGTTCGTCCCGCCGCTCAACCGCAAGAACCTGTACAGCCTGCAGTACAGCATGCTCCCCGCGCGCCGCGCGAGCTTCCGCCAGATGTGGGACGCCATCACGACGGTGCAGCCCAGCAGGAAACCAGTGCCGTTTGTGATGAATGGTAAGAGGTATCCAACGGGGATCGGGGGCGGGGGGAGGACGAGGTATCATCACTAGATAATGAAATTCTTACGTTTTTGTTTTATGAGAAAATGATGTGTTGTTGCGTTGATGTTGCTCTCTTGTGATGTGTGTGTGTGTGTGTGTGTGTGTGTGTGTGTGTGTGTGGTCCATAGACTTTCTCCATGTCTTTAACCTCGGCCCTCACATTGTCTTACGTCCAGAAGCCCCAGTAACCCACGGATCCTTCCCAATCCCATACATGTAACTCGACCGCAAATCACCATTGTCATCAGCATTACCATTGTCCGCGTACCCGACCCCGTCCCTGCTCCACCCGATCTCGCGAGGCTTCAACCGCCGTGGGTGAAGATGAGGCGCCGATGGTGGCCTCGGCTGGGACTGAAGGGGGATATAGGTACACTCTCATGGTTGGGAGGCGGAGGTAGGAGGTAAGGAGTGAGAGTAGGTCGAGGAGGCTCCTTGGTTTCTGTTGGCAGGGTTTGTATGGATTAAGGGGAAGTACTGGTTTTATGTAACATTTATAGGGGAACCTGGTTTGCCCCTTCTCGACGGTGTTGTATCTAGCTGGTATGTCTGGGAGGCTGGGAGCCAGGGCTGGCGTGGTATATATCTACGAGGTCGGTCATTTAGATTGAAACGTGCAGGACGGGTCACATGGCGCGGCCATTGTATACGTGCTAGATACTAGAGGTATGCACGACCTTCATGTCATTGATATAGCGTCGGCGCGATTATAGCCTCGAACCCACCGCGAAGTTTGGCTAAATGGGATCGTATTGGGGTCGCTGTCGTGAGCTTTCAAACCCCTCTGAGCACTTCCCTTCTCGAGCTTGGGGCACAAGGGTATAAATTTCGAAGTTATGGAAAAGTTCGCAGCAGAGACTAACCAAGTCTTGCGCTTCGAGTTGAGATTTAAGATTGACCGCGTTGTCCTGATTACTTCCTCGTGGTAGTCTTGCGTCCATTCTCGTGGACTTTGCCTTCGTCTTCGAAGTCACGTCCGTTCGTCGTAGCGTCTCTCGATATTTGAAGTTGAACTTCAGCATGCTCAGTTTTCCCGAGTCTTCTGTCTGACACGAGCGAGTAAATTCGCCTCGTTGTTAACGAATCGTACGGTGTTCCCGAGTGAGGTCGGAGTCCGTAGCTGTGATTACAGTCATTGAGTCCCGGGCACGGATTGGATCCCTATTTTGGATACGCAAGATGACAGCCCGTCCTTGCCCCGTCTCTCTCTGCACTTTGGTCTTATTCAACAGTGTATATTTCTTCGTAAGTTAATCGTGAGGATTGAGTGATAGATCCTATCTGAGGAAGCTTGGTAAGTGTTGGAAATTTAGATGAGCCAATGAACAGATAACAGCTCATCATGACGGAATACATACAAGATAAGTCACCCAATTTTGGTTGCCAGTAAGCTTGTGGAAAATGCCGCCAACCCGATGGGCCCGGTTTCTTCTGATTTTCATAGAGCTCTTTCTCTCAATAGTTTTTTGTAGCATAGCTTAGCGGCATGAAGGTTTTGGGGCAGCAGAGGCTTGTTCCCTCTCTTGAGATATGCGATTTGATCCAAGCGCTCGACCGCGCTTCAAAAGGAGAGACTTGATGGGTAGACGAAGAAAGCCCTTCAAAGCCCATGTCTTGTAAGACACAGTCTCGTCAACTCAATCTCCGCTTTACCTTTAGAACCATCCCTCGACAGTTTGTTGCAGAGGTTGTCATCCAGCAGGCGCACATATATAGAGATGGATAGATAGGTGTTTCCAGGGAGCTGAAACTGATTATGACCACAACCCAAGTGCTGGACGAGAACCCTTGGGAGGAAGAGTCAGGGCATTCTACTACGGGGGTTCTTATCACGGCGTTATCTATTACATAGGTCGCCAAGCTCATCGCGAGGCCTTTGTCATGTACCTGGGGCCGGTCGCGCGGTCATACTCGTACCTTAGACCTGTGTTGTGCAATACATATCACCGACGAATCTCAGAGAGCTTGCAGCTTATGAAACTTGCTCTCCAGTAGACGAAAGCGATGGCGCAGACATGTCCTTAGAGTTGTTCCCGGCATACGTATTCCATGGAGAGTACCGACTGCAAAACTCTGGTTCCAGAATGCATACCAAACTCATGTGTAGGGGTTGATAGTCCTTCAGTCATCGTCTCGCACTCGGCTCTATTTCTTAGAAATTCATTGACTTTTCTATATGCCATGTTTCACGAATTGAGTCTGCAACAGCGAAGGCAACGTTCAAGAGGGGAAGCATACCATCAGACATGCGTGGAGCGTATTGAAGCCTTGCTTCTCCTTAGCGATAGACGTGAGCGGCCTCTCGCCTGAACATGTCCACGTCCTCATCGCTACCAGCCCAGGGCCATATTTCCCTTGGTCGAAATGGCAAGACCGAGTCTGGATGATTGTACGGCCGTATATCAAGACTTTGGCACTGGTAAGAGCACAGAGGTTGGACCAAGTCTTTATTCGGCATTCACTTGACACCCTCTCACCACGGATTAAGCAAGCGGATGAACAATCCAGATGCTCTCTGTTAGTCAGCTACATCAAAGCATTGTCAACGCAAACGACAGCCGACGGATCTATCCACTGGCAGCCCGAGCTCGAGTCATCTTATACGGATGGCTCGATGACTGATAAGCTAAATCCCTTAGCAGGGGCATCCACATCAGCTGAGTGAACTTGCGGGACCTGCTTCCCCATGGGGGGCGGGGGCTTTCGATATCACGATTTATCTTCCGTTTTATGATAGGCAATGGACAACGGAATGAGGTGGTTAACGGAACGACGTGGTATGATAACGCAGTTGCCTTCGCTCAATCCGTTCAACCACTGAACTTCGTGGCACATTAGTCGTGTCCTGTGTGACATTTTGGTATATTTCCAACAGTACTCCAGAAAGCTCTCGAGGTTCGGCCATGGCCGTTCCGTAAACACCCCCTTCACTACCTTGCGGTGGCATATTTTCAATACTACATTCCGCACTCGTGAGACCGCCTTCTACTTCAGTTTGCTTCTTATACCTGATTTACCACTAGATTCACATCATCAAAAGAAACCGCGTCCCATCAACACCTCCCAGAATTCCAGCAGCCGAGGGACAGACGTCGTTTCCGTTCCCCCCCCCACGTCCGTTCCCTCCCAATCCATAAAAGGCAAAGAGTGGGTCAAGTTATCAGGTACCGTGTCTGCCCTGTTTTTCCTGCACACCTTCGCTTGCTCCTGCAGCAGTTCGGCTCTTCGCGACGCCGTTGCACTCGCCAGTCCCTCGGTTCTCCGAATTGGAGAAGGACAGCCAAAAAATGAGCCCAGGTCTCAAAAAAGTCGAACGAGGTTCGCGTGAGGGGAAACCTGCCATTACCCTACAGCCGGGTTCGTCATAAATAGAAAAATAAAGGGTTGGAGGGATTACTTAATCTCTCCAACGACATCCCATCTCAAAATCAACGTCGGGTGGTGCCCAAAGACTGCGAGCCCAAATTGACGCAACATCACGACATTACCGACCATGCGACCACATTGCCCGCTAACCTCGCAAAAAAATACGGTGGATACGAACGAAAACGGTGACGAGAATGGGCAATCGGCCTTGGATGGGACAGGAAATCCATGATGCCATTACTGTTCTGTGGAGCCCCCTCTAGCAAAGTCGAAAGTCCAATCCCGCAGCGCCGCCTGACCGTCGAAACCTTTACGTCGGGACCCGCAAAGCTGATCCCAAAAGGGGCAAAGAAAACGGGGGGGAGATGATCGTGAGAAGGGGGAAGGGAAGGGGGTGCCACGGGTGGGAACACGCGCACGAAAGAGGTACCCGCGATAAGAGCAGCAAGAGACTAAGTACACTTTTTTTCTTTTCCTTTTTGTACTGCTGCGATGAAACGGTGATCAGTACGGAAATGGACGATTGATTACAGCGTTTGGATTTTCGCGCTTGTCTCGTCTTTCAAGTGAGAGAGAGAGAGAGGGAGACGATGGTCTGCGGGAGCCGAGAGGTCAGGTTAGGTGCCTTGCCACCTAGGAGATATGATCGAGATCGGGAGGGAAACACATGAGGAGAATGGGGGAAAAGTCAATTGCGAGGCTCAAGATTCTCATCGCCGTTCTCAGTGGCCTTCACATGCCTTATCTGATTTCATCTGGACTTTTCTAGCTTTCCTGAAGCTTTTTTTCTTCAAAGCTCGAGCTCGCTCAAGCTTACGACGGTGAAAGTTTTCGTCGCGGTTTGAAGGGGGTGGGAGTGGGGGGAAGAACTCAGAGACTTCCAAAACAAACGGCCGTTCGTCGTCTTGAAAGGACAGGTGTGAGAGACCCGAGGGGGTGTGTGAGCGTCTCCGTGACGGTGTTCCTCAGTCTACTACCTGTCTGGCAGTCTGCGGATACAGCGCTGTCGGACGCACGACTCGGAGCCAAGCTTCGACGATAAGGACATACGTCGAGGTCGAGCGGAGCACTCGGAAACCGAGCTTTTTGTCCTTCCGGGCTTGGGTCAAGGATTTTTAGGGGGGACCAGACTATCGTTGGCGACGTCAATGGCAGTAGTCTTGTTCGATGGTTCAAATTGCTCGAGTGAGAGGGAGAGTGATGGAAAAGTGACGGCGACCGGCCTGGCTCTTCAATTGGCACATCAAGAGGTGTGCCTCCAGCGGTAGCACCTCTTCTTTTCGTGTGGCATCATCATCTCCTTCTTCTTCTACGGCAGCACCTTCAAGACCAAGAATCAGATGAGCAAGTGGGATATCCACTCGGCACGCAAAGGAGAGAGACTCCCGAAACTGAAGTCACTGAATCGAACCTAGTGGTGAACAAGCCAGCAGATTGATAAGTGAGAGAGAGAGAGAGAGAGGCGTAGGGCATGGCATGGTGCGTGATTGCTCGTGTGCAAACAACCCCGTGGGGATGGCATGCTGGCTTCCCGCCGCCAGGCCCGGGAAGACACCCGCAAAAAAAAGTCTACCTAGGTAGCTCGAGTGAAGCTCGCCCAATTCTCATCTCACATTGGCCAATTCGACCTCGAAAGATCTCGGGAAGCTTCAAGCTCTGGCACTCGGTAGAACTGGTCCCCTTCCCCAGAGTGGAGATGAAGTGCCTGAACTCGGGCGGTGAGATTGTGCTGATTGCCGGGTTGTACGGAGAATTTTGACCTCATCTCACGATCTCATGCCCAATGCTCACAATTTCATCAATTGCCTCACAAAAGTCATCAAAGTCGGTGATCATCGGTTTGAGGTTTGTAGTATTTTTACAGAAAAAATTGTATCAGGGCCAGGAGCCACGGGGGTAGGCTGGCTGAAGCAAAAGATGGGGAGATGCAAAACTTTTTCGCTGGTAAGAGTAGTGCGTTACCTCGTCCCTGCCACAGACCAATTTCCATCTATACAACACAGCAAAGCCGTGCGGTCTATGACCTCTAATCGTCTAAAATGCCCACCATGCTGTCTATCCCGTCTATTAACTCTAGCTCGTCACGCAGTGTGGAGTGGATGATGCTCCATTGCGTAACCATAGGCGAACCTGTCCCAAGAGGAGATGGCGGTCAAGAGAGCACAGCTCCGTCCGAAAACTGTCTCCTTGCCTCTCCCCAGCTCGCCAGTGCGAAATAAATCGCTTACGTCTATCGTGGTTGTTAGCTTCGATGAGACTCTATGAGATGAGGATGAATTGGTGATGACGTACGAACTTGGCCATGAGGGCAACCATGAGGTCGAAAAGACCGATGGCCTCGACGAAAGCGAAACCAAGAATGGCGTAGGAGAAAAGCTGGCCACGGAGGGCAGGGTTGCGGGCAACACCGTTAAGGAGGGCGGCGAAAACCAGACCGATACCGATACCAGCACCGGTAAGACCGATGGCGGCGGAACCCATACCCAAGTTCTTGGAGACCTCGACCATGGCCTGGGCGATCTCAGAAGAGTAGGCGCGCTTGGCCTGGACCTGGGTGAAGACCTTGGAGGACTTGATGGTAGTGGCCTGCTGGCGCTTGACAGCCTGGAGGGGGCTGGAGAAGCCTGAAAATTTCGCAAATCGAATGTCAGAACAATCGTGGTTCTCTCATGTTTTTCTTGTGTTCTCGACGGGGAGCTGGGAAGGCGACGATATCGAACTCATTGTTGACATCGGATCGGTGCCGCGAGGCCAATTGATGTGATTGCTCATTGGCTTCGATGTCGGCGTCGGTCTTCTTCTTTTTTCTTGTTCGATGCCTTTCCCATTTCCTCCCTTCGTCTCCGTTTTCTCGACGGGAACTAATTTTTTCAAGACTTACCAGTGATGGTGCGCTTGGGCATGGCCGAGACGCGCACCGCAGGGCGGGCGGCCTTGGTGGCCATCTGAGTGGCGAGTCTGGAGGCGAGGACACGAGTGGAGGCCATTGTGACTGATATGAGGGGAGATTGTGGGATAGACGGTGATGGACTGGGAGGAAGAGAAGATAGGAAACAAGGACAGATTGGGATGGAGGTAGGTAAAGTGGAAGGAAGAAGGAGGAGAGAGAAAAAGCTCAAAAGCAGGTTCGGAAGGGAAAAGCTCTCGCTCAGGTGACGGGCAAGCTCGGTAGAGAGAGGAGGGCAGGGGCCCGGGCAACGGGACGGCGGAAGTTGATCCAGATGGCTCGCCAGCCAGGCCTCAGGTTCCACGCTGGAGATGATGAGCCTGAGGCTTCTTCAGGATGCGTGTGGGATCGGATCAAACAGGAGACGGCAGAAACTGGTGAGTATCCGTACCGTTTGTGTATTCACTAGACATCGGTGGGCCCGGCGCTGGGGACGGATTCGCAATGAACGAGGCGTCCCAATCAGGTTAAGACATGAGCGGTCGTTGACATATCGTGGACCTTCATCCACCAAAGAGATCCAACACACACGCCCTCGCACCGATCTCGGGCATTGTCGGGAGGCTGGACGGCGAAGGGGATCCCTGAACGGAGAGAGGGAGAGTCTGAGAGATGGTTGATCTTGGGGCCCTTTGACCGTGCCTGAGGCGTACGGAGTGTGTACTTCCTGGATATGCCCCCTTGGCCAGGAACACGAATCATGAGAAGTGGGTTGCGGTATCAAGGCTAAGGAGAATTCGCAAGGTAGAGTCCGTTACGGCCGGCTAATCGATAATCAACATGTACGTCCGGCGTTTGCCAACTCAGTCTTTGAGACGGCATGAGCACGCAATGTCCATGCTCCAAGCACCTTGGCTTAATGGAGAGAGACCACCTCAAGCTCACTGAAGCTTTCGAGATAAGAGGCTGTTGGTGCCGGAAACACATGGGTTGAGCCTGGATGGGAGTCCCATGGTGAAAGAAAATTTTCTCGAAAAAAAAACATTCCCTCAGGCACACAGCGCAAAAGAGAGAGAGGAAAAGCCGCCAAATGTCAGCTTTGATATCAGCCCGGTCATGGCTTGCGGTGACCCCCACCCGATACCGTCGAAGGCCCCCACTCTGAAGCGCCCGGATCCAATCAGCCGCAGCCTTGCACTCACACGTGGGTGGACCCGACAAAATAGCTCAAGAACAAAAGGCGTCAACACCAGAAAAGAAGTGGACACGATGACCGAGTTGGAACGTTGGTCCCAGAGATAAAAAGGGACGCGGTGAGACGGATCGTGGTTTGAAGGGGAGATAGCGAATTGGCCCAAGGCCTACTTCCGTTTTGTCGCTTGCGTCGATTTGCATTTCATGTCGTGCTCCCTCCCTTCACTTCTCAACCATTCCTCGTTCCCTTTCCTTTCACTGTTCTTCCCATCTCCTTATCAAACTTTTCGTTTTTTTGTTCGAGTCGATGCCGCCGCCAAACCATCAGCGAAGATGGGATGAAGTCAATCGAAGCACGCACACATGCCTTGGCCAGCCCATTTTCCTGTCAGGGACGCTTGCCGTCTGACTGCACACACGCCCCTTCCCTACACCCCCGACTGCAAGTAGACGAGTGTTACGTGAGATCCCGGCAGCATCCAGAAACCTGGCTGGCGTGCGCTTGCACTGGCAGCGCTCCGAGGGACGCTGCAGTGTTCTCGTTGCTGGACAGCTTGGCCCTACCGATGGCCGACGGACGTGGCGATTCATCTGCCAATGGCAGGCAGGTTCGCTCCATTGAGCCGACGTCCGAGGTTCCAGTGTCTGAGATGGCCGAGATGGGTGCGACCGCAGCGCCGTAACCGTAATGTCGGGATCCACAAAAGGAGTATCTGCGAGATTGATTCAGCGTCAAACGTAAATCTAGCGTTTGTCAATCCCAGCTGTCGGTACGCGATACGCAGGTCGCTCGAAATGATGCGTGGGTCTGCCATGTCTCGGAGGCCATGTACCTTTTACGGTTGAGCTTCACCCGTAAGGCGTCCAGGATGAGCCTGTGAGGTACCGCCCTCCGTCCAACCACTGGGGGGTGAGGCCGACGCCGGGAGAAAAATTTTACTCCCAGCCAAGCTGCTCTTGCTAGTGCAAGCGCAAGCTTTGAGGGAGAAGAAACGCCGAAACGCACCGTTGGCGCTCGCCATTCCGCTTCGCTGCCATTGTCTTGTGGTGCATGCCTGAGGCTACAGAGCCCCAAAAATGACGCATCATTGTTGTCTCTGTCTCTGTCAGGGTGTGCGTGTCTTCTGCGTCAATGCCAATGGCGTCGTCAAGGGCCTGGAAGCCAGTGGTTGAGCTAGAGCTTGTGCTTCTGAATCATGTGTCCGAGTCTGACATCCCGATTGTATCTGAAATTGGAACTCTCGACCAAAAAGCAATGGTGCTTGCTTGTATCGACCATCTCAGATGATGCCGACTGATAAGACGCGGGAGATCGTTGAGCCATTGGGCCAGGTGGCGTCAATTGATTGCTCAATGATGGTGGTATTCGGGATGATGGCACGCTGGATGATGGAAGCTGACGGTGTCATGGTGCGATAACGGGACAGATGACCATCAAGCCAAAAAGGCCCAAAAAGTCCTTCCCTCTCTCCAGCGTCATGAGAGTCCAGAGATTCTTCACCTCAGGCAAGTACGGAGACGTGCATGGAGTTGGTTCTTACCCTAGGTACCTTGAGTATCTTCCCTTCCGAGGGCAGCTGCTAGGGTTACCTTCTCTTGCTGTCATTCCTTCCTTTTCATTGTCCTAGTAGTCTAGGCTCTTTCTTCCTTCTCTCCTTCCCGTCTTGCCGGCGGCTCCTGCCATGGCTATTTCTTTCTCTTCCCTTTCCATGTCTCTTGCCGGTCCAAAGTGCCTTAGGTAAGAGGCACGCGCCGTCCGGCGGCATGTCGTCGCCTTAGGCTCATGCTTCCATGCTTATTCTGCGGTGGCTGCATCATCAACCGAAACACCCGATGCCGCCCAGCGCGCCGAGAATCGATGAACGGGCAGGAACGGGATCGACTTGAGACGCCACATGCCCAAGAGGTTGCACTGTTGCACACACACCTGCCACAGCTGCAAGTCCCGGGGGTCCCTTCCGGGATTGGATTGAGGCACCAACACTGGAAGCAACCGCGGAAATAGCCACCGAGCGCGACAAGGAGGAAAGTGCAGGCGACTACAGGCGACCCCGAAGGAATACATGCGCCCGAAAAATGTCCATGGCTGTACGATTTTTCGGCCGGGAATGAGTTGCATTTGGAAGGCTTCTAGTAATTCGCTAGACTCGCTACGACGTTCCATTCCTTACGCAAAACCCAGGCTTCTCTACCCAGCCATTCGGAACCTACGCAGACATGAACCCCAACGCGCATACGATTTCCTTGCGACTATTCGATTTACCCCCCTTGGAGCCCCTTTTGTAGTTGCTCCAATACCGAGTCGAATGAACCCCCAGGCATCACTGCATCAACCTCGTTTGCCATTGCAACCCCCGAACCACATAACCGTCCGAGCGAGGCTGTCAAGGCGTTCAACAGTTCAGCAAAGGAGGAAAAATTTTCAATATGTCATTTCGGTTGGCGTCACTGCGACAGTCCAGAGCTCTCTGCGACTGGCCCAAGCTCCTTTCCCGATTCGACTTATGGCGATAATTGCTACTCCCTTTTGCGAATTGGCGGCTTTCAGCCTTCCGATAACTTCCGTCGGGTTGTATTGTTTCATTCCAACGAGAATGGCGATGATGTTCTTAAACCTCACTTCTAGGGCATCAAATCCTTCCGTCTGCTTGAAACCTTCGACGAATCCCTTTACCTAACTAGGGGCCATTCGTGACATTTGCCGCGTCCGCACCTTCAAGTTGTCCGGTTCGGGCTGACTGTGCGCGCTCCTGTTCACGCTCCCAGTAGTACGCGCTGCGCCTGGGCTTGTTACCTCGCGCTGGGAAAGCTCCAAGATCTTCGCCGACGAGGCTCACATTTTCAAATTGGCCACTCTTCCAAACGCCTTCATGCACGAGCCCGTCCATATGCAATAACCCGGCGATGCGGATATCTCCACGACCCAGGTCTCTGGCGCAGATCGCGTACTTGCTAAACCGGCCCTCAGTCTCCCGTTTGTCGAGGCCATCGTGAATCCACACGCATGAAAGGTTGTCAACACAAACTGACACGGAACCCGGCTCCTCGAAGGAAAACCCATCGTACTTATCCGCCTTGGGAGCTAGATATACGTAAAGGTCCTGATACTCTTCTCTGCGCCCTGCATCGTAAGCCGTGATATCATGGCCTGGAAGCTTCCTAAACAATTGTTCGACTTCGGGAAACTGAGGTCGCTGAGGGTTCGTTGGGTCTTGCGTCCAAAAAACAAATGCCACCTGATCGCACGACTTATTCCTGCCCTCATGTGACATTTCGAAGACCGTATACGGCCATGGCTTTGCTGCAACGACTGATCCCGGAGGACTTGCCCTTCTTGCTTGGGTATCGTACTCGCTCAGGACATCACATAGTTTTCCCAGCTTGAAAGCTGGAAACCCTAGAGAGTCTTCAGCCATCTTCAGACTGATTGGGAGGCCGACTGGACCAAATCCTGCTGCAGTCTCGTCATACATCTCGGTAAGCAATGGCATAACTCGCGAAGAGGGCTTATGCGTCCAATTCGGCGTCCATGACGGGATCCTGAATTTCTCAGGTTTCTCCTGTTGGACCATTTCATCCTCCTCATCCGCTTCATCGCCGACCTCGCCGACGTGAAACGACCTGAGCAGCAACGCCGGGATCCCAAACCTCTGCGCAATCCACTTGGCCATCTGCATATACGCCTCCCTCGCCGACATCGTATAGTCCGCCACAATCCCATCGCTCTGCGCACAAGATATAAGCCCATACACGGCGAAAAGCTTGTCCCTGGGATCTGAGGCATGACTGTTGCGCGCCAAGTCCAGGAGCCGGAGCAGGTCACTTGAGTCCCTGTACGCAGGCGCCCGAAACTGCAGAACGGACGGCAACTGTAGCACGTTCAGTAGCCGCGGCTTCTCTTGTGTGTTAATGAGCAACCCCCGATCCGCCAGCGAGGGGATCTGGAGCCGTGACCAGGGCATCTCGTACCGCCCGCATATCAACGTCGCCCGCCTAGCCAGCGCCACTTCTTGAAGGATCCATGCCCGCGAAAAGTACCGCCGCGTAAGCAGCGTCTCCAACGCCTGCTGGAGCGATAGCCGCCGGGACAGGTCCGGGGTCGTCGTGTCCCGATCATCCAAGAAGCGGAAGAGCGCCTCCTCCTCGGGCACCGGCTCCCCGACGTAGACGAGGACGCGCTGCGCGCGGGAGTAGATCTGCGGCATCAGGCGCACCTGGTGGCCCCTCTCCTCGACGTCCTGCTGGTTCATGCAGACGGCGTCGATCCAGACGACCCTCTGCGCGCCGCGGCTGCGGACGCGCCGCAGTGCCGTCTCGCAGTTGGCCGTGACGAGGAAGGCGCGGCCGTCGAGGGTGATGGGCTGCGTCCAGGCCATGGCGCCGTCCTCGCTCGCCCAGGTGTAGGAGATTGCGTCGTAGTCTATCATGCTGGCGGTGCTACTCAGGGCGAGGGTGCATCTGATGGGGTCTGCGAATTCCCCTGGCTCCAGGGTGAGGAGGCGGATGTCTGTTTGGGATTTTAGGGGCTCGTAGACGGCGGTGTCTATTGCATTCTCATCCTCGTCGTGTGTTTCCGGTGGTGAGGGTGTATCGAGATCGAGTTGGATGGAGCCGCAGCTGAGGCAGCTGGAGATGTCGCCGCTGGTGAAGACGTCTAGGCGCCGGCATGACGGGTCGTGCCATTCTGCCATGATGAATGTAGTGTAACTCCTCCTCAATGCTTTGGCAAAAATTCAAGTTCTAATGAGAATGATGGTTCCAAGTGTCATGAGATTGTTGCAAGATTCAACTGAGTAAGTAAGTGTAAATAGGCGCTACGTTGGCTGCATGTCAGATGTGAGGTCCGGCGGCTAATCCTGCAAGAGGTATGCATAGCCTCAGCAGCTGATTGGCAGCTTACCATTCGAGGTCGTAGTCTGTCGACTGAATGAGTTGACTCCAACACAGATCATTTCCGAGTAGAGGTTGAATGGAACAGGATTTCCATGGACAGGTAATGGTGTATTTTGATTACTAGGTATACTACTTGTATGTATATATGATGCATATCCGTAAATACATGTTTTTTGATCAGACTTCTCTGAGCAACGACGGCGTAGTATTGCCTAACAAAATAATCATATATGTTCTATATAAACTCCATCTTACAGGCAGAATAAACCTTTAGGCAATTGAATCACCATAATTACCACGAACTAAAAAGAGTTCACCCCCCCGGTGCTGAACTGGGGGCTACATCTCTTGGTGCTCATGCTGGGATTCGAACTCGGGTACTCTCGTATGCGCTTAGCCTGTCGTCGAGTAGGCTGGTTGGTGTAGATAATTGATTGTTGACCATTAACCATTCCACCACCCACGCCACAGTTTGACCTGACCCCCGACCTAGGGGACGCCTGCTGTGCTGGTGACAGGAATTGGATTGAGGGGGGGCATATACCCTTCCCGTGTATTCGGATGGAAGGCGGGTGGGATACCTTGAGGGCCCTCCTTCCTTCCCGTCTCATGAGACCGTGGGAAGGTGTGAGCCTCTCTCGCCTTCTCTTGCCGGGATATCTAACATCACCACATATTATTGTCACACCTGAATAGGAACATTGTATAGCAAAGGCTGCTCAGAGGTTGGAGTGGACCGGTATTTTCAGTTACGTCTGTATACTTGACCATTGAGCAATGAGATGGCACTTTTATATGAGGCAGCCGAGATGCTGGTACCAGGACAACACCAACATGACATGACAATAAAGAAGAAAGAGATGCCTTGTTCATATGCCATATATGCACCATCAATCTCATTCCGACATCTGATAGACCTAATATATACCGTACTCTAGACTACCACTTGTGGTTGAGCTGCAGTGAACATCCCTTTCGCTAACATCGTCACCGATGAGCTATCGAGACTTGTACTGTCGGATAATGTCAAGGAAGTATGGAATGCAACGGTGAGTCCGCCTCATAACTCGATCTCATACGTTCACGAGATCGACCATAATAGACTCTGGCACTCAGCTCGAGTTACGTCGTCACGCGCTGATATCCTCAAGGTGTTCACCTTTACATCGTTCGCTTCGCAATTCCGGGATCTACAATCATGTGGCTATGAAATATTCACATGTACGTCTTAAAAGCAAGGGTATCTAGACAAGAACATATCCAACACAAAAGCCACTCCAGGCAAACACGACTATTCCCCCTCCGGAACCGAGCCAACACCTGAATGAGAAGACTCTGACTTGCCCCAAAATCTCATAAGGCTGCTCCGTCGGCCTGACCCATGAGACGCATGGTCACTCGAAGTCGATGACCTAGTGAAGATGGTCGACGTGGATGCGTCGCTAGACTTTCGAGTCGACGTCTGCGAATACTGCTGAAGGAGTCGCTTGATCTCCGACCCAGCCAGTCCGCAATTGGAAGCCGCTTGGAAAGCGTTTCGGCCGTTCGCATCGGTCAAGCGAGCATCTGCGCCGTGGGAGAGGAGCACTTCGATCATGCCGATTTTGCGGGAACTTTTGGTTGCTACCACCTGGATCGCGGCAATCAGGGGAGTGCATACATTGTTGTTGCTGAGATAGGGGGACGACGCCTGCGCTCTCTTCGTCTGATGGCAGATATTGGGATCGGCTCCTTCACCCAGCAAGAACCGGACCATTGCTTCGTTCCCCATCTCGCAAGCCATGTACAGCGCCGTCTTCCCCGAATTGTCGATGAGATCTAAAAGGTTGGGCGTGTCCTTGAGGAGAAGTCGGGCAACATTGACTCCGCCGGACTTGTTCTGGCATCGGTGCAGAGGGCTCAGACCAGCACTATCGCGAACGTCGGCCCGCGCGCCCGTTTGCAACAACAGTCCAACACTGTCACGGTTTCTGGTTGATGCGGCAAGAAGCAGGGGCGTCGGTAGACCGACGTTGCCCCCGTTCTCGAGACTGACCACATGTCCCACCATTTGCCTCAACACCTCGAGGTTCTCGTCTTGAATGGCCTTATGGAGCGGCGAGGTTCGTGTCATGAAGTCGCAGGTGTCGAAGCGGAAACCGGTCGGGACATCAATGTCGAATCCGTTCTCGCGACACCATTGAAAGGCTTGGGAGAGCTCGCCCATAGAAGATGGCCTCCTGGCGTCTGGTACAGAATCGGAATCAGGGGGCGAGGCCGGACGGCTTGTCAAGGGGATGATGACGGTGTTGACCCAGACTTCCACACCACGCGCTTCGTCAAATGCCCCGTCGAGTTGCAGAGCCTTGATGTACAAATCTGCAGTCTCTTGCACCAGTTCAACGGGGATGGGCTCTTGGTTCTTTCTACCTTCGAGAGCCCGGCTTAGGAACGTCTTTGCCTGCTTCAGATTGCCGAGTCGGATATACAGGCTCCCTAGGTCATGGTATAGCCGACTTCGCCGTTCGTCGTCCCGAAACTCCTCGGGTTGCTTCACTTCTTCCTGGAGTAGGCCCTGCAGAATCCCTTTCGCCTCAGCAATTTCCTCTTCTGTTTCACTTCTTAACAGGATATCGGCAAGTCGCTCTTTCATGACAGCTTGCTCGGCAAAGCTGAAGTCGACATCGTATCCTGGCTGGCTAAGTTGTTCTCGGATTTCGATGCCCCGCTTCTGATATAGCGAAGCCCGGAGGAATATTCCGCAGTCTACCAGGCGGTCGACTATTTCTTGGTTCGCATCGTACTGGTGACTAAGGATGTCTTTGCTTGGTCCGTCTGGATGTTCGGGCTCTGGATCCCAGTCGTCCGAATCGACGTCACCTGACGCTTGTTTAGAGTCCTGGTCCTTTCCCGATGCCAACTTGGTGTACGATGAGTTGAACGACAAGAACGAGTGGTGTTGGTCTGCATTTTGCAAAGTGACTGCGGCTGCCACTTCGTCGGCCGACATTCGCCAGGCTTGGATCTCTCTTGTGACAGACAGAGATTCATCCATCCTTGTGTCACTTTCGTCGTCCCATTCCGTTGATGGTCGTCGTTGACCCTTGCCTGTGCGTGAGATGAGGTTCGCGGCTCGGATTTCGTCGGTCAAGTTTCTGATTGCGACATGCACCTGGTCTTGGGACTTTTGTTGAGTCCATAATGAGCCGCTTTTACAGTCAGTCATCCGATCCATCAAAGGGCTCTGCTTGAAGGGTTCACGTACAGAGACAACGTTATCAAACTGAGTTGAAGCACTTGTGTATACGACGTAATGTGAGAAACTAGATCGCGAATCACGACCGACTTCAACGTCATGGTAAAGCTCGCCCTAGCCTTATCAATCGGTCCCGGTTTGTCGTCGAGCTCCGGCAGCTCTTTCTGCAGCCTATCAAGCGACGAGCGGCATGACTTGAGAATTTGGTAAATATCCTGATGGTGCTCTCTCTCAAAGGAAAGCTGATGCGGGTGCTGCTTTAGGATTCGAGCCACGTTGCGCAGCGCAGCGTGTAGGTTTCGGATGGTCTCGTGGAATTCGCAGATGCTCGAGGGAATGGCTTTGCTTTCTTGGACGAACTTGCCTGTGCCTTCTACGATCTTGCCGGCTATTCCGACCATTTGCAGAGCAAAGGCGGCAATCGAAAGAGGATCCATCTCGATCCGAGTTTTTTGTGCAGCAGTGTTATTCGAATCTCCAGCTCTCTTTAGTCTCCTGAATGGCAGCCGCGTCCATTGACTTCGCGATAATCGATGCAGAGAGTCCTCGGGCGTTGAAGGATGAACATGTTAGGGTGTCGTGGATGGGATCGGTGCAAAGTGCAAAGTCGACAAGCAATTGGGTGGAAAAAGACACACAGCAGAGGATGGACAGTGAAGGGGCAGGCATTGCGCACCCTCTTCCATCCGTCGATGAGGCAAGTATGCCTGTGTTCCCCGCGATCGACAAATGTTACCACCCAGATGAGTCTTACTCGCCGAGACAAAAGTAGCTGCCGTCAATCTGGGGGGCATAGCCACGAGGGGATACATCACGAGCGTAGGGCAGGCTGCTGCCGCAGTCGGTCTAACGCAGAGTTCAGCTGGCCCTGCACTGCGAGCTCCTCAGTGAGTAGGTACTCCTTGGATGTCATTGTCTCACTCCCAAGCAAATGATCTCACTCCGCAATCGAACCCGACCTTAGAGCTTCTTTCTGCCCACTTGAATAGGTAGCAGCGACTCTATACACCGGGCCCCCGCGGGGAACCTCGCAGGACCGGGGTCTACTCCGTAGCGTGGGAGCTGATGCAGTAGCCTTATTCCACTTGAACCCCAGTTGCCAAGCTTCACCCCGACTTTGTGTCCCGAGTCTGTGGCGCAGCAGGATACCAGGCGATGAACAATATGCATGTTGTTCATAAGCAAGACATGGTGATGACAGCAGGAAAGCTGGGCGATCTGCACCTTGCAGCCCCGAACTCATCTTGTGGACGTCGATTGGCTTGGGCAAAGCCACAGTTCGAGTGCTGCCTGGTGCTGTGCATCTGCAGCTTCCTCCCGTAATCGGGATTCGAGTACAAGAAACTCAGCGTCTGCGGGTGAGGTCAGTTGCGAGTGCCCGAGATGAGGCTTCTCTAGGACTCAAGGACTTCTGGAATGACACATTAAAATCTTGAGAGTTCGTCTCGTTGGCCAATGTAACCCTCCGATACCTCAATAGTTTAGCACATTTCCCGGTGGTACAAAGGGCAACACTGCGGTCAATCTGGAATCTGTCACTCAAGGCTCCTTCCATTGCCTGATGGGATGGTGGATGGCAGGGAGGTGGAAAGGTTTGGCTTCGCCTCCACAATTACTGCCTTACATGGGGGGACCAGATGCCCCTCGCTTCCCTCTACTCCGCATCTGGTATATACGAGTAGACAAGTAAACGGGACGACGATCGCTGGCTCGAAGGATGAAAATGACGGACCCGTGCATGGGCTGCCATCTGATTGTACAACGCCAGCCGAGGAAGCCTGCGAGACAAAGTCTCAGTGAGACGCGGGACGCGGGACGCCGTCACTCGATCCTATTGGGGGCCCTGAGGTCTCACTTCTTGCGCTACCTATGGTACGTGCCGTTTCGTGCTCGCATAACCATAATGACGGTGCCTTATATGACTGAGCAGCCTGGCTTCCGTTCACTTAATACCCAGGATAGGCCTGGCTCGCGACCGATTTCAGCCCTATACTGGCTACCCGTGATGCTACCTATGGTGGTATTGCTGATGAATGCCAATTAAGTTCATAATCTCTCAGAACAATTACATCGGCAGCGATATGTCTGATTTCGACACTCTCGGTCAAGCCGAGTCTCATACTGGTCATGATGTGGTGACAAAACAACAAGCTCGACACCGGCATATTAACGACCGGGCGGTAATCGAAAACCCTCTCTGTAAGCTCAATCTTCAAGCATTCTAGGCATTGGACAAAAAGGCTCCTTCACTTCCCAAGACCGTTCCTCTTGCTGAATCAAATCTCTCCGTCTAGCTCACTATACCGACGAACAGCTAGAGGCAGATGTCACGTTATTCGCGGAGAGGTATCTGAATGTCGACAAGGGAGCTTTGATACGAGCTGCGCGTGTGGCAAAGGATATCAAGCTATACGACGAAGTTGCGAGAAACCCAAGCGATGCGGCAGGAAAGGAGCTTCCGGTCCAGCTGACGACAGAGGAGAAGCGGGCACTTGTTCGGGAACGCGATGTCCCGTTCAGCGAAAAGGGGATGTGGACCATCATCATCACAGTGTCCCTCGCAGCATTCTTGCAAGGTAGGCAAACCACCTTCTTGTCCTTGGCTCAATATCGGTTCTCGGGCTCACCAAGCTGCCCAGGCCATGTGCAAGCGTCATTCAACGGCTCATCTCTGTATGACACGGAATTCGGGCTGAACACGACGGCCAAGAAAGACGACAACAGTGCGACGGGGAGCCATGCTGAGTTAGGAATCGATGACTGGAAGCTGGGAGCGGCGAATGCGTCTCCTTTCTTGTTTGCTGCGGTGCTGGGCTGCCCTCTTGCGCTGCCGGTGAACCATTACCTAGGCCGTAAAGGGGGTATGGTAGTGGCTGCTTTTCTTATCCTGGTCAGCTCTATCGCTTCGGCTTTCGCGACGAACTGGGTACATCTTTTTGGTATTCGGCTGGTGAATGGTATAGGTTAGTGTACACACCTCCCTTTTTCAAAGATATCACGATGCTAACGATGGGATCAGGTATGGGACTCAAGGCCGTCAGTACACCAATCCTAGCCAGTGAGACCGCGGTCGGTTTCTGGCGTGGCACCTCCATTCTCGCATGGCAGCTCTGGGTAGCCGCGGGCCTGATGGTTGGCTTCGCCTTCAACCTGATATTCGACACAGCGGGCAACAAGCGGCTGACCTTCCAACTCATGGTGGGCGCGCCCATGGTCCCCGCCCTCGCGCTGCTCGTCCTGGTCATCTGTTTCTGCGAAGAGAGCCCGCGCTACCTGATGCGCGTGTCGAGTCCGCGGTACGACCCGCAGCGGGCCTACGAGATTCTCAAGAAGCTGAGGAACACTGAGCTGCAGGCTCTCCGGGACATTTACCTCGTGCACAAATCCATTGAGCAGGAGGAAGTGCCGGGCGGGGTCGCGAATCTCAAGTACATTCCGGGATTTGTGTCGACCGTGGTGGGATTTCTGCGGCAGTGGAGGCAGCTGTTTCTTGAGAGGCGGTTGAGGAACGCGTTGATCAGTAGCTCGACTGTGGCGCTTGCCCAGCAACTGTGTGGTAAGATGCGAACTCTCTCAAGTGTGATCAGACCTAGATAAGAGCCGCGCTGACTTGACGAAACAGGGATCAACGTGCTGGCCTTCTACTCAGGCACGCTCTTCAGCCGCGCCGGTGCGGAGAAGCGGGATGCCATGTTCTTCAGTCTAGGCTATGGAGCCGTCAACTTCATCTTTGGGCTACCCGCCATCCGAACGATCGATACGTTGGGCAGACGGAAATGGCTGATATTGACTCTACCCGTGATGGCACTCTTCATGCTCCTCGCGGGCGTCTCCTTCAACATCCACAACCTGAATGCCAAGGTCCCGGTGGTGGCGCTATTCATACTGCTGTTCGCGGCCGCGTACTCACCCGGGCTGGGACCCATCCCGTTTACTTACGCGTCAGAGAGCTTCCCGCTGTCGCACCGCGAAGCCGGGGCCGCGGTCGCCATCGCGGTGAACCTAGGCTTCGCCGGTCTGCTCTCCGTCTTCTTTCCGCGTATCAATTCCGGGCTAGGTGACGGCGGCTCGCTGTACCTCTTTGCGGGGCTGAATGTCTTGGCTCTGATCATGGTGTTCCTGCTGCTGGAGGAGACCAAGAGGCGTAGTTTGGAAGACTTGGACCTCGTGTTTGCTGTGTCGAAGCGACAATTTGTCAAACACCAAGCCGTCGAGTACTTGCCGTGGTTTTTTAGACGCTATGTCCTGCGGAAGCACGAGTACAAGCCAAGTCTATATATCGATCTGATATGGGGGTCTGGAGGCGACGAAGAGGAGCGAACGCGGGTGAGGGATGTGGGACGGATGGACGGGAGGAGAGATAGTTCCGAGTCGGACAGGGACAGCACTCACGCGTAGATAGGATGAGGACTGGGTTTGTGTGAATGGAGGATGAATTTTGGTTATTGCAACAGCTTTGTGGCTGAGTTTACGAAAGCGAGACAGCGAAGTGGTAGTTTTCTTATTAGTCCATTGGCGCGAAACTGGCCCGCAAATCCGGGTCGGCTTTACGCGTATACGAGTCAAGGATTGTTGGAATCGTTTGGTGGCAATGATACTTGGCTTTGGGACAATGATAGGACTGTCAGAATCGCTTAAGCTTAGGACGAATTATTACAAAAGATGGATTTGAAAAAGTCGTTGGAGGCGTGGTGCATCTACCTTAGGATTCGTTGTTCCAAGGTACCAAAAGATACCTTCAGGCAGGTAAGTGTGTGTCCGTGTAGCTAGGTCAGAGCTGCTCGGGGAAGTAGCTGGAGCATACTCCGGAGCCAGCGGGCCGGCTAGACCCACCTACATCCCGTCAAACCCCCGATCATTTGGCGGCGTCAGCCCGGAGTTCAAGCGAGAACCGACGCCGCGGCCCCTCCACCTGACCCCGCTAGAATCCCTTGGGAAGGGCTCCCATTGGCTCCGGTGGTCATAGGTGGAACACGAAAACGAGCGAGGGTGGCAGGTGCAGTCACGCAGACGCTTCTTCCTACCTCGCGCTGCATTGTCCGAGACTCTGCAGGGCGTTTGGACGAGGGCTGCGGCGCTGCGCTATGGCGGGCGTGACAATTGTGTCTTTCTTTAAAAGTCCAGGATGGTCTACTTCCCATACCTAGTTGTTGAGCCAAGCTTTTTTTTTTTCTTTCTTTCTCTCTCTTCTCTTCTTTGACTTACTTTACCTTGGGTTGCTTGCTTTGTTCTTTCAACTCAACCCGTAGCCACGGAAACAAAACAGTTCCATTGTTCAAGGTCAAAGTAATTAACTGCTCGGCAGGGGGGAAGACCATTTGTACTCGCTTAAGGTAAAGGCCCCCGAAGGATTTAGCGCTTGGCGGTCGCTAAAGCCGTACGCTGGGCCCGATAAGGTACCTCCACCCGTCGACTGACATTGCGCATCCCGCTAATCAGGGCACCCCGTCAGGACGTCATCGAACCGTCCCAATTATTCCAATCTCGGACCTTTGGTGACCCGTTCAGTCCGCCGTCGTCGGTCGCTGCGTGTGTGTCCTGGTGCTCTCCTATCTCGAAACCCCAAAGTCGAACTTGTCTCTTCCCCCTCCAAGCTCCAGGACATCGTCATTGCATCTTGGCGGCATAGCGAACGAGAAGCACTGCCAGATCTCGACAACACAAGCCCTCGCCATGTCCACATTTCGATTGACTATCGAAGACGGCCAGTTCCGCGACGGCTACGGTAGACAAGTTGTGCTTCGAGGCCTCAACGTCGCCGCCGACGCCAAGCTCCCCAGCGAGCCCGATCAACCCTCGCACATTGGCGACGAATTCTTTGATGGCGACAATGTCAAGTTTCACAACCGCCCTTTTCCCAAGGACGAGGCTCACGTTCATTTCTCGAGGATAAAGCGCTACGGATACAACACCATCCGTTACGTCTTTACCTGGGAGGCCATCGAAGCCGCTGGCCCAGGACGTTACGATGAAGAATGGATCCAGCACACGATTGAGATTCTGAGGATAGCCAAAGAGTATGGGTTCTACATCTTCATGGACCCTCACCAGGACGTGGTATGTCTGACTGTTCCCTCCCCCATCATGTGGTTCCTAAGGCTAACAAATCAATCCTACAGTGGTCGAGGTACTGCGGCGGTTCTGGCGCCCCAATGTGGACAATCTACGCCTGCGGCCTCAACCCGCAGAGCTTCTCCGCCACCGAGGCCGCGATCGTGCACAACACATACCCGAAGCCCGAAGAGTTCCCCAAGATGATCTGGTCGACAAACTACTGGCGTCTCGCCGCCGCGACGATCTTCACCATGTACTTTGGTGGCAGGGATTTTGCCCCAAAGTGCATCATCAACGGCATCAACATCCAGGACTTTTTGCAGGGCCACTTCGTCGCCGCCTGCGCGCACCTCGCGAAGCGCATACACGAGGCCGGCGACCTTGAGAACGAGGTCGTCATCGGGTGGGAGAGCATGAACGAACCGGGCTGCGGTCTGGTCGGCTACCAGGATATCGCCGTCATCCCCAACGCGCAGAAGCTGAAGAAGGGCTCGTGCCCGACGATCTGGCAGACGCTCCTCACAGGATCTGGCCGCGCCTGCGAGGTGGAAACGTGGGACATGGGTGGCATGGGCCCGTACAAGGTCGGTCGTTCACTGATTGACCCCCACGGCGAGATGGCTTGGCTACCCGCCGACTACGACGACTCGAGATACGGCTGGAAGCGAGACGAGGGTTGGAAGCTTGGGGAGTGCATTTGGGCCCAGCACGGTATCTGGGACACGAAGACGGATACTCTGGTCAAGAAGGACTACTTCTCCAAGAACCCTAGGACCGGGAAGACGATCGACCACCCAGAGTTTACGAATACGTATTTCATGGACTCGTACCGGTTATACAGAGACGCTATCCGCCCCATTCACAAGAACTGCATTATGCTGATGCAATACCCGACACTCGAGTTACCACCTCAAATCAAGGGCACCGCCGACGACGATCCGATGATGGCCTTTTCACCGCATTGGTACGATGGTATCACTCTTATGACGAAACGATGGAATAGAGTGTGGAACGTGGACGTTGTAGGCGTGTTGCGTGGGCGGTACTGGCACGAGGCGCTTTCTGTCAAGGTCGGTGAGACTGCTATTCGAAACTGCTTCAAAGACCAGCTTGCGTCATTGCGGCAAGAAGGTCTGGATAGAATGGGCAATCACCCATGCGTTATGACGGAATTCGGTATCCCATACGATATGGGCAACAAGAAGGCGTATAAGACGGGGGATTACTCGGATCAGTCAGCTGCCTTGGATGCCAACTACTTTGGTGCCGAAGGCTCAGGTATGGAGGGCCACTGTTTGTGGGTTTACGTTGCAAAGGTAAGCAGCCTCTCTCACGCGCGATGTCACCCCTGCTAATATACGTCAAAGAACACTCACGAGCACGGTGATCTTTGGAACGGCGAGGATCTGTCAGTCTTCTCACTAGACGACAAGACACTACCCATGTCGCCTCTCCCCCGCAGCCCATCACCCAACCCGTCGTCAGACCTCAAGCGCAACTCCATGAGCAGAGACGTCCCGGACGAATCGACCGTCACGCCGGAAAACCTGCAAGGCACAATCACGAACCCCTCGATATCATCCGCCCCCTCCAAGGACCCAGAGCTGACCAACGCGCCGGGCCTCCGCGCTGCCGAGGCCTTTGTGCGGCCGACCCCCGTCGTCGTGGCGGGTGACGTGTTGGAGTACGGCTTCGACCTGCGCAGCTGCACCTTTACGCTCAAGCTCAAGGCCGCCGCGCCTCCATCCGAGACCGCGCCGACGGTGGTGTTCTTGCCCGAGTTCCACTACCCGCAGGACAACTGCACGGTCGAGGTGTCGTCGGGCAAGTGGGCGATCAGTATGGATGATGACGAGGGCCCGCTGCTGCAGAAGCTCAAGTGGTGGCACGCGGACGGCGAACAGACGCTCAAGGTTACGGGCTTGGTGAGGCAGCATAACATCGTCGAAGGGTCCGAGGAGGACATGGGGTACCTGGAGCAGTGCCAGCAGAACTACGCTAGGTGCAGTGTGATGTAAGAAGTGTGTTATGGTCAGGATTGGGATAGGAAGAGTTGCCAGGCGAGGTTATCCAGAGATACGAACAGGGTCCGCCACACGGCCCGCCCACGATGTGATGGTCAAGAGGTGGTTATTGCAGGCATTATTTTTTCTTTCATTTAGAGCAATGAAGAGGGCGAAGGATTTTGGCGGCTTTCAAGGCACACCTCTGGCTATCAGGGAGTTAATGGGGAGCATACTTTTTTTTTTACTCATGATGACCTCCCGTAATTGTTCGCGATGTTTGAACGTCATGTTGAGTGGAGCGTGTCCCCAATCGCCTCTTAATCATTTCATACCTAGCAAGCACTTAAGACAAACCGAGAGACCCTGCAAATCCATCCGATGTTTCAACATCACCTTAGTAAGATTAGGTACATTAGGCTTCGATGACACGCACGTCGATGACGGGCTAAGTTTTGCGCTTAGCTGACTTGACTAAGGTACCTACCCGGCCCTCATTAGTAGTAGTCCTGCTACAACGGTTATTCGGATAAGGACAGTAGAATGGCGATTTGTTTCCCCCTTCTGCATTTAAACTCTTCTCGAAGTCGGCAGTACCGGGTAATTTCGTCTCATGCTCCTCTGTTGCAGCCTTAACGTGCGTCCTAGTTCATACACTCACGGTCGTCAGAATGAAAACGCCGAGCCGGGCTGGATGTGGCCCACTAACGGACCGGATAAGCGGCCGCCACTGACCGCCCGGGCTCCGCCGTGGCTTTCAAGCCGGAACTTGGCCTGCACATTGCGAACCTCGAAGCAAATTAAGGCATTCCATTAGAAGGAATCAGTTGCAGAAGATGGTAAGCCTGTCATGCGGCTGGCTATGGGCCCCAAGATGTCAAATCTCAACTGGCTTGGGGTCGGCCACGCCATGATTCTTCTGTGACGGCAACTGGCAATGGTCGAAGTGACAACTTCGTCACCGCTACTATCATTATCCGTGGTCCCAATGTTCATCTTAGGTATGCCGTGCAAACTCTACTTATCAACCTCCCACTTGTGCATGCAATTTTGCGCACGTGGATTCACTTTCGCTTTTGGACTGGGTGTTTTCTGGCTCTTCGAGGACTTACAACGTACGGCAGGCAGTATGTACAACCACCGGCAAACAATTGGCGCGAAACAACTTTAAACAATGTTTGCGGGCGTAGTCAGAAGCGACATCGGTGAGGGCTTCCCCAATGAGGCAATCATCACCCGACTTCGGGTATTTGGTGTCAGCTAGTGTAAGCTACAGCGAATCTTTGCGAGGAAAGACTATCAGGAGAGAGTAGGTTATTGTTAGTAAGCTGGGGTATATTAGAGCGCAGTATCCGTGAACCCCGCTGAATGCTGGTCGCCCAGGTACACTCGTCATCCAGCCAACACTAGAACAGCCCTTTCTGCAGGAGCAAAGCACCGCAAAATGACCTTGAGCGTTGGAGAACAGCCTCTTGTGCTTGGAGACAATGACAAGTCCTCGCCATGGTATAGCACATCCATCAGAATCGAGGTTCTCAGAAATGCGAGAGAAATTTTGGAGGAATACGCGCGGGTTCCTCCGGAAACCGTAGAAACCCACATACTGACGCTGGTACGTTCGCCTTTCAGAAACTTTCTGCTAAGAGTAGCCTTGCTGAATGGTTTGGCACGAAGCGCGACAAAATTTGGGATGTCTTCCCGTACCCATGCGTTGGTCGCTTCTCATTCTTGGACTTTTACCTGCACCGCATGCCTCTGTATAGTTCTCTTGTTGATCGACTCAAAAGTCCCGACGCGAAGCATCTGGACGTTGCTTGCTGTATAGGTCAGGATATACGGAAGTTGGTTTACGATGGTGTTCCTTCACAGAACATCGTGGGCTTGGAGATTGAGAAAGGGTTCGTCGACGCGGGCTACGAGCTGTTCCGGGATAAGCAATCACTCCAATCCGAATTCATCGTAGCAGACATCCTGGACGATGAGGACGGTACTCTCGAAGATATGGTGCACCAATTCGATTCGGCCCACCTGGGAATGTGTTTACATCTTTGGAATCGAGACGACCAGACAAAGGCATTGCTCAGAGTCATTCGACTGCTGAAGGCGGCACCTGGCGTAGCTATTTTGGGACATACCATAGGGCATACCGATGGTATCGAAGTGTCTCTTGGCATGAATGGAAAGCCTAGTCTGCGGCATAACGTGCAGACATGGGGGGCACTATGGGCCGACTTATCCGAGGCGACTGGGTCGTGCTGGAAGGTCGAAGCGGAGATGTACGATGATGATTCCATGAGAGACCGACTTGGCGTCGCAAAGCCATCTTGGTGGGACTCGCAATGGCGCTTACTTGCCTTTGAGGTAACGCGGAAGTCTTGAGGTATGTAAGAACACAGCAAAAGTAATGTTGCCTCGGCATCATGAGGTCCATTCATGACCTCCGGTTTCTCTCCAGATTAACACTTTCTAAAATCTAAAGAAAAAGTAGATGAAGACGTCGAACGAGTACGCTGAAGACATCTTCCACACCGACAGGCACTCCATCTGGGTCAACGTAGATGTACGCTCCCGTTACATGGAACATTGTAACCATTTCCTTGACATCTTCGGGCACTTCGAGCGTGTGAATGTCTCCCGGGGGCTCATACGCGTAGCCTCCTTCGGTGGCCCACCATGGGTGCTCAAGGTAGTGCCATCTACCTTTCAAGATTGTTGCGTGGACAGCGCCGGCGTGGCGATGGCGAGAGAGAATACCGGAGCGGCGGACGCGGAGGATGTTGACGAAGTAGCCCCCAGAGACGGAGAAAAGGAGCGGACGGAACCAAACGCCCGGGGCCTGCGGGACCCAGAGGCGTTCGTCACACTCGATATCAAAGATGCCGGGAATGACAAGATCGTCGGGGACTGCTGGAAGACGGGGCCCTCAATAAGGCACAGCGGCTTGATCGAGGCGATCATCTGCTCGAGGTTCTGCAGCAGTTTGTGTCGTGGTTTCCATGACCAGTGTCTTGGACATCCCGGGTAGAACTCTGATTTCGAAGGAGTTGACTCAATGAAGTAGAGATTGAAACGAAACAAGTCTGATATGATGGCTTTCCTGTGTTGTCTGTCCGGCAGAGCTGCACAGCCTAGGTAGCATGCTAGACGCGTTGATAAGTATTTTCCGAACTGTGGGGAGATCGTTCTGCTTGAAAGAAAACTGGTCACGTCGTATTGTATGATAAGCTGAGCTGTAGCGACTCGATGTCCTTGGTATGCGTGGCGCTAACGGCGGTCGTTTTCTAACACGGCGTCAAGCGCGGCACATTCCAGTAGTGATATCTTTGATATTCCTCGGGGTTGTTTCGGTGAGGCGGAGAATATCCTTGTCTCATCAACGTGACCATGAGATACGCAGTACCGGCCGCAAGGCTGCCCTGCTAACGTGTATACCGACAGTATCCCAAATTTTCCGATGAGTGTGGTCGTATATGTCTACTTGAGGCAGATAACTTCCTTATGATGGGCGAGACTCAAAGGTGAAACAGAAGGATGTCGCGGTGAGAGGTTGATGTAGGGCTGGGCTGGATCTCCTGGATTCGTATAGCACACTTCTGTTGGATACTGTCTGGGGCAATTTGTGGACATTGACGGAACAATGGGCGCAGAGATGGTTGTAGGCGGTAGTAGTGACGGGTCAAGTCCTGCCATCGAAATAGACCGTCTCGATCGAATTATGCATGTTCATCATCGATGAGTTGGATGGTTGTGGATATTTGGTTTCAGTGGTGGGGGATGACGTCGGCCAGCTGGGCCGTTTGCCCGGTAATGAACGAACTGTTGCTGGGAATGGGGTATTAGTAGATGATGCTATAAGTATGTTTTCTATATGTGGTTGATTAGCGATATGGGGGTGTTTGGGCCTTGAGAGGGAGGGAGTAGCGATGCCTGGCGATTGCGTCGAAGAGTAGGTACATTATACGAGAAACCATATTCGGCGAGACATGGAAATTTCTAGAGCAGAACATCTTTTTCCAATTGTGAAGGTTGAGTGAAGCCCATGAGCTGAGAAGTTGCAGCTGCCTCTTAAGGTTGAGGCTGAAAATGCTCCGTGGCAAAGAAGCTCCTGCGGGACCGGGGGCGGGGACTAAGGCCGGTGGCCGGGTCTGGGGTAGACCACAATGCGGTACGGGTACTTCAAACGTCGCACGGTTGAAACCTGAAAGAACTTTGGGCCTTGATTTCTGATTCTCACTCAAAAGGACGGACGAGGACAGCAGAGGCTGAAAGTTGGAGGACGAGGAAGGCACAAGGGGAGCCGGAGACATTAAGATGGCGCTTGTCGGATTCTGGCGAATGAGACGTCGAGAGCGATGCGGGCGGTTGGCTGCATTTTGTGAGAATCGCGGCTCACCGGTTCGTCGGTCTGGCGGCGGGGAGGTTTGGAGGAGCGCTTGTGTGCCTTGCTGCTTTAAGAGGAGGGATTGGCACATTGGTTCTGTTGGTATTCACTGATGCTTTCGATACGCTTCCGATAATACCCAGTCATGTACCTCAATTTGTGCACGCCGATGAGCACTTATTCTCACGTGGTGGGCTGCATATGATAGTCGTGCATCTGAACCGCAAACCCCTTACCTTGCGACTTGCAAATGACTCTTCATCTCCATCGGTATCAAAACCGAGTGATGGTACCTCGTTCAATTTGACAATATCGAGCAAAGGGGGTCGAGTTGAAATGAATTGTTCGTGTTAGAGCGGCAGGCTAATAAGGTAGCGCGAGGTGGGCACCCGCTACCCTGACCCTCATGCAAACCTGGAAAGGCCCAAATGAAACAGACGGGGCCCTGCGTCGGGTCGCGGGTGGATTCATTGATCTGGGTCTAGCTGCTTTCTGGAGTAGGTGTGTCTTACTCTTGGATCTTGGGATGAGGCTGGAATTGGGTTTAGCTGACATTGGGATTTGGGGTTGGAACGGAGAATCCTGAAAGTACCGGTATCTCTACAATATTCGTACTCAAGGTACCTTACCTACCTCGAGATCTCTCCCAGCTGAGGAAGCCGATGTCATGGTTGCGAGGACGTACCTTTGGGATGAGGTGCTGTGTGCTCATGGAAGGAATCAACCGAGCAGGCAGGTCCTTTCCATTTTTTGGTTGCACTGCGCGCGCCTGGCTTCCATTGGCCTCTGCTGCCGAGAACAAGACGGCAACATCTTGGACTTGGACAAAACACCACGAACCCAGAAACACGACGACACATGAGCATTGTCTTTGATCGCACTCTATCTATACAAGCTGTTACCGACGACGATTCATACGGTATACCCCAAACGAGTCACTGACCATCATCGAGTCCTGACATCGTTCTACAAAGTACCCGTAATTGCGCCTTTGTACCTATCGCCTGCGCCGAAGCCCACACGGGATTCTTTACCGGCCAGAAACTCACGAGTCGCACTCTTCCATCCTACGACCAGCGCAAGAAGTCGTTGCCGTACGGATAGGCTGTACGAATAGCCCCTCGTCACACACTCACGGTGCCTTCATTGGCTCGGAGATCTGCACGGCACATCCGCCCCCCGCCAAAAGCTGCGTGTGCGTGGGATAACGCACGCCAGAGCCGAAGCCAACGTCCACTTCCCACGCCAGTTTCGACCAGTCTCATCCCATCTACGAATGCTCTGCCGCCACTCGCTGCAGTCTTAGAGATACCCTGCCAACACTAGCCCAAAGAGTTGGTGTAGACGCACCTCGTCGCGGCCCAGCCTCCAGCATTCACACGCATCCGCCATTCTCTAAGCGCGCTACAAAGTACTCAACTACCCAGGGTACGGAGTATAGGTACTGTCCTTTCTGTGGGCTTGTCTTCTGTTCTGTCTCTATCTGCCCGCCTTTGCACAACATACCAGTACCCTGCCAGCCAGCCTGCCACTACCTATCCACATCCGTAAGCTGAAAGACATTGAACGGCTGCTACCTTACATTCACATACCACCCACCCCTCTCTCCCGTCAAAAGTCCCCATTCGGTTCTCGTCTTCTTCTCTTCAACATTCCTACAACCTGACGAATTTCTCCAGAAATACCTAGCGCGCCCGAGAGAGTCAAACTCCAAGCAGCTGCTCGCCAAGACCACCAACACGATCTACGATAATTAGGCACAACGCCCTGGTGCCAATACAGCGACGGTCGCCGCCTTACCGCAACATGACTACGGTCTGAAGGCCCGCTCGCGCCCACCAGCCCACACCACCACCCCTGCCATGTGCCGCGTACCCATACCATCCATACCTGGCATACCATGAGCACCAGCTCGCGCCAACGCTCTGCGACCCGATCTGATACCCACGACCGAAATTCGAGCCCATTCCCATCTGTGCCTCGATCCAGAGACGAGATACACAATCTCGACGGCTTCGTCTTTAACGTCAACGACTTGCCCACCCATACCTCGACGACGACCTCAACAACACCAAAGATCCTGTCTCCAAACCTCAACGGTAACGGCGCTCTCTCGCCGTATCCTCAGCCGAGGAACTCCAACTTTCTTTCCGCCGGCGGTCTTCGCCCGAGGGCCTCGACTGCGAGCTCCGTTCCGACAACACCTCTACTCGGGCTCGATCCCGCGAGGCCAGCCACCAGAGCTGGCCCGCCTCCCCCGCCGACCATGTATCAAAACACCCAGCGACATGCCTCTTCGACCGACCCCTCGAGACCCTTCCAGGTCCCCCCTCCACCGCCGCCTATGTCGCCGCCCGTGCAAGGCCAGATGAGCAACATGATGTCGATACCTCCTCCGCCCCCGAGATTCCCTTCTGCTCCTGGCGCAACGGGAGGAAGTGGGATGATGCTTCCGCCGCCTCCAGGGCCACCGCCTGGAAGCGCAATGGCAGGCCAGGCACCATGGCACGGCGCCTTTGGGCGCATGTACGACGGTCGTGGCGGCTTCAATATGCCACCTCCCCCGCCAGGACAACACCAGGCCTACAATCCAAAGTTACACGCGCAGGTTGCGACGGGAACGACACTATCGATACCCCCGCCACCTCCACCGAACGAACATGTTATGTCGGCAACTTACATACCGCAAGGCGACACGTATGGCGAAGGCGTTGGAATACCTGGTCTAGGCGGCTTTGACGAAAATGCCACATTCTCGGCAACCTCTCAGAGCTCATGGCCTACCAACAGTCAGACCAGCGGCGATACGGCAATGACCACGCCGCAAGACGATGTGTCAGGAGGGAGGGACAGAATGTACGCTCAAGCAATGCACAGCCGTGGGATGTCAACGACCTCCAATGCTACGACGATCAGCACCTCCAGCATTCACCCAGAGCTGGCGGCGCAATGGCCGCTGGAAAAGGTGCTGTTGTGGCTGGCTACGAACCAATTCTCCAAGGACTGGCAGGAAACTTTCAAGGGGCTTAATCTGCATGGTGCTCACTTCCTTGAGCTCGGTAGTATGCACGGTGGTCGGGGTAACTTTGGCATGATGCACCAGCAAGTGTACCCAAGATTGGCTGTCGAGTGCACAAACAGCGGCACGGGCTGGGATCAGCCGCGGGAGCGAGAAGAAGGCAAAAGAATGCGACGTCTCATCAGAAGCATCGTGACCGGCCGGCCGGCTGACCCTTCCAAAGTCTCGTCGCATGGCCGAAAAGAGTCGGTGAACCACGGCAATAACTTACCTAGCGCTGGGACGGATATGGCAGAGTCTCCCAACGTGAGTATGATTACCCGTGTGGGTGAACACCCAAAGACTGATGGACGGCAGACGCCTATCAAAGCGCCGGGGCCTGGTTTTGGCGGCCGTCGATTTTCGCAAACGAGATCGACGACCATGCCAACTCTAAACAGCACCATGAGCTCAGATTCAAACCACAGAAACATCATGAAGCAGATTGATGGGGATGGGGTCCGCCGGCAAAGTCCAAATGCCAGCGAGTCCGGCGAGGGCACATTCCGTCCACCCCCCTTGCGGACCGACAGCCCGAACGGCAGTCCAAATCCTCAGAGCGCTTCGCTGTTCCCCTCCTCCGCTGGTAACATGTCAGCATCTCCTCATTCGACCAAGTTTGGACACAGGTCGAGGAATAGCACAGATTCTGTATCTTCCAACGCCGCTATCTACGGGTCAGGTATCCCACCTGAAGCTACTCAAATGCTGCGTAGTGGGATGAACATTGCAGACATCATTCAAGCCACTCGAAACGGCGAGCCTCGGCGGCTCGGGCAAGACGGAGGGCGTCCGTCGCCGCAGGATTCTACTGGCGATCGTTCAGCCGGCACTGAGCCTCCGTCCTCTGCTAAGGATTCTAAGAGTTTCCTCAGTCTCAGCTTCTTGTCGAGAAAGAACAAGCAAAAGAAAGAAGACGGCTTCCCAAGCCCCGACGACATGGAATCGCCGACATCTCCGGCTCTCAGCTTCAAGCCTCATTCTTTTGGCTCCCGCTTTGGAAACAACAGCGAAACCTCTTTGGACATTCGACCTGGATCCAGTTTTGATGTTCACGAAAAGGACTCGGCCAAGTCTAGACGTCCTGGCCCTAACAGAGTGTTTGCGCTGGCTACCTTGGACGGATACAATTATCGCATGTGCGACATCACCGAGGCCGAAACGGCCATGGACCTTCGTCTCGTCATTTGTAGCAATTTGGGTCTGATGGATGCCACGACATCTCAAATTTACCTCACCGAGCTTGGCAAATTCAACCATGAGACCGCTCTGGACGACCAGAAACTCCTAAATAATCGCAAGCATAGGGCCGACGCGACAGGGACCCTCAAGTTCTTCATCCGTCAAGGTGGAAATGCGCCTCAAGGCTCTGGCCACGCCAATGGCAATCCAACGCATACATCCCTTGACGAGGAGGCATACAACCGACTGAACGGGTTGTCGCGGACAAGATCCAGCTCTTCTCCCCCAACATCGAGGCAAAACACCATGACCGGCGAAAGGGTAGATGACAAGATGCTTGCTCAAGAAGCAAGCGAGTACCGTGCCGAGATGGAGCGTAAGCAGCGTGAGTACCTCGAAAAGAGACGCAAAGCTGCTGGTTCCGGCAACACGCCAGAGAGTGCTACTACGCCGTATGGTATTCACGGCAGGACCGTCGACTTCGACCAGCCACGCCAATCGCCTTACGAGGACAAGAAGCCGGAAGTGCTGTTCCCCGTGCGGAAGCCTCCTGCGCCGCCGAGTGACCCATCAGCTACCTTACTCAAAGCCAACTCATTGAGTCGGAAGACGGGGCATGCGATGCGGTCGTCTGCCGATGGAGCTCCT